TTTGATTCCGCAAATTATCATTGCTAGCTCGCCCTTTCCTAAATAATCTCTGCTAGCCTGCCTCGTTACTGAATTTTCTCGGCTGGCCTGCCCTAATTTCCACAAAGAGCCTTTACTAGCCTGCCCCTCAATTCTCAAATTTTCTCTGCCAGTCTGCCCTGATTCGTGAATTTTTTAGGCTTGTCCGCCCTAAATTCCACAAAGTGCCTCTGCTAGCCTGCCCCTTAATTCTCAAATGCGCTACGCCAGCTTGCCCTCCGTTCCCTAGGCATCTCTGCTAGCCTGCCTCGTATTCTCAAATTGCCTCTGCTAGCCTGCTCCAAATTCCACAAACTGTCTCTGCTAGCTTGTCCCTGAATTCTCAAATTTTCTCTGCCGGCTTTCCAAACCCGTATCCCGCAATAATCACTGCTAGCCTGCCTTGGGCGTGCTTCCTTAGTTAGTCCTTTCCTTAGTTTCACAGAGAAACTAGCTTCAATGGTCCTTTAGTCCAAAATATTTAGCCTAAAATCGTTGAAAAATTGCTTCGACACCCCTTTAAAGACCGGTTTCAACCCCCAAATGATCTCTTCCAGTTTGCCCGTTCATTCCTAAATGATCTCTGCCAGTTTCCCTTTATCCAAAATGTTTTACTTTACGTTAAAACTCAATAAACACCCATTTTCAGCACTCCAATGCAGCGCTACGTATTGATACTGTTCGCCTTCTACGTTTGCTGCCTTCTTTTGAGTACGGTATCCGCCGACTGTGGCTGCGGGGCGAGGTGTTCCGCATTTTCTGATGCTACAAAATGTACGAGGTGTTGTACGGCCGCTGTTAAGGTGAGTTCCGGAAATGATCTCTGCTAGCCTGCCCTTTCCTAAAGAATCTCTGCTAGCCTGCCAGCCTGAAAAACCCCAAAAATAATTCATGATTTTTAGCGAAGCCTACTCCGACCATACTACGAAGACAACGAAGTCTTAGAAGATTCTCCAGTGGTCGCCTACCGTATCCGAACACCACACTCTCGACTACAACTACAGACTACAAATCTTGACGCGCAGCCCCGGACCGTCGTTTTGGAGAAGATTTTGCGTGAGCTCCAGCGAGAACTTTATCTTATTCGACACCCAATTAGATGATTTTTCTGTATCTCTCTCTCTCTCTCTCTCTCTCTCTCTCTCTCTCTCTCTCTCTCTCTCGCTCTTTAAAGGGAGCGTAACAGCTAGAAATCGTCCCCGTTTTTGCGTTTTAAAACGCTATGAAAAATGTCTATATCTACCTATCTCTCTCTCTATCGCTTTCTCGCTCTCTCTTTCGCTATCTCGCCTTTTAAAGGGAGCGTGACAGCTAGAAAAAATCGTCTACTCACGTTTTTCGTTTTGGAACCCTGTGGATTACTGGCTTCACGGTCCCTTTAAACTCGTCAAAAAACCCTTGGCCGTCTGCCTACAATAATTTTTATTATTTCCTTACATCCTCTTCTCCCCTTTGCATAGATATGCTAATTTCAACGGGTGTCCTTGGTATGTGATTTGTTGGCTAAATTTAATTCCCCAATTTAATCGGTATTTTGTAGTTTGTACCCTCTCATCGTCTCGTAGCCAATATTTGGCTTTTTCTCCCGTTTCGGCATTTTTCGACAAATGCATCGATTTCCGCTTTTCGACAAATTCCGATCCCATACTATCTCCACCCCCGGCTCTCTTGGCTGCATAATAACATTGTTTTTATTGAGTTTTTTTTGTTTTTGAAACGTAATAAATTGTTGAAAATCAAGAGGCAGACTGGCAGAGAAAATTTAGGAATTGAGAGGCACGCTAGCAGAGATCCTTTAGGAAAGGGCAGGCTAGCAGAGATTCTTTAGGAAAGGGCAGGCCAGCAGAGATCCTTTAGGAAAATACGTGCAAAATATCCCAATCGCTGCTTATCATGTCATCATTGCACCCACGATTTCCGGTGAACACCTACTTGCGGGCAGTTGGGCTGGAAATAAATTTGTGAGTGTCCCAAAAATAATATTTCCGGTTGGGACCCGGGGGAGTTCAGCTACTTTTCGATAAGGGAAGAAGCCGAGGGCCGGTCTAACCAGGCACTTTTCAAATAAGCGGCTACGTCGGGTGCCAAATGACGAAATGACGAGCAGAGATCCTTGGGGACGGCCTAAATAGCCGAGCGGTCCTTGAAGGCGTTTAAAAATACTTGGGCAGGCTAGCAGAGACCCGTCAGGAACGAAAAAGCATGGGCAAGCTAGCAGAGAAGCTTGGAGAAGGTGAGAAGGCTCGGGCAAGCTAGCAGTGATCCTTTACTTAGGCTCAGGATTAGGCTTAGGCTTAGGCTTAGGCTTGGGCTCAGGATTAGGCTTAGGCTTAGGCTTAGGCTTAGGATTAGGCTTAGGCTCAGGCTTAGGCTCAGATTAGGCTCAGGATTATGCTTAGGCTTAGGCTTAGGCTTAGGCTTAGGCTTAGGCTTAGGCTTAGGCTTAGGCTCAGGCTTAGGCTTAGGCTCAGGCTTAGGCTCAGGATTAGGCTTAGGCTTAGGCTTAGGCTTAGGCTTAGGCTTAGGGGTAGGCTTAGGCTTAGGGTTAGCTTAGGCCCTGACATAGGCTTAGCTTAGGCAGGGGCTTAGGCCCAGGTATAGGCTCAGGCATAGGCTTAGGCTTAGCTTAGGCATAGGCTTAGGTTTAAGCCTAGACGTAGGCTTGGGCTTAGGCCTAGAAAAAACGCAAAAAAAACCCTATGACTCCACCATACAGCAAAGAACGAGCACGTGCGGCACGTGAATTCTCGGAAATCGAGGCGACCTTTACGGTAGTTCCGCTTTTTAGGCATTGATAACCCCCGGCGAGTCCCGGTGCGTCAATTCGGAGTGCGGGTCGTAAATCGGACATGAGGAGGCGAGGGAAAGAACAGGAAATGGACCCGGATATTTGCGGTTCTACAACGACGCGAAAGATGGCGTTTTGTGACCGGGGAATGTGGGACCCGGTCCAGGCTTAGGTTCAGGCTTGGGCTTAGGCTTAGGCTTCGGCTCAGACTCAGGCTTAGGCTTACCTTAGCTTCAAAAGTTTTCAATATTTAAGCTATTTTTTTTGGGATTTTATTTGGACACCGTTCGAGAGAGCACCAAAAAAATACACTAATTAGTTTACAATTTTCTAGGGGTTTCCCTGACATTTTCGACATTTTGACAAAATTTCTCTAACGCCTATGCGTGAGCATTGGCACGACAAAAAAATTTGGGTAATTAACCGCAAACTTGGGTTATTGAACCGGGCGCCGCCGTGCCTTCCCACTCGCCCCCCACCTGGCCCATTGTCTGGACAGATAATCCAACCCTCTTCCACCTCAATTCGCCAGTCGGTTCACCCCGACCTTCTGACCAATGGGTGTCAGGGCTCCCCTTAATGCCTGAAAATGGGTGGATGGCTCCCCTTAATGCCAAGAGAAAGCTGCGGCTTGTGAACTGCTTGAAAAGCTTCGGCTTTGCAGTCAAATACTGGCTTGGCTACGTGTTCTACGTAGTCCAAATGCCTAAGCAACCGGTTGGTAAGGCTGCAGCCACAGGCGCGGCACTTACGAAAAAGCCTGGCCCATACACGTGGTGGCCAAAAAAGGCAAAGTTCCCTCAAATTTTTCCATTGTGGCCTCGACCCCCCGCCCTCCAATACTTTTCCCCTGCCCCCCCCTTTCCCCCGTCCCCCCCCACCCCCAAAACCCCAAAAACCCCAGAACCCCAAAACCCCAAACTTTTACCCACAACGAATTCCGGTCACTTCGCCTAAACCCATATCGCCTAAATTTTTGGCAATTTTCATAGCTGAATTTTTGGCCAAAAAGTCGCCTTGAATGTATGAAATGTATGAAAAGTGACGAAAAAAGGTCAAAAAGTTCCAATTTTCAAGTTTTAAAAATATTTTTACAATTTTTAGCAATCAAAAACTATTAAAACACTATAAAAATACATAATACCCCACCTACATCCCTAAAACTGGGCTCATTTTTTGGAGTTTTTAGGCAGACGTGGCTACTTTTTGGTATTTTCTCTTTTTTTCACGCGTTTTACGGAACTTTCGCAATATAATATTCCTTAATTTCTACACAAATTTTTGTAAATAAAAATAGTTTGAATAAGTTTATTGCCAAAATTCAGACAAATTACAAAATTTACAATTGCTAAAAATAAGGACAATAAATGCCCACAAACGCGAGTGATGAGTATCAAAATTTGGACCCGTGAGGAGAAGGAGAGTTATCGGCTCCTGAGAAAATCGGCTGTAAAGAAACAAAAAACCTACTGCAGAAAAATTGAAATTTAAGAGAATAAAAAAAATCAAAAATTCCCAGAAAATTACGTAAAGCACCAAAAAGTTGGAATAAAAATTTTGAGGAAGTTTTTTAGAAGAGCCGCTGCAGGATCATGGCAAAAACTGAAGAAAATTGATATGGAAATTTTTTAAGGAAATTAAAGTCACCTCCGAGTGACATCGTGGCGATTTGCAGGGCAGCCGCAGATTTTGGAAGTTGTTTCAATTCTGAATAGCAAATATTAAGAGGCATGCTAGCAGCGATTTTTGGAGAATTTTTGGACGCCCTAAAACTTTCCAGAGCTTTTCCGAATTTTTTGCTACGTATTGCACCTCTAAACGCCTCGAGCTTAGGGCAAGCTAGCAGAGATCCTTAGAGAATTCCGGAGGTGTCCGCTATAGAAAGGCTAGCAGAGATGTTTGAGGAATTTTTCGGACCTAGACGCCTTGGAGTAGGAACGACACCTCAAAACGCTGGCGAAAAGTCGGCTTTGCAAGGCAAAAAACGGGCGGGCCAGCAGAGTTTCTTTAGGAATCACTTTTCAATCCAGGGCCAGCTAGCAGAGACCATTTGTGGAATTCTCTAGCCCAAGTTACTGTATTGCCAGGTTTTTGATACCCTAAGCTACGAATTACACCTATGTACTTACGGGGAATTGACGGAATTTAGGTATGTTAACCCCAAACACTACGCATTACACCTCTGTACACCTCAAAACGTGCCTGTGGCCGAGACGGGTGGTGGTGCGGGTGGGTGGAGCTGCTCATTCTCGCGTCGCACGGTGTTCCGCTCGAAATCCGGCCCGGCTACCGTATCCTCGTCGTCGGCTCCGCCCCCACCTTAAACACCAAAATTAAGTGGTGCCTTTTGAAAGCTGAGCATTTGCCATTCCGCATGCTGGCCGGCCGAAAAAAAATAATTTAGTGCGAAATTAGACGATTTCTACAGTTTAGAGAAGCCTAGCCAACGAGAGGAGAGAGAGAGAACGAAAGCGAGAGAGAAAGAGAGCGAGAAAGAGAAAGAGAGAGGAGAGAGAGAGAGAGAGAGAGAGAGAGAGAGAGAGAGAGAAGGTGAGGGAGAGAGAAAGGGAGAGAGCGAGGAAGAGAAAAGAGCGAGGGAGAGAGAGAGAGAGAGAGAGAGAGAGAGAGAGAGAGAAGAGGAGAGAGAACGCTATAGAAGGAAAGTGAGAGATAGCGCAGAGAGAGAGAGAGAGAGAGAGAGAGAGAGAGAGAGAGAGAGAGCTAGAAAGATAAAGGGAGAGCGAGAGTGAGAGACAGAGAAAGCTAGAGTGCTAGTGGGTGATAGAGAGAGAAAGCGAGAGTGAGAGACAGAGAAAGCTAGAGAGCTAGTGGGTGATAGAGAGAGAGGGAGAGGGAGAGAGAGAGCGTTGCAGGCCCACAGAACGCTTCAAAATTCAGATTTTTCGCGCCAATTTTTACCCGAATCTTCAACGTCGACCAGTTCCGGGGCCCCGGAGCCTGCAAAAGTCGGGGAAATCCGGAAACTGCGAGTTACGGTAGAATCCTTTGAACGATACTACCTCCTTTTAACGCTCCTTTTAACGTTGTGTTAGTCGAGCAACTAGTGCGTGGGCTTGTGAACTCAAAGTTTCCATGCAAACTAAGGAATTTCAAAAAACCAAAAAAAGAAAGTTACCTTCCGCGAGAGCCGAGTCAAGCTCATTTCCATCGTAGTCAGGATCGGCTAAAAATGGGAACTGAGTGATTTTTGAGATTAGAAAGGGAGAGAGAGAACGAGAGAAAGAGAGAGTGAGAGAGAGAAAGAGAGAGAGCGAGAGAGCGACCGTGAGTGAAATTAAATCTGTAAAAACCCACCTTGCAGGTACACTTCACCGTGATGTTGACCATTTTCGTTGCGGGCGATACACCTAAAAATATACGGGTAAACTTTACGACTGGAATCTGCAAAATACACTAAAATGTGTATCTTAAAACGACTTTAAAGCTACAGTCCACCCACCGATAATTCCCGAAATGGTCAACGGTAACCTTGCGGATTTCGAGAATGTGCGAGGTGTGGTAGGGCTGGGAGACGATTTGGCTCTAAAAATTGCACTTTTAGTGAAATTATACTAAATTTTATGTATTAAATTAATGTTAAAAAATGCAACTCATAAAAATCACCGTAGCATAGTGGTCCGAGTCGAAAACAGGCACACCTTCCTTTTCCCAGGTCACCTCCGGCCTCGGCCAACTCTCCACGTCACAGGCCAGCCGGGCTACTGTAATTAACATTAGCAAAATCAGAGAAATAAAAAATTACCTGCTCCTCGTTTCGCCGACACCATTGACTGCTTGGCGAGCACGAGCGGAGGGACTAAAAAAGTGTTATACTACCTCTAGAAAAATTTTTAGCCGTTATGGTAGCTTGTGAAAACCCCAAATACTTAAAATTCGGCCTCAGAAGTTTCTAAAGATCCAAAAACAAAAACTAAATCGATCTAGCAATATCTAAAGCAAAAAGCAAAAGTGCTGTCATCCGCAGGATTCGAACCTGCGCCCTCCGAAGAGGACTGCGACCTGAACGCAGCGCCTTAGACCACTCGGCCAGAATGACATGGGGGAGAGGGGACGGGGAGGGGGTTATCAGGGGTGGGGCCCACATGCGGGAACCCAAATTGACAGGTCGGTACGAAAGCGACGCGAAAGCGACACTTTTCAGCCGCACCAAAGTACACGTAGAAAGTATTTTATCGCGTAATCGAATAGCGAAAAAGGGGGTCCTATTCAAAAATGCTCTATTTTAGCCGTTTCAAAATACAAATCTATTCCTCTTTTCGCAATTTCCTTTCGTCGTTTCTAGTATTCTGCGTTTATTTTTACACCTTCCTCTTCCGGTCATCCTCCGCTGGCTCGCAGCGAGATTTGCACAATTTTTGCCCAATTTCCAGGGCTTTTGGGCAGCGTGGGAAACGGGGTTGAAGCAGAAGCTGTAGCCCCCCAGGGGCGGGTGGCTAAAGCCGAAAAATGAAGGGCAGGGCCGGCGCCTCGAGAAGATGATTCCCACGAATTGGATTAGTCACACTAGGCGGGCAGAGTATGCCGGCGGAAATGTTGCCAATAGATGAAGTGAGTACGACGGGGAATGGGCAGGCTAGCAGAGTTTCTTTAGGAAAGGGCAGGCTGGCAGAGATTCTTTAGGAAAGGGCAGGCTAGCAGAGTTTCTTTAGGAAAGGGCAGGCTAGCAGAGATTCTTTAGGAAAGGGCAGGTTAGCAGAGATTCTTCAGCAAAAACGGAAACTCACACGTCACCATCAACCGCACCGTCCAGCTCTCATCCGGTGGCAGCCCGTTCGACGCGACGCACACGTACTCGGCCATGTGCTTCCGGGAGACGCGCACCAGGTGAAGCTGGGCGCCCTTGTGGATGGTGGCTGAAAAATTGCATTTAGAACTTTTCCCCAATTTTCCTAAAATTTTTAAAGGGTTCTAAAATCAAATTTCAACACCGAAATTTTGAGAATAAATCTGAAAACCCCTCAAAAACGCCGCAGAAATTTGTAGCGGCCCAAGAAGCTTGAACAAACACGACCTCCTCGACATAGCGGCCATCCTACCCCCGTGAGAACGCGAATTTGGTTGAGTATTTTTTGGGTTTCCTGAGAAGCGGATGGGATTACAAGTGAGGAAACAGCCCTGCGCACTGATCAAATGACCTCTGCTAGCCTGCCCTTTCCTAAAGAATCCCTGCTATCCTGCCCTTCCCAAAAAATCCCTGCTATCCTTTTTGCCTTCCTAGTCCCTTTAACCAAACTCCCCCTTGAATGTAGCTGTTGTTTCATGGGCCCTAATGGCTTCCTGGGCCTTCGATGGCCATGTGGCCCCTCAAGGCATCACTTTCAGGAAGGGCCATATGGCAGAGACTCTTTGGGGAAAAGAGGGAGGAGGAGGAGGAGGGCTGGCTGATGCCACAATTGGCAGTTTATGAGGGGGCCCTTAGGGTGGGGAGAAAGAGGAGGAGGAGGAGGGCCGAGAGTGACCAAAAAGGTGCTCAAGCAGAAACAATTATTAACGATGCACATACATAAGGATAGGACGGTGGGTCCCGACGCGAAAATAGGGAAGGAGGCAAAGGTAGAGTTTAGGCCAGAGAGAGAGAGAGAGAGAGAGAGAGAGAGAGAGAGAGAGAGAGAGAGAGAGGGAAATAGAGGGATAGAGCGAGACAGAGAGAGATAGATAGAAAGAGAGAGAGAGAGCGGGAGAGAGATAGATATGGAGAGATATATCGAGAGAGAGCGAAAGGGAAAGAGCTATGGAGAGAGAGAGAGAGCGAGAGAAGAAAGAGTGAGGGAGCGAGAGAAAGAGAGATATCTAGAATTTTATAATATTTTCCCTTCACCATTCCTTTAATTCCACGCATGGTGATTATTATGTGTGAACGGTGGCTGTCAACAAACCCCCCGCTTTGCCACCCCCACCCAGGTACCGCCCAATTACCCCAGCGACCCTTTTGATCCGCCGGGCCACCCCATAGTTGCCGGTCCCTTTAATTATTTTCCCCTGACCCGCGAATTTCGACTCGATCCGCAAGGCTACAAACTACGCTCACCTCCATATCCGGTTGCCCCGTTGAAGCGGATGATCTGCCGGTCGGCGCGCCGCCAAATCACTGATGGTTCCGGCGTGCCTTCGGCCTGAAAAAGATCTCAATTTAGTACAAAGTTGGCTTGAAAATCATTGCTAAAATTCATTCTCGCATCTTTTTCGGCAAAATTCAAGTCTGTGGTCGGCAAATTTTACATAATTGGATGCCTTTTTCGATGCCGAAACCCAGAAAATTAAGTTTTTGATGCGTTCTAATGGTCTAAAACACAAAAGCAAAAATATTTATCAGCTTTTAGTCAAAAAGCAAAAAGTGCTGTCATCCGCAGGATTCGAACCTGCGCCCTCCGAAGAGGACTGCGACCTGAACGCAGCGCCTTAGACCACTCGGCCAGAATGACATGGGGGGAGGAGACGGGGAGGTGGCTATCAGGGGTCGGGCCGAGTCCCGGTGACGGATATTGACAGCGACGGGGCCAAATTGATTCCGGGGGTCAAACAAGCGAAAACTCGCTGAAAAATTGGTCTTTGGATTCGATTACGATAGGAAATGATAACGCGAGGATCGTATAGTCTAGGATCCATTCTATTAAATGCGGATAGCACCAAGTTTTTGCATAATTCAATATCCCCCGCAAGTCAAAAACATTTTCGCCTCTCTTTCTCTCTAGCTCTCTCTCTCTCTCTCTCTCGCCTTGCCAGTCCCTTTAATCCGTGCCGCCCTCATCAAAAAACGCGGGTCTCACCTTACAATGGAGGGTGACATTGTGCCCCTCGCGCACCTCGACAGCTGACGGCGTGTTCCGCGAGACCGATGGGGGTACTGAAAATCAAATATTTTCACTATGCTACGCTCCAAATGACGCCCGGGGTTTCATGCGTGTGGATTTCGATCTCATCAACCTGTCCCAATGGCCGGGTGGGCTAGCAGAGATCCTGGAGGAAATTGACATGGCTACAAGCTAGTTTGAGAACGCTGGGCAGGCTAGCAAAGATCATTTGGGAAATTTAGCGTAAGGCAGGCTAGCAGGGATCCTTTGGGAAACGTTGGGCTAGGCAGGCTAGCAGAGATTCTTCAGGGAGAGGCAGACTAGCAGAGATTCGTTAGGAAGCGCAGGCTAGCAGAGAGCATTTGGGAATCGCTGGCTAGCAGAGATCATTTACGAAGGCTTCGTAAAGGTCGCTGCCGGCGTAGGCTAGCAGAGATTCCTTGGGAAACTTTGCTCCTAGTTTTCGAGCACAGGGCCAGCTAGCAGAGGCCATTTGCGGAAATTCCGTCCGCTCTAGGCAAGGCAAAAACTAAAACGCAGTCCAGCAAAGGTTGTTTGCGGAAAAAACCAGATCCTTGCGAGACCATGTCGATGTTTTAGCCGTCGGCAATTCGGCAAACATGATTTCGCTGCCAGTATTCTCGCTTTTTCCCCAACTATGGTACCCTGACCTGCCCAAGTTCACGGCTGCCACTAGTGAGACCTGGTGCCACCTGGCAGCGCGCCAATTACACCCGTTAAAGGGCCAGTGAAGGCATTGTCTCAGAGATTTCGGGGGTGTGGCCCACAGCGGGGGCCCTTTTGGCACCACTGGATCTCCTGCAAATTCCACATAGGTCCCATGGGCCCCTAATTGTCATATTCTCCCTTTGGGGCGGATAATTGCCGTTCGTGCCCTCGGCGGGCACAAGTTGCGGGGTTTCGGGGGGAGGGCCCTACGCTAATTGCCTACATGACGTTTCGTGAGGAAGATGCGGAACGTCTTGAGGAGCATGGCGGAATTTCCGGGTTTTGAAGGGTCTGGGAAGTGAAAAAACTGATTAAAACCCATTTAGGCCATTTTTGACGCCTCTGCTAGCCTGCCCTTTCCCCAAGAATCTCTGTTAGCCTGCCCTTTCCTAAAGAATCTCTACTAGCCTGCCAGCTTACACACCTTGCCCTATGCACCTAATTACGGGCCACTACGCACGAAACGCGGAAAATTTTCGGGGGGAACACTCAGCCGGAAGAAAAGTGCTCGCCCTGCAGTGTTGTCGTTCCGCACCCCGGAATGAATGCATTACGCGAGTATATAGGTACACCACCTGCCTGCTAGAGATTTGGGGTGAAAAGCATAATTGGGGGTGCGGGGAGGTTGCTTAGGCTTAGGCTTAGGCTTAGGCTTAGGCTTAGGCTTAGGCTTAGGCTTAGGCTTAGGCTTAGGCTTAGGCTTAGGCTTAGGCTTAGGCTTAGGCTTAGGCTTAGGCTAGACTTAGGCTTAGGCCTAGACTTAGGTTAGGCTTAGGCTTAGGCTTAGCCTAGGCTTAGGCTTAGGCTTAGGCTTAGGCTTAGGCTTAGGCTTAGGCTTAGGCTTATGCTTAGGCTTAGGCTTAGGCTTAGGCTTAGGCTTAGGCTTAGGCTTAGGCTTCGGCTAGACTTAGGCTTAGGCCTAGACTTAGGTTAGGCTTAGGCTTAGGCTTAGGCTTAGCCCAGGCTTAGGCTTAGGCTTAGGCTTAGGCTTAGGCTTAGGCTTAGGCTTAGGCTTAGCTTAGGCTTAGGCTTATGCTTTGGCCTGGCTTAGGTTTAGGGTTAGGCCCCATGAAACCACTGACCCTCCCCATATTTTCCAGGGGTTCGCCCACGATATACCGGCTGCCTGGGGCCGTAATTAGGGGTGGAAAGGCCCTCCTCTTCCATACTTGCTATCCCAAAGGGGTTAGGAGGAGCGGCTCGGAATGCGTTTATAAAGGACCTTCTCTAGCCGCCTCGGGCTCGGCTTCTCCCAAACGCAGTAGCTGATCCCCTGCCTTTCCGACCTTCTCCTCCCCCCATTCATTTGCATCTGAATTCAATTTCGGGGGCGGTGGGGTGGGGGATCTTCTGGACGAAGGAAGGGCGGGCTATAGGTGTCCGGTGTACTACCGGAAGTGGCGGTGAGATTTCGAGTGGAAGATCGTCACGCAAAAAGGCAAAGATTAAACCGGCTGAAGCTTAGGCTTCGGCTTAGGTTTAGGCTTAGCGTACGCTTACGATCAGGCTTAGACTTACTTAGACTTGAGCTTGTGTTCAGGCTTAGGATTAGTATTAGGCTTAGGTTCAGGCTTAGCCCTAGGTTTAGGTTTAAGCCTAGACTTAAGCTTAAGATTGGGCTTGGCTTTGACTTAGGCTTAGGCTTAAGCTTGGGTTTAGGCTTGGACTGACTTAGGCTTAGCAGCCAGCTTGCAATCCGCCTATCCGAAACTAATCAGTACTGTACCCACTCCAAACCACAAACCTTTCAGCTGCAGCTCCCCAATTTTGGCGATCACCGGGTCCGTGTTGATCTGGCACGTGTAGTTGCCGCGGTCCTCGGGCTGGAAAGTACGATTTTTTTCGAAGCGGTCAATTCCCAAATAATCTCTGCTCGCCTGCATTCTCAATTCCTGAATGATCTCTGCTAGCCCGCCACTTCCGTTCCCTAACGATCGCTGCTAAAACCCACCTTCGAATTCCTGACGATCAATCTCCACTCATCGCCCTGTGGTCCGCCCCTGGGCCTCAGCTCGTATTTTTGCACGTTCCGGAAAATCTCAAATTATACTGTGGAACCGGAAAACCGGGAAAACAAAACCTTCTCGTCAAAGGAGATGAGTCGCGGGGGCGTGCCGGCCTTCAGGAAAGCCACCTGAAAGAATGGACGGGAAGAATGGGGCAAGAATGAATAGTTGGAAAGGTGAACGAGAGAGAGAGAGAGAGAGAGAGAGAGAGAGAGAGGAGAGAGGAGAGAGAGAGGAGGGAAAGAGAGGGGGGGGGGGGGGGGAGGAGAGGGGGGGGAGGGAGAGAGGGAGAGGAGGGGGAGAGGGGGGGGGGGGGGGGGGGGGGGGGAGAGAGGAGGGAGGGAGGGAGAGAGAGAGAGAGAGCGCGCCAATTTAAATATGTACCTTATGCCTTCCCAAATCTCCAACTTTGCAGAGAAATTCGGCGTCTTGGCCAAGGAGGGCGGTGGCCGTCTGCATCGACATGGGCTCGATGACGGGTGGTGGATGTCGGGTGCATACTAAAAAAACATTAGCATAAAAATTAACGAAACCACAATTTTTTTTGTCAGCTACCCCAAATTTAATGCCCAAAAATGATCTCTGCTAGCCTGCCCTCGAATCCGCAAATTTCGACATTATGTTTTTCGGCATTACGATTTTCGACATTACGATGGCAAATCGAAAATTCTCTCTGCTAGGCTAGCCGTAAAAAGCTTACATCCGTTTTTCCCGAATTTCCTTCCGGTTCCCATCGGCAGCCATCCAAACACACAAAACACTCATCAACCCCCGGGAAGCTAATCGGCGAGACGTGTACAAATCTGCCAGCGATTTCCCAGGACTGAGCCCCCAGCCAGCCCCGTGAAATGTGGCCCACCCCACACAAAAACATGCCAAAAATCAGCGGGCCCACAATTCCCAATTCCGGGCCGCCCAAAAAAATTCGCAAAGCCCAGCCGGAGGAACAATAAAGCGCCCGATTAGAGGGGACGGGCTCAAGGGCTTTTTAGGGAGGATTTTCCGGGAACGCCAGGGGGTCCAGGGGAAAAAGGGGAAAAACTGGAATGAAAAACGAGGCGAAAGGTTGGTGGACGTCTAGAAGCCTAAATTCCGGTTTGAGGTTTCCGGCAGGCTAGCAGGAGATTCTTGGGAAAGGGCAGGCTAACAGAGATTCTTTACAAATGACGTCAGCTAGCAGGGATTCGTTGCTGGATGGGCAGGCTAGCAGAGGAAATTTAGGGAATTGGACAGGAATTAGCAGAGATTCTTTAGGCATAAAGGCAGGCCAGTAAAGATCATCCAGGAAGCGGACGGGAGCTAGCAGAGATCATTTGAAAACCGTGCAGGCTAGCAGAGTTTCTTTAAGGAAGGGCACGCTAGCAGAGATTCTTTAGGAACGGCTTACCGCTAAAAATCTGGCACAACAGCGTGGGGAACATGAGCAACGAGGGCTCGTAGCGTATCGGGGGTAGTGGCGTTGCAAGGAGCTCCATAAGGCTTCAGGGCAGAAGCTTATGCTGGCGGCTCGAATCCGCGAAACTCGTGTGGCCGGCTCGATTAGGGGGTGATTGGCGCAAAAATCCCCCGGGGCCGAGACGGACAGCCAAAATCGGGTTATGATGATCGGGGGAGGAGGAGGGGCAGATTCGCTTAAATTGGGGGGCGGACATCGCGTGCGGGTATTCAAAAGTTGGCCCTGGGGGTTGAGGGCCCAGATGGCCATGAGGGGCCCAGATTTGACGGGAATTCCCCAAGAGTTGCTGCCAGCCTGCCCTTTCCTAAAGAATCTCCGCTAGCCTACCCTTTCCTAAAGAATCTCTGCCAGCCTGCTCCAATTCCTAAATGATCTCCGCTACCTCTTCAATTAACCTCCCATTAATGGACGCACCCCGAATTTGAGTGTAATTAAATGTAACACCCACCAATAATCACTAAAATATAGAGAAAGTAGAAAACTGCCAAAATCCCCATGCTGTCCGCGTGGGCGGGTTTGGGAGAGCGTAGAAAATGCGGGCTGAGGGGCCCTCGAGGTCCCTAACCCCCACCTGGTGGCCCCGCCCCCTTCGACGGGGCGGGCCCAAGACTTGATTTGCATACGAAAAGTAGCTGAATACACCCAAAAAGGTTTTTTTGAAAGGGTAGGTTAGCATGGATTCTTTAGGAAAGGCAGGCTAGCAAAGCTCCTTTAGGAAAGGGCAGGCTATCTAGCTTGAAACGTAAAAACCAGAATTTGCATCAAGCTTTTGAATCGCGTAAATTTGGAGAGGGAAATGAGAAAACGGCAAAGAGGGCATTCGCGATGAAGCGCGCTGCAATTTTGGCGCTGCTTTTCGTGGTGGCTGCCCGCGCCGGCGACAATGCGACGTGTATCAGATACAGCGTACGAAATACCGCTTACTGGGGGCTAAATTCTAGCTAGACTTTGATGCACTTGACACCTTTTATCCAGAATTGAGATCGACCAAAAAAAGGGTTTTACAGCCCGGCTCCGAGCCGGTCGTCCTGCGCCCCAACTTCCACACCGTTGGCCGATGGTACCTCGAGAAGCTGAGGGTTCTTTTTTAGACATTTAGATTTTTTAACATAGCCAGATCGCCCTTTCCCAAAGAATCTCCGCTAGCCTGCCCTTTCCTAAAGAATCTCTGCTAGCTGTTGCGAAATTAACAAACCCCGGAATTAAAGACCGACTCGATCATGCGCCAAGTGTACCATCGCGTCAACGAAACGAGCTTCAACGAGGGCATGGCGTACGGTGTCATCCGCAGCATGGCCATCATGTCCGTCGCCAACCTGATTCTTGGTGGGTTTTGGTGGAAAATGCCGGCAAAAACCTTGTCGCAGATGTCGGCGCTGTGGGTGTTGGCGTACATGAATTCGCGGGAGGCGCGTCTCATCCGACGTCACCAGACGCTGTCGATGCTGAGGCGGCGAAACGCCGAAGTTCGCCGCCAGATTGAGAAGTCGGACGGCTTGGTTTAGATTGATTCCCATCCTTGATCCCCCGATAACGCGAAAGTACCATACATCGTCTTTCAGCGAGCTGCACTCGTCCATCTTCAAGCGCATCCCGTCGGTGCAGCCGCGGACGACGCCCGCCCGATGAACATCTACCGAACATCTGCCACCATTCAAAACAATAACCTTTTCGCCATTTATCATCAAACCGTGTATATTTTTTGTAAACTTTATCAACAGTCAGCAAAGTGCGCTCAAAAATCAACAAATTCTAATAGAGGCTCAATAAAGCAATAAAACAAAAGAAAGCATAAACAACGCCTAATCAACGTTAACAAGAATCTTGGCGAATTCGGGGGCCGAGCGGGAGAACATGGCGGAGGCGTGGCGGAAGGCGTTCTGGATCCGCGCGTACGTCCCCTGCTGCATCACGCATCGCGCCGTGTTGCCGCCGTCGAACGGCTCCTCGATGTAGATGCAGAACTTGCGCGAGGGTGCGTCAAGGGAGCTCCTAAAACATAAAATTATAATAGGGTGCGTAGGTTTAATTTAATACTACCGAATTTTCATAACGCCGAATTCCCCTTACAAAATTGTGTGTATTTTGTGAGCTTATCACCGGTGAAATCACCGATTTTCTGTCATTGCCAAACTTGCAATAGTGCAATTTTTGCTCTTATAATTCTCGATTACGACAAATCAGTTGCGACATTTCGGCATTCTGATAATTCGGTATCATTTCCGGAAAAAAATCCACACCTCGGAAAGCGGCATCCGCGGCGGACGGAGACGGCGTCCTTCTCCCAGTCGAAATTCGCGTAGTAATGGAAGAATCCGCACAGTAGCTCGCCCAGCGTCTCGTTGTTACGTTGGAATTCTGAAAAGTGGGGAAATAGAAAATTGGGTAGCTTTTCCAACAAATTCCTTTGCAAATCACCCCAAAAACCGCCCAGAAATCTTACCGGGCAATGGCAAGTGCCGGTCACTGTGATAGACGAGTTGACTCAGCGGCATCTCTCGATTAAACTAGAATAAAAACCTTAATAAAATTGAAAACGACAAACCCGATTCGGGTAGATATGCTGCAGGTTGGGGAGCACGGGCGGGGTGACGGCGCATTGTAGAAAGTGGATCATCAGCAGTAGCAGCGAGTAACTAGGTTGAAAAGCCTTCAAAAACCAAGTAAATTCCATTACCTGTTGAAGGTGCCGGAGGATGCGTCGCAAATGTCGTTGTTGATCGCCCAGTGCTTGACCATGAGGCAGAGTTCCGGGAAACGCATGTCGACCCTAAAAACGGCTAGCAATAATGGGAAACCAACCGGAAAACGCACCTCGAATAATAATGCACCAGGTAGGAATTGTAGATGCCGGCCAGGTTGTTCACGTTCACGTCGATTTCCATGTCCATGTACTGCGCGCCCAGCACCATTTTGATGATCGGCACCTAGATGGCAGGGAATGGGGGAAAACATCGGAATTCTCTTACCTTGGCCGTGGAGATGAACTGGCACTCCTGCAGCAAGTTGCGCCATTTGGCGTTCTGGAAGCGCAGCGTACGGTATATCGACCGCAGATGAGTTTGGGCAAACCTGGAGCAAAAACAGGATACATACAAAAATCCACAGAAAATACCTCTTGTCATCCGGGTAGCGGCTTTGGTGTTCGATGAGGAGGCAGAGATCCATGTCCGAGTTGTACGAGCCGCATCCATTCACCGTAGAGCCGACGGCGTGCAACGCGACGTTGTAGTTGGGAAATAGCTGCAAAAAAAAATTTTGAAAAATACCGTCCGGCTTACAACATGGATGGTTTCCAGCAACTCGCGCAGCGCCTCCATTTTCTTCATGTAGACGGGGGGTGACTAAAGTGGGGGGAATTAACCAAATTATTTCGAAGCACCTGTGAGTTAATGCGGAAGTGCGATTGGATGAGCTCGTCGATGCGGTCGAATTGCTTGGGGAACTGGTCGCGATAGCGCTTGATTTCCTGAAAAATGATTTCAGAAGAAAAAATATTCATACGGCAACTCGTCGCCGCGTCTCCTCCTCGTAGCATACCACTCCGAGCACTCGCGAATGGTCGACTTTTGTCGGGGCCGATCGAGTGGTGTTCAAGTAGTTTAGATGGCGCTGAGCTGACGTGCTGGGGAGTGGGTCGGCTGGAGCGATGGACGCGGACGTGTTCAACGTCAACGCATCTTGCTCGACAACCTAAACAGCATTACTTTGTGAAATCGCGTAAAGCTGGCACTACCTGAACGCAGTCATCGTCGTCGTCACTCGAATCGATCACGACTTCGATAGGCTGGGCGCGGGGCGCGACGGGCGAAGCTGTTGGACTGTCCTGGACGACAATTTCTTCAGACGCCGATGCTTGGCCATTCGACAGACGCACTTTCTTCAGTGGTACATTCGTGTCGGACGGAGATGGGCTCGTCGCCGCGCGTTTCAAAAGCGTGGGGGCAGTCTAAAAGCGCATTTGAAAAAAAATACAGGTTCTTTGATAATATTGGTGGAAGACAGACTTTTTTCCTAGTTCCGGTCGGAAAGGGGTAATTTTGTCGGAATCTCGAACTATTTTTCTTTTTCTGAATAAAAATTGTAGGGTTTTCATGTTTACAAATCGTTTAAAAAAACACTGCATCTATGGTAGAGGAAACATAGCCTAAAGAAAAAAAGTTGATCTTCCACCGATATTGCGGTAACAACAAAACACGAGCTCCAACCACTAACCATCCACCACCCGCGACCATTCCAGAAATCGTGGATCATCTGCCTCATAGATGCGAGGCAGGCGAGTGCCTGCTGCTTATCCTGGCCACGCTTCACCTTGTCCAACGTTTCAAGCGAGCCTTCGCTGTTTTCTATCAAGTGTCGAAAACCTAAAGAGGAATTGGGACACCGAAACACGACGAACTAGTAGAGTTTTTCATAGATTCTTCGACCATCATGAGCAGGTTGACGAAATGATCGATCCATTTTGACATCTGTTCGGGAGTGACTTCCTGAATTTCAAAAATAGGATTTGGAATGGTTGCCAACCTTGTTCCGAATGGCTGCATACATTGCCTCGGGCACATAGCTTGTTCTCAGCCGTTGCACGAAATTCAACACCGCGCCCGCCTTCGCGACGCTGAAACATCGGTATACAATCGCGAAAAAACTGGACAGTACCCGCTCTCCTTGCCCTCCGCGTAGCTGCCGAGCACCGAAAATGGGAATCCCTCAAAGTGCAGGTAGCATCGGTAGGGCTTGTTCTGCTTATCTGCGGGCAAATATTTAGTGGCGCTACACAATCACTACCTCCAATGATGACATAGTCAACCTTGTGCTTCCAGCGATCCGAGAATTCCGCGATGAAATTTTCTTCGTGGCGAGCTTTCGAACCCATTGTTCCTGTAAAGGAAGCTTTGAAGGAGGACATCAAGCTGTGGCAGACAGAAGGCTCCAAGAACAAATATACGCGAGAACACAGTATTCCTCATATTATACAAGATTTTCTATTGAATACAAACGCTCGTTTCCAAAAATTTTGTAAAGGAAAAATTGAAAATTGAAAAGGAACGATTAGCCAAGCTAAATTGTGCCTGCTAAATCGTGGATCGGGCCAGAGGCACCGGCGCAGCTGTTGTCTATTGGAGTCTGTTGTAGTCGATTCTCGGCGTTTTGTGCAAACTTCTCGCCTTACAATTTGTTAAAAAAACTTCAAAATTCTTTCAAAAACGCTTTTTCTAAAATGTCATAAACCGCTTGTTTTGCAAACCATTCCTTTCGCGAATCCAAAACGACCTTTCCTGCTGCCCATTCCGCACTGAAGAAGAGATTTTCAGACACCTGAATTATTTTTACTTCCCAGCTTCTTTCTGACTAACCCATTATCTTTTTTCCTTTTTTATGCTGTTTTCCATATGCTTCAAGTCCCGTTCTACTCAAATCACCCCATTTTCAGACGATGCTCGCCAAACAGGTAGCCCGTCCGCTTGCCCAGATCGCCCGCCAGGCGCACCATGGAGCCCCGGCTCCAGCCAAGTTCAACGGCATCCAGTCGCCGACGTCATTCGTCCACGACGGTTATGCCACGGCGGTGAGTTTATTTTTGGCGCTTTTTACAAAAATACCAAAATTACGCTGCTGAAATTCTTTTCAAGCCATCTGGAAGGTTGTTGAGATGGATTCACCAATTTTTACGCCTTTTTATGAATAAGAATTTCATTTTGTCTCTCATTAATTGTCCATTTTCAGCGAGTCCCGTTCAACGTGCGCAACAAGTGGCTGTTCGCCTCGAAGGCCGTCGTCTTCCTCGCCGTCGGCTTCTGGGCACCCTTCCTAGTCGTCGAATGGCAGCTGCGCAAAGCCAACGCCCACTAAATTAGTGCGTGCCGGTTGTTTATATTTTTTTGCGTTGTGCCGATAATTTGCTAGGGTTCCCGTCTAATCAATCTGAAGATTTCTCATATGTACTTGGCTTTCGACAGTTTTCAGAATAAAATGTGAATTAGCGAATGCGATTGTCCGAATACACTACATTTGGGGTTTCAGATAAGGAAGAATTTGATTTCTTTTCCCCCGAGCATTGAGGACTCACCGCTCACCTCACTTCACCCCTAAGCCGGGCGATGCTTGTACGCGCGATTTATCTGTTTGCGCAATGGGTGTCGCTACCGGGCGGGGCATTAGGAAATTTACGGGCGAGGACAGGCAAAAAAAACTTGGGCCTTTGTGCTTGGACTTTTCGTCGTTGACCCTTGTATTCCTGTTTGTCGCTGGTTCTTCCTAATTACGGATTGACCTTTTAGGCAAATAAGGATGGGCGGGCACCTAAAGCGTTTTGGGGCCCGGCGGCTGCCCGGATTTGTCGCGGGGTTACTGGTATATCTTGTTTGTTTAATCTTGGAATGGGTTCGTTGGGACTGGCTGTGTTTTTTGCTCTGCTGAATCGTTCAAAAATTAAGTTAACCTTTTTTCCATGAACCAAATCTATTTAGTAGCCCCATTTTGGTGTAGATGCTCTTGCCATTCCTGCGGTCAACCTAGCGCGGCGCGACCCATCTGCTGGGCCAGAGCGGGGCTTTACCTGTGCAGCGCATCAATGTTTGTCCTCGTTCGGCGCGCCGGAGCCCCACCACTCCGCCTACCCAGCCCCCACCTACACACATACACACACATGTATTGACCACAGCACCCTGGCCACCACCACCGACGTCTCAATTGCAGAAGCCTGGCTCGTGACTTCCGCCGAATTTTCTTTAATTATTTTTCCGAGGAGCGCGAGTTCGATAAGAAATTCTTGAAAAATCTTTGTGCCGGTTTTTCGCCTCAAGTCGGAAGCCAGCTCAGACTCGTAGGCACCAATTTTGGGTCCTTTCGCATGATCGGGGGGGTAAGTTTTTTCTAAGGATCCAGTTTTTGTAGTATAAATCGAGGCACTACTTTAACTGTTGTTTTTTACTATTCTAGGGGTAAAAACTTTACAAATTTCTTAAAATTTAAAAATGTAGCTTTTTCGACCAGAACGGGCCAATTTTCGCCCAAAAAATGTCTCGAAGCTTTTTATTGTTTCTTCCACTTGAAACTAGCTAAATAAATTACATACAAAATTCGCGCGAAATACCAAATTCACGACAGTTTAAATCAATATACGATCCGCGGCGCAGGCGGGCGCAAGTGGTGGCGCAAATGGGGCGGGCCGCGGGGGGCGCAAGTGGGCGGCGCTGTGTCGGGCCAAGTGTCGGGGAGCCCTAAATAGCACTATTAAAATACTTTATTACGTTATTAGGCATTTCGGGACCTGCACAATAATTCTGTCTCCCCCAATAATGCCGAAAGAACCGCCGGAAGTGGGGGGACGCTGCGTTTCGACCCTTCTCCGACGAGGTAGGGGGTTTTTTAGAACTTTTTAGGTAGAGGGGTGTAGGACGCCATTCAGAAAGAGTAATCTTCATCCAGTAAGCCCATTTCCGGTTTTCGACCCAATCGGGCAGCCCGGGCCGCAATCAGCGCCCCGGAATGACCGGACGACCTCTCGCCACACACTGTGTTTACCTTCCAGCCGTTTTTATCAGCCGAGAAGCGCCTTCGGGGCGGATGAACGGCGGAAATCGATGTGCGCTCACACGGCGCGTTTCAATGACTCAATATGCCGGGCCATACAGTGCTGACTAACGCTGGCGGCTATCGGTTGTATTATTGTGCCGTGGGGCCGGTTGATTTTTGCCGAAATTTGAGGCTTCATTCGGCTTTTCGGCGTCTTATTGCTTGTTTTCTCAACAGTAATCAGACTTAATTGTTTTGATTTATAAAGAATTTTTATTTTTCTTGACCAGTACCCAGACTTATTTGGCCATATCTTTACTGTAGACGCCGCGCTTAACAATCTTGAGCTTCTGATATAATTTTCCAAGCTTTTTAGCGTTTTCCAAATTGAAATCTGGTTCCCGGTTAAATTTTTAAAGGTTTTTTCTGGCCCTTTTAAAGCTGCTGCAATAATTTTCAACTTTTTTAGAGAAATCAAGTACCCCCGATTATCGTGTCCTATCCGCTTCTTCCCCCCAGCCCCCCAAGTGGGCCCCCCTCCTCACAATTTGCATATTTGCCCACGGGCCACCCGGTATCGATCCCCCACCTTGGACATCTGATCTCTGCTATGGGGAGGGCTTCACCGGAAGTGGACCCCGGAATTTCTGGTTGCTACAACTCGGAAAAGTTTACTGGCTTGCCGGGCCACTTTTCCGCAAATTGTCTTTGCTGGCCTGTCTCGAAATATTTTTAAAGGGCCGCGCAAGGCGTGACTATGGATTTTTTTGGTCAGTAATTCCCTGAAAAAATTCCACGATTTTGCCAGCTTTCTTGCCACGTTTTTCGATCCCCCGACAAAATTCTAGACTGAATGTCATGACACCGGGGCGAACAATCAGCCCATCTCCACCCCCCAGGGGCCGATGGCTTGCCCTGGCCTCGGCCCTCGTCCTGCTCCCCGTCGTCGTCGACGCGAATCTGTGGGCCGAGACGGAGCGAATGCCGGACTTGGAGCAGGTGGGTGTCCATTCTAAAAACTAATAAATCCGGAAACCCTCTGCTTACCTCTCTGTTTAGTGGCGCCAGCTGTGCGGCTTCTACGACGTGGCCAAGGCGTACATGCAGGACGTGTACGCGAAGGTGACCGTGTTCGCGCCCACCGACGATGTCTTCACCTATAACCCGGATATCAGGGCACTCAGCCAGCGGGAAGTGTTGAGTCATATTGGTGCGTTTTTTAATATTACAGTTTCATTATCGCGCTTTTCCATTATCGGGGGCGAAAATTTTTTAGGGTCAGAAGTGTAAGATAGGTATTTTAATAAGTTTTTTGGTAAATTTTGACTGTATTTCAAATGGAAAAACCTATAAAACCTTAAAAAATTTTAAATTCATTTGGTTGAAAATCGGCTATTTATATTTTAAAAATATCGGATGCTATAAGAAAAGAAAAATTTGGTTTTCCAGTGATTGCCCCCCCGATAATACAAAAGAGCCTAATACCTACTGTACCATTAAAATAATTACGTTAACAAGTTATGTTATTTAGTGGACACGCAAGTCGTCGAAATTGGCCAGGGGAAGAAGTGGGAAAAGCAGACGCTGATCCGCTCGACGATCAACTCGGGCTACGTCTACATCACGCAGTTCGAGAATAATCCTGGGAATTTCGTGAGTATAGTTCTATTTTTCAATATTAATTTAAATTATTGATGTTTTAATAGGCTTAAAATATCAAAGTGATAAAATGGGTATTTTAGTCCTACTATGCGAACGCGGGAATGTTGTGCAACCACGTCTCCAACCAATGGGGTAGGTTCGAGAGGCTTGGGCCAAGCTTAGGCTTAGGCTTGGCTTAGGCTTAGCTTATGCTCAGCTTATGCTCAGCTTAGGCTTAGCTTAGGCTTAGCTTAGGCTTAGCTTAGGTTAGGCCTAGGCTTATCTTAGGCTTGGCTTAAGCTTAGGCTTGGCCTTGGGCTTGGGCTTAAACTTAGTTATTTAAGGCATCATCTCCGGCGAGCAGTACCTCTACAAAATCTGCACCCCCATCGGGCACCGTCCATATCCGGGGACGGCGCTGTCTCTGATCCGCGACATGGACAAGACAATGTTCGCCGACCGGCAGTACAACAACAACGAGTTGACGTTCGTCTTAGCGTTTATTTCTAGTGCCCGGTTTTCAGGGAAATGCGCGAAATTCTGAACCGGATCCCGGACATTGCGCTCGTCATCTTTGGGAGCAGCGCCTGGAACGGCTTCCACACCTTTTTCCTGCCCACCGACAAGGCTTTTGCATCGGTAACCCTACACGTCATCTAATGGAGTTTCCGAAAATCACTTGTGATCAGGTTCTTTCGGGGGGAACACATTTTTTCTTAAGATTCCATTTTACTAATACAAAGAGAAAGTGTTTTTAAACTTTTACTATTCCTAAGCGTCAAAATTTTACAAAATTTGATTACAAAATACAAAATATTGTTTACGTGAAAAAAGTGTTTTTCTAACTTTGATTTTAGGTGATCGATCGAAACCGGGTGGACCGTGAAGTTATCCTCGCACACGTGACGGGCGTCAACCGCGTATTGTTCACGTATCCGTGGCTGTACGATGGCGGAATTCACTATTATCCTAGTATCCGGTGAGTTAGGCTCAAAAATCTAAGGTTATTGCTTCAGCTTCTCCTCCAACATCATCGAGGACAACTTCAAGCTGAAGCTCTCTATGCGAAATATTACCGATCGAAGGACAGGGCGATGGGATTGTGAGTTTCTGGTTTCTAAAAGCTCGCGACGTATCTACATCAGATCCAAATATTTTTTCTAACATGAAAAGCAGCAGCGGAAAGTTTACGTCAATTAAAAAAATGATTTTTCTTAAGCGTTCTTAACATTGAAAAGCCGCAAAAGCATTTTTGAGGGTCCAAAAAGAATATCTTTCTAGTGTACGCGGTGTCCGAGGTCTACGAGCGATACGCCAACTTCAGAAGGGGCGCCGTCTGGGCCAAGATCCTCGTTCCAAATATACCCGTCCAAAACGGTGTCGTGCACATTATCGATAATGTGCTCGGTATTGTTAGTCAGACGATTGATCAGGTGAGAAAGAGAGAGAGAGAGAGAGAGAGAGAGAGAGAGAGAGATCTTCTCACGCCGAAAAAAAAACAAAACTTAAAACCTCGTCTATTTCCAGCTGGTGATGGAGAACGTGAAAACGCGCGTGCTGATGCGCTATATGAACACGATCGGGCAGATTGTCAGGTGGGGAAAACGCCCTCAGGGCAGTAAACATAAATTTAAATCAACAAATAATGGCAAAAAATTCTATTATATTTTTAGAAACTATCTATCCGCCACCGGAGGTCTCGTCACCTTTTTTGCGCCCTACGACTACGCGTTTGAGATGATCCCCGAGCAAATTGAGCGCCGCATGCTGCGAGATCGGATATGGTTGGAGCAGGTTGGGCTTGATGGTGAAGCCGGAAGAGATCTAGCTAGAAGTTCGAGGCCTAAACCTAAGCTAGACTACCCTTTGCATATGCCTATGCCTAAACCTAAGCCCAAGCCTAGCCTAACCTAATCCTAAGCCTAAGTCTAAGCCTAAGCCTATGTCACCTCAGCTTATCCCAGCGAAGCTAAGCCTAAGCATTTTTCTTTAGGTCCTAAAGCTCCACATCGTGCCGGCAAAGGAGCTTGTCAGCGACGAGATCACGAATGATACTATTGTCAATACAGTCGACAACATGCGACAATTATATTTTGTGAAGGGGGAATGGCCAAAGAATAATATTAGTAAGTCAAGCAGGAATTCTACATAATTGCGACAGCAAAAATTATCGGCATATTCTTGTCGGGATTTTCGCTGCGAGGATTTTGGCGTTATCCCCTAAGCACATGGAAAACAATACTTTTTAGCCTACTACGTGATTGGCGGAGGCATACGGACGGCCATCATTCAAGACAACGTTGCCGCCACTAATGGTGAGCCCTACGAAATAGAAAATTCAATAAGGGGCGAAAGCAGATAAAACCAATATTATCTTGTATTGGTTATAACTGGGAATCTGTCAAAATCTCGCACATTAGAACCTCGAATTTTCAGAACCTTGAATTTTCATAATCCCGAATTTCCAGAATCTCGAAATTTGCATAGGCTGGAAACAGGGCCTAGGCGTGCACTTCCTGCAGTTCTGGATATTGATTCAGACTTTGGAATTCCTTGATTCTGTAAATTGAGAGTCTAATAATTCGAGATTCTGATAGGTGATCAGGTCTCGAGTCCTACCAGAATATTTGACCGTATTTAGGCATTATCCACTACATCGAGCGGGTCCTCGGCGTGCCCTACCAATCGCTGTGGGAGATTCTGAAGAACGAGACGGATTGCCAGTGCGTATTTTCTTATACAATTAGTAATGTTTCCTAGAGCCTCCTTCCACATGCTCGAAAATGTGCAGCTGCGCTACTCGCTTGACCCGTGGCAGGTGCTGACGCCAGAACAGAATTTCACCTTTTTCATCCCGACCAACGAGGCGTGGCAAAAGGTCAGCTAAATCAGAGCAACGTAGAAAAGTATCGGTATTAATTGACTTCTAAAAACACTTGAAAAACCTTTTAACGAAGTAAATCGTACCAAAATAGGAAAAAATGCTAGCGATCAGCTTAAATACAAAATCTTATTAGGTATCTCCATATCTGAAAGGACGGATGAACGATGGGCATCACCGGGAAGCGCTACAATACGTCTTCAAAAGACATGTCATACAGGTGGGTTAAATAGAGGATTTACAACTCGCATAAGGACAGATATTAAAAACATCTATTCGACCAATTCTTTACGATTCCGTTACGAGACATTTATGGACGTAGCTCATCAACCCCCCGCTAATGGAAAAGTACCCAGAAAAACGTTGAATTTTACAGGGCCAAGCCCTGATGTATACGGATCTGCGCGAGCGGACGTACGTCATGATGAACGACGAGAAAGTGGTGATACGAAGGAGGGGGCGATGTGAGTTTCGATAGCTAAACTTGAGCCAAGCTAAGCTAAGCTAAACCTAAGTCTAAAGCCTATGCCGAAGCCCAAGCCTAGCCTAAGCTAACCAAGCCAAGCCTAAGCCCAAGCCAAGCCTCGGCCAAGTCCTAAACCAAGCCTCACCAACCCCGTTCAGACTTTGAGCTCTACTGGCCGCGCGGAAACGTGGTGGCGCGCGTGATAGAGGGCGGCGAGATCGCGGGCATCAACGGCTTCATGCACAAAATCGACAACGTCCTCATCTACGAGCCCGACCTGCACGCTGACGGTAAGCAGTACCCGAGTCCCCCCAAAGAAACGCTAAATTCTAGCCCCGATCGACGGCGTGCCGTGGATGACGTTACTCTGCATCGTGTGCGCCCCGTTCGCCCTCAGATTAAATTTCGCGCGCTTGATATTAACCCTCGCGTTTCTGCACTCGCAATTTCCAGATTTCTTTGATAATATTTTGAGCGTAAACCCGCAATTTTAAGCAGAATGGTGCTGCAAAACAATGATATTTTTGAGCTTCCCAAACTTAATTTCCTATTTTCAAAAATTCCTATAATTTCCGGGGCTGGTTTCTTGTCGGGGGGAGACAAAATTCTTCTGACAGCGTGGCCGCGCTCTGATTAAATAGACGCTAGTTTCCGCTCCTTTTAGCTATAAAAACGTGATAAGAATGTCGAAAAATTCACTTTCAGGTAAACAATGCGTGCAAAAAAAATGTTGTTTTTTTAGAACGTTACAGTAAAAGGAAACTTAAAAAACATTATGAAAATAATCTACGTTTTCTTACTAAGAAACAAAATAGATTTTCAAGCATTTTCCGTTCTTTTTAGACATAAAGTGGCTAAAAATGATTAAAAATTGTGCCTCCTAGAAAAAAACTACCGAAAAAATCGCTGAACAATGTTTATAGAACTATTTAGCAATCGGAAACTACGGAAAATTTCAAAATCTCAAAACTCTTATACCATCGAAATCAAGTCGAAAAGATGTTAGCCCCCCCCACCGCTAATACACCAGTAACCACTTTTCTCACGCCATTCAGGGACAATATAAATGTCACTTAACGAAAACCCCATGTTTATCCCTTCAATTGCATCGATGTCTCTATCTCTCTATCTTCCTCTGTGTCCCTCCGACCAAATACGTGTACGTGTGCGATTTCATAGGCTTTCTCAGAGAATAAAGACATACTTTATTTACATCACCATGGCCTTTCAGAATCGATTTTTCCCGCCGCCGAACCGCGACTTCCACTTTTGCTTCTTCAGGAATTTGCGCTTCGCCTCGGCCGATACCTGTAAAAAGATACTTTAAAGATCCTAGGCCAAAAATTACCTTTCCACGCACGAAGTTCTTCTTGCGCAGGTTGATTTTCACAAAATTCTCGCCGTGCGACTTGGCCGTCTCGCGCTTCGCGTTAAACCTATCGAAAAATAGGCAACGTAGGGGTAGCTTACTTGAAGAGATTCTTCTTCGGCTTCAGGGCTTCGGCGGCAACTTCCGGTGGCAGCTCCTCGGTTTCATCCTGAAATCGGGTTAGTTTATGAGTCTATTGCCAAGGATCGAAATATGAGACCGGAATTTCATGTCTATACTGTTTGCGCTTTCCTAAGGAATCTCTGCTAATTGCCCACTCCGAAAGTATCTCTGCTGGACTGCCCTTTTCTAAAGGATCTCCGCTAGCATGCCTTTTTCTAGAACATCTCTTTTAGCATAGCCTTCCTACAGAATCTCGGCTATTTGCCCTTTCCTACAGAATCTACGCTAGCCAGCCTTCTATTCAAGGGTATCTGCTAGCCTGCCCATTCTGCGAAAAAATGAGATAAACCGTTACATCAAAAAGCTCGGGCTCTTCCTCGTCCTCCACCTTGCCCCGCTTCTCGTTCGAAGCCAGCAGCAGGTTTTCCGTGTTTTGCAGCACAATTGACCTAAATCAAGGGTAAACAATCCTAACGTCAAAGTTTACCTCATCAGCGGCTTTCTGGGCGACTTTATCGGCGTCTTCGGGTTTTTGAAGTTGGTGAGCGGGGCAAGGGACCGCTTCTCGGGCGTGAAGGTGGCCATTTTCCGCGGGGAGTCGCGCTGGAAATATTTTAAGCTTGAGAAAATAAATGTGAAAAATACCGCGGCAAATTTCTTGAGAGGCGAGGTGGCAAACTTGGAGGGTGATGCGCAGCCAAGTTGAAATGACTGCTGCTTTTTGCGAGGGGATGCCTAAAGGAGGTGCAAAAAAATCAAAAAAATTTCTACCTGACTGGTCGATGGTTCCTGCGGGTCCGAGCGGATGCTGCTGGACGGCAGTCTAGGGAGCAGGCTGGGCCGCGGAAAAAGCGACAGCGATTTTCGAGGAGGTGGCTAAAACTAAAGCTAAAAGCTAAAGCTAAATAAAAAGCTACCGATCCATCGTCCTTTCTGCGCTTTTTCGCCGGGCTCTTGTATTCCGGCCGCTTCACCTCGATCAGCGGCCGCTTCTTCGACAGCGCAAATCGGTTCTCCTCCTCGATAGGGCCGAGCAGTTCCTCTAAACAAATAAATACTTATGTAATACCGATTTACCGTATTTCCTCTTTCCTCTATTTCCCACCTTTCACATGTTTTGGCGCCAAGTGATAGTCGGATTTGGTGGGCGTCTTGCCGTGGATGGTCTTGAACACCGTCTTCCATTTGTCGGCCATCGTGTCGTGGCTGAAAAGAAGATATTAGTTATATTATCCTACTATATATAAAAAAAATAGTGTTTGTGTGTGTGTGTGTGTGTATATTTGCATGCACTTCCGTTTGGATGTTCCGCACCTAGAGCCTCAGGGAAGCATTTTTTCGGTAGGGAAGAAACGTCATAGGGTAAAGAAGGGGCTGGAATCGACTGCACACACATAAAATCTTCGAAAAATTGCTATTTTCGCTATTAAAATTAGGTTTTTGCAAAAATCTTGGCTGGCCTCTTTGTTAGGGAAAAATTAGCATACGCCGGAAGTGGAAATGGCTTATAAAAAGGAAGGCAGGGGTGGTTTTCATTTTTTGGTCATCGTTTTTCGGCAAGAATTATGCAAATTTTCATAAATCCTCGACGGGGCCAGGGTTGAAAAGCCGCGAAGCGGTTTTTCAACCCTGGTTAGTTTAATAATAATTCAAAGAATTTAAAATGTTAAAGTTTATAATATCGAACGCGTTTTTTAGTATTTTCTCCAGCCGCCGGCCGAAGTGTTCATGGGATCCTTTCGTAGTCAATTTTGCCGTCGTCAACTTTTCAAAAGGCCAAAGCTATCCTTCTTCCAGCAGCTAAAGGTAATAAAAATTATTTATAATCATAAAAGCATTGCCAATCTTTTAGACAATTGGTTTATCGAGGACCTTGTGGCGCACCAGCGCTTCCCCTCGCCCACTCGAACCACTTGCAAATGGACTTTACACAGGGTAACGCGTTTTTTCAAAGTTCTAAAGTCCCTCTTTAGATCAAGACTTCGATCCGCACGCCTCTTTTCTAGCCGTCCCCACGCCGGTTTATGAAGGTAAATAACCTCTTTGGTTTTCTGTTATTTTTCGGCGTCAAATGTCGTTCAATTGGGCCAAAAAAGTCTGGCTGGACTGCGATTCTCACGACTAAGGTTTAAAAATTGTTTTTCAGTGCCCGCCGCCTCAGCTCAGTCAAGCGGAAGTGGATTTCCGCGGTTTACGGATGGTGAAATGTGAGTTTTTCTAGATTTATAAGTTAAATCCTTATTTATTTTTGGTTTCATCAAAATTTTTGATAGATATGTGATGTTCTATCATACCGCGTTAAAACCACCCCGAAAATGGCGAAAATCTCGAAAAGCGGGGTTGAAAAGGCCCTCCCCTCATAAACTTTTTCAGAGAGCAACAACGCCAGCAGCGAGCCGCCGAATTCGATCGTCTCGTCGACAAGGCCGGCCTCCAGAAGCCCGCGCCCACGCCCGGATTCAAGGTGCCGAAGCCGTTCGGATCGGGCGCCGCCTCAAGCTCGGCCGCTTCAATTCCGCACACGGCCACCGTTGTGGGCACCTCGGCAGAGCCGGCTCATCCGTTCACCGCCGTTCCTTTGCCCCGTACCCGTATGTCGTGCTCGCATTTCCTGGAATATGGCCTTTTAGAAGCCGTTGGCGAAGATGGGGAACGATTGCCGCGCAAGAAACGGGAAGATAGTGGGTTTTGGCGTTTTCGATTGTAAGCCCGGATTTTAGTGACAGCTGAAGAGCGGCAACTTGACAATCAACTTCGCAAAGAGGCGCGGAAACGCACAATCATGGAAAGGACGAAGGATCGGATTGCCAATGGCGAAGTCATCCCCACTCAGGATCCACATGGTTGGTAGTTAGAAAAATTTTTGCATCTCATTTTTCAGCCCATCGCGAGAATCATGTCAAGACGGGACCGCTCGTTCAGATCACCTCCAAATGTACGAATATAACTTTTTTCTTACATACATTTTTCAAATTTTCCGACGCAAACGGATAAACCATTTTTTAGTGCCCGAGGAAGCTCGTCTCCGCAAACGGGCCCAGGACAGGGATCGGTTGAAGCGCCGGGCCGCCGAACGAGCTGCAGCCGTCCAGGGCCGGCCCCTCGAAGAAGTTATGAGGGAGCGAGGGCTCGAACCCCGTGCAAGCACCCAGCCGCCCGCATTCAAACTCTTCCAAGTCGGCGACGGTCAAGCCCCCAAGCCCATTCAAAGCCAGCCGCGCGCCCAAGGGTAGGTTTTTACGCTTTATTTTTTAACTAATTTTAGGTCCCAAATTCCGAAGGGTGGCGGAAATGCGAACGGCGGCTTCCCGCGTGGCCCCGACGGCAAGATCATTCGCGGCGAGCGAGGCGGAAGGGGCACAGCCAAGAAGGGAATACCGCCCGGTGGGGGAACACCAAAGAAGGGTCGCGGAGGCGGAGGTGGCCGCGGAGGAGGTCGAGGAGGTGGCCAAGGTGGATTGGGAGGCGATTGGAAGGGACGCGAGGTTCGGTTTTCCATTTGCTTTTTAGTAAACGTTTTTTAGGGCTGGGAACGTAACCGCGTACCGCCGCCGCCGCATTTGCGCACGAACTCGCAGCCGGATACGTATCTCGATCAGGGCTATGTAAGTTCTTTTGCTATTGGCAAATAGCATTGATATTTTGCCTGCTACGCCTCTTGTTTATCAACATTTTTATGCCCTCAAATGTCTATTGCCGCTTCAGGAAAGCCGTCACCAGCGTCGCCCGCAAAATTACGGGCCTCCTCCGCCTCGGCACCGCGACTACAGCCATGACTACAGCCACGACTACAGCTACGATTATGACTACGACTATGGACACGGCGGTTACGGCGGAACTTACGACGACTACTACGGCCCGCCTCAGCCCAAGCGCCCGGCACACCCATATCCGCCGGCTGGCCCTGCTGCTGGCGGCGACGACGAGGTGGTCGTGATGAGGAAGGGCGAGCTGCAGGCCATCCTTGACCGCGAGCGTGCACGCGCCCAACAGCAGAACTTGTCAATAGGTGAGCTTCACCGTTCATTAGCTTGGAACAGAATCCCGCGCTGGCGTTCCTCGACTCTAGAGCGAAGGCCAGCGCTGGAATAATAAAAAAATGGTTTTTATCTAAAAAAGCTAAAGATATTTTTTTGTGGTTCTGGTCTTGTTTTCTAATTCCATTAACAGGACACTCGGTCCCCGGGCCTCAGGAAAAGCCCGGGGACCGAGTGTACCGTCGTGTTTCAGCTCCAGCGGGCCCATCCGCTTCGGCGCCTTCGGACCAAGTGGACAGTGCGGCCGCCAAGCTGTGAGCATAAGTTTCCTATTTTTTCGTGCTCACGACTGGTGAGCGCCAAAAATGACGGGCTTCCGCCAAGGGCGTTTGACCGCCGTTTTTGGCGCTGCAGAAGCTCGGCAACTGCCGTTTTGCGCACCGAAACGCTATTTCGGGCGCGCGCTGGTTTTAGGGCGCTTAGTCCGATTTAACTCTTTGATTTAGGCTGCTCGATCTGCTGCGTACGAAGGCCAAGGAAGACTCGTCTGAAGACCAGCGACGTCGCGAAGAAGAGCGGCGCCGGGAGGAGGAGCGTCGCCGCGAGGAGGAGCGCCGCAACTTTTCCGATGATCGTGGTGCGGCCGCGGTGTAAGTTTCCGGTTTTCTGGAAACTCCTGGCTGTTGCAGGCTGATGGAGCTGCTGCGCTCTCGACAAAACAACACGGCGTCCGTTTCGTCGAGCAACAGCGGCGGCTACTCGCGCACAACGATCACCACCATCGAGACGACGCACCCACCTGGGGAATTTATGGAGCCTCGAGGGTCAGTTTTTTTGAAAATGATGTAACGCTCGCGTTTAGGAATTATCAAGCCCTTCCCCCACTGCCACGTAGATCATCACCCGGGCGCGTCGTCATCGAGGAGGTTTTCGATTCGCCGCCCAGAAAGGATACTAGGTAAAGCAGCCTCTTATTGTTATTCTTTTATTACGGTTTTTTAGCTCTAAATGCGTCGTGGAAGAGATTGTCGAGGAACCGGCTGCTGCGAAGTCTGTTCCGGGGGCTGCGAAGCTGCCAGGTATTTTTTGATAAAGGTTTTAAACAGTATTTTTCAGAACCTGAGCCAGCCGCATCTACCCAGTCGGCAAACGACGCCGACATTATGGCGGAGGTGATGCGCAAGATGAAAAAGATCAAGGAGATGCGCAGGATCGAGGAAGAGTAAGAACATGTTACAAACTTGACTTTGCCTTTTTAGCAAACCGTTCTCCTACGACGACTTCAAGCCTCAGCCGGCCGCCCCCGCAGCAGCAAGCAGTTCGGGCCTAACCACAACGGTCGTCCGCGTCAACCATGAACCAGGTGTGGTTTTGCTTTATCAATTATTTATCAAAAATGGCTTTTCAAGACTGTCCCAAAGCAAAGCTTGGTTTTAGAGCGGCCTCGTTTCGGACTGTCTAACGACCCATACTCTCGCTACGCGCCCCAAGCCTACGCTGCACAAGCCCCCGGCTACCCCGCAGCTGCCCCACCGCCTGTTCAGCCAGGTATGATGCATAGTTTTTGCTGTCTAGCACACATTTCTAATTTCAGTTCCCCCGCCGCCCTTCTACGCCAACAACGGACCCGCGGGCCCGCCCGGCGGATATGGTGGACCCTCGGGTTTTCGGACTCCCGCCGCTGCCGGCCACTACGCTCCTCTCCCCACACAGGGAAACGTCTTCATTCCCGGCAATCAGGCACCGTATCGTCAGAACTATGGTAACACCCTCGAATTAAAATGTACCGTCCCGTTTTAGATCCGCCGCCTCGCCACTTCTTCTGAGTCGCCATCGTTCCGCGTCGTTCCGTCCCCGTGCTCTCCAGACGGCGCTATTGACCCGTCGTTTCGAATTGTTATTTTTGTTTTGTTTGTCGATCTGACGATTACGATCTTACATAATTTTATGATTTTATTGGCTTTACTACATATAATTCACCAGCACAGAAAATGGATCGAGAGAGAGAGAGAGGAGGGGGGAGAATACTGACATGTAAAGGTGGGATCGAGAAAAGCTGCTTGAAAATGCGATGTCATACGAAAATGGCGATGGGAGAAGGGCAGATTGCGGAAATCACAGCGTAGAAGAAAGATGACAATGGATGCGGCGTAAAAAGGAACCTATTTGCCGTGCTTCTTGACGAGGGCCTGCGCTTCTTCTTGCAGTGCCTTCTCGCTCTCGTCGGTGGCCGTCAACGCGATGGCCTCCTGCGCGAATTTGACGGCGTTCTCCTGAAAAGAAAGATTTTCAAAATTGTCGCTTATTAGAATCAACAAAACTCAAAAAAACCAAGAAAACTAGACTTTTTGTGTCTAACAATAACCATAGTGATTTTTTCAGTTTTCAATAGTTTCTAATAACTAAATTTACCAAAGTGTTTTAGAAGCTCTTCAAATTTTGAAGTCCTTGCTGATTTTTTCATTTTTCATCCAATCTCGAAAGGGCGAAAATCAGAAGCCTCCCCCTGTTAACAGAGAAACCAATCCAATGCCACACACATAGTCCTTCTTGGCCACATAGCACCGGGCGGCGAAGATGTCGTTCTCGATGAAGTCGGCCCGGATGGCGTGGCACGCGACGAAGTCGGCCAGCGCCTCATCGATGGTGGCCTCGGGCGGGGTGGCGAAGAAGGCGGATGCGGCCTACGCAAAAATTGGAGCAATACGATAGCATTTTACCTTCCGCTCGAGCCAGCTGAGGTTGGCGATGCCGAACGCGTACCGGCCGCGCAGATGCAACAAGGTCGAATCCTTGGCGTCAAGGGCGAGCGCCTTGTCGAGTAGCCCCTGAATTTACAATTGATTAATGCATTCTTCTAAATGATAAAAGGATTAACCATTGAATGAATGCTTTTCACATAGTATGATGGCGGCTAAACGGCAAAAACGTTAAATTTAGCAACTATTGAACTAGAAAAAAACCAACTTTGAGGATGTATGCCTGCTCGATGCGCTCCTTGGTGCCCAGGAAGTCGGTGCAGCTGCCGACGAGGATGGCGGCCCATTTCAGCACCTAAAAGAAACATATTTTTGAAAACGCAAAGATTATACCTGAATATTACCCTCTGGGCACGCGTCGACGGCTCGCTTCCCGAAGTCACGGCCCTCGAGCATGTACTTCGAGCGGCCCTTCGTGTCCTTCGTGTCGAGGGCGCTGGCCTTTCTATAAAAAGATGTTGCTTTACTGAATCGTTTTACTTACTTGTAGCAGGCCTCGGCGAGGCGCCATAGGAGCTCGGCGTCATTCTCGTGACCGGCGAGTTGCTAAAACAATGTTTTTGTGACGAACAAGAAAATTATACCTCCATCAGCTCGTCGTAGCTTTTGCCTTCGTACGCCATCGTGTTCGCGATCTAAAGCTCCAGGTAATAATGCGAAAAATGAAAGCAAAAAGATACGCGAACAAGGTGTCAACTTGAGAATTTCCGCCAAACAGCAAGTTAATAAGTGAAATATTTATCGACCCGTATTAATAAATAGAATAGATTAAGTTTTGTTTAATCCGAATCCGAGAACGAAGATGCTTCATCCGAGGTGTCATCATCTGATTGGCTGGCTGGCGGAGGCGCTACAGCGGCAGTGTGGGCCGAGGGGCTAAACAAAAAGTGTTTTAAATCTAAAGCAAAGCGTACTCAAGCAGCGCTGGATCCAGCCCTTCCGTCAACATTTTCTGCTCGACGGCCCCGCGTGGGATACCCTGAAATGAGAAATTAATTGCATTAAAATAGCGTACCAATTTCAGCATTTTTAGATACTTCTCCAACAGCGGATTGGTCAACTTTGCACGTTCCGCAGTTTCTACCTTCTCCTGAACATGCTATAACTGATATATTTTAACGAAAGGGGTTCAGTTTTGTGATTGGGACCTACAGGGGCAGCTTCAGCTGGTTGCGGGGCCGGGTGTCCATCCTTGTGTTCTTGGACCACGATGACGGGCGGCACGCCGTTGGTGGTGCCATTTGAAGTGGACGGGGCTTCGGAGGAGGTGGGCGTAGGAAATTTCCTGATCTGGAAGTTTTTATAGCTTATTAGAAAGCTGATTCACACAGTCTAAGCTTCAGAACATTGTTCCCAGCCTGGTTTCAACCTTTCAAATCTGTATTTCGTTTTCGTTACCCAAAACTGATTTAGATCGTTAACACAAAGGAATTTTTTTGATTAATTTTAGATTCAGCGGTTAGAGAGTAGAAGAACCCCGGTTTACAACCTGCCTCAAACCCACCTTCGTCTCAAGGATCTCCAGTTTCAAGTCGATGGCGTCGAGGCTGCGTTCGGCTCGCAGAATGGCCTCCTCGGATTGGAGGGCAAAATCGGAGAGGAAGTGCGTGGCCTTCTGGAGGAAGGCATTCACGTAGACGGCCAACCGTCCCTTGTGCAGCGGAGCGACCGGAAAATGTTATTTTTACGCGGGGAAAGACCATGACTCACATTCTTTAGATCGATATCCGTCCCGATGAAGCTCAGATCGGGTTGCTGCATTATAAGAAAGCCTAAACCTGCCCTCATAGACCCCAAATGTCAACGAAAAACGCAATCTGCAAAAAGTTATCTTTTACCCGTTGCAACGATATGGCGACGAATTGCGGACGGCAAGCAAGACTTTATTACATTGTTTCCTATATTACAGAGATAAGTAGGAGCTGAAAAATAAATGCTAGATGGCGAATCAATAGAACGAAAAGAGCAAATATTAGAAAAATATCACAAACAATTGAGCCTGGGCCGAAAATAACGAAAACACGAATATTTGGTCGAATGATCGGGGGGAAAACGAGAATGTCATAACAAAAACATAAGGAGCCGCTCAGAAAAACTTGAGAAACCGAAAAAAACAATCAGAGCACAAATCTAGTTTTGCTTCTTGTGCGCGTCGTTGAGGACCTTCTTGCGCTGGCCGAACATGTGCAGGTACATCTTCGGGAAGCCGGGGATGTACGTCAGGGCGAAGAGGACGAGGTACCACCAGAAGGAGAACGACCAGTTGATCGCGTTCGGCATCTCCAACGAGAAGTGCTTCTTCGCGTGCACCTGAAAGGGTTTTTTTGGGAACAATTGGACTAAAGCAACCTCGTTCAGCGACCGGACAACGGTGAACAGCTCGCCGGAGGCGCCCATCGGGTAGAGGATGATGAAGAACGTGTACCGGCACCAGACGAGGAATGACGGCACCGACTAAAGATAAAAGATAAAAGGGTACAGGGTGCCCAAAACGTTTAAAAATGAAAAACAAATTTTGTCGAAAACTTTCAATGAAAGCATAAAAATGGAACACTTTTCAATCCAAGCTTCTCGCTCAAAAATTTACCTTGACAATGTTGAGGGCGTAGAAAGAGTAGCGGATGACCTCGGTGATCGACCAGGCGACGAGCAGCATCGGCACGCCAATGCTATCCCGGGCCTCGTGCACCTTGTACAGCACCGGCCAAACGACGGACACCCGGGAGAACACCTAAAAACGTTTAACAAATAAAAATAACACATTCACCTGAATAATAGTCGTTGCAATCGGTGACCGGACGAGGCCGATTGCACAGTGTACAATTTCGAGGACGGCGGCCGTCTGAAACACGGTTTTAAAAGAAAGATCTAGCTTTTTAGTTTTTCAACGGCCAGGTATGTCGTTGCGCGAAAATTATATATTGCATTATTTTGGGTCGGAATCCACAGTTCTAGTATATTTTTTCGATGCTCTACCGACCAGCGTTTAAAAAATTCCTAAAAATAACAGAATTATCGAAAAACCAGATGGTTACAGTCGCTTCGCGACTGCAACCATCTGGCCTTCGGGCTACCCTACATGCCCCACCCCACCACATCCATTCCCACCTCCATCAATACCCCCCATGGCTGAAATCCCCTTCAAAAACTACCTAAATACCTTCCTGATGGCTTCAGATACCCCTGGCTGAAATCCCCTTCAAAAACTACCTAAATACCTTCCCGATGGCTTCAGATACCTCCCCTAGCCGAAATCCCCTTCAGAAACTACCTAAATACCTTCCTGATGGCTTCAGATACCTCCCCTAGCCGAAATCCCCTTCAAAAACTACCTAAATACCTTCCTGATGGCTTCAGATACCCCCCATGGCTGAAATCCCCTTCAAAAACTACCTAAATACCTTCCCGATGGCTTCAGATACCTCCCCTAGCCGAAATCCCCTTCAAAAACTACATAAATACCTTCCCGATGGTTTAAGATACCTCCCCTAGCCGAAATCCCCTTAAAAAGCTACCTAAATACCTTCCCGATGGCTTCAGATACCTCCCCTAGCCGAAATCCCCTTCAGAAACTACCTAAATACCTTCCTGATGGCTTCAGATACCCCCCATGGCTGAAATCCCCTTCAAAAACTACCTAAATACCTTCCCGATGGCTTCAGATACCTCCCCTAGCCGAAATCCCCTTCAAAAACTACCTAAATACCTTCCTGATGGCTTCAGATACCCCCCATGGCTGAAATCCCCTTCAAAAACTACCTAAATACCTTCCCGATGGTTTAAGATACCTCCCCTAGGCGGAATCCCCTTAAAAAACAAAAATAACGACCGACCGGATGGAATGAGAGCAAAAAAGAAATGAAATCCCCCGTGAAAATTTTCATCCACGAAACGCGCGCCACCTGGCTCACTATGTCCAAAATCACCCCAACCACCCCTTTTACTAAGGAAAAAACCTTCAAAGTTAATTTTAATAATTTAAACTAAAACTTTTTCATAATTTTTTTATCAGTTTGGGGGTTTCTGACCACGCTCTATCCGAATCCGAAGAGAGCTAAGCTCTAGCTCCTTTCCCCTTCGAGTTGAATTCGGCTTCAGACGGACGGACGGACGGACGGACAGAGACCACAGCAAAATTATTATAGTTGATGATCGGGTTATCCTTTTTCAGGATCATAAACCCTCGCCAACACGGATTTTAGAAGAATTTTTGCCATTAATTTTTACAAAGTAGAAAACGCCCAACCTGGAAAATTTGGACGAGGCACTCGACGTTGGTGTACAGCTGGCTCCACGATAGCCCCTCGGCCAGCCCGGAAAGCGTCTTGACGAGGATCAGCGCCCAGCCGGCGACTTGCAGCCCGTTGTAGGCGAGCAGGTACAGCTCGGCCGGCTTCATTTTACCTGGAAATGGCGGGTTGGTGATAGGAAATGGCAGAAGGAGACGAAGAGAAAACGCGGAAATCAATATCAAATCAGAAATTTAGAAAAACAGAAAATCTTCCCAAAATTGTAAGAATTCCAAGCTCAGGCTTTTTAACTTTGGCACCCCCAATTCATAGACGAGCTTCAAAAAGACGAGCATAAGGGCAAAAGGATGGCGTGATAGAGGCGAAAGTTGAGAGATCTTATCTTGCGGTATGGCCAGTGGCAAAGGGCGAAAGGGCAGAGAGAACGCAGAGCCCCTTTCTGACCTCCCCAAATATAGCACAGTTTCTTGGGTGGATTTTGTTAGCTGAGCGCAAAACAGCAAGTTTCGTGTAGCGAAAACCAAACGAGCTTCGCCCGCCTCTCGAGAAAATTCTAAAAAAAAAATTCTAGACATCTATTTTGCATCCAGCGCCGCAGCGTATTTTTAATCGTACTAAAAGGTCGACGTTGACGACGACCGGGTCCTATAGACTCGGCGCCCCGGATGGGGATGCAAGGGGCTAGAATGGGTAAATGAGCTTCATTAAAGTTTTACCGCGCCTCCCGCCCGAGAAGCCGACAAAGTCAAGCAAACATAAAGGGGCTGAAAGGTTTCATATTGGCGCCTTCTCTGAATACGTAGTTTCCGCCAAATATGGCTCACTTTAAAATGAAAAGACTTAGATTTTTGCGATAAAAAATTAGGGGATCTAGACTTTTAAAAGATTTTGAACCAAAATTTTTTTAAATTTTTACGTCTAGGGATAGCGAAAGCAGTGAAGTCTCATCATACTTCATTTATTTTTTGAGTACAAAAATAAATATTATGTAAAAAGCTTGTAACCCGCTTCCGGGAGGCCCCCCTGGAAATAGAAAAGAACCAAATTACCTACCAAATTATTTTTTTGCATTCCTCAAATTCACGAACAATCCCACCCCATCCGAAGCATGGAATCGCCAAAGCGGTTGGCAACTGTTGCTTTTGTTTGGTCAGCTGTCCCGTCCGGCTCATAGTCATGGAAAACCGGCGAAGACGTGCAAGATTGATTCGATTCTTTCGCGCTAAAATCCCGCAAATTTCGATTGCCTAAAATGAGCGAGCCCACTCCTAACTATGGAAAAAATTTACTCGAGCTATTTTTGCTGCAGTTCCGGGCAATGGGAATCTCGGACAAACTGTTGAACGAGTTGTTTTTGGAGAAAGGTAGGGCCAGGAAATAGATTCGGGAGAACTTTCGAGTAGGTATTTGCTCCGGAACCGAACTGCTCGCAAAGTTGGGAATTACGCTGCAACTTGAGGAAGCGCCTGGTGGATCAGAAATACATTCTGCGGCTGCAACGTCGGAGGTACAGGGGCAAAAGTAGGGGCTAATTTCATACACCCTACAAATAGCACTTTAGAGCCCAGCCTATACCTGAAAAGCCTGAAAAGCGCCAAAAGAGCCGTTCAAAAAAGAATGTTGCGGATACGGCACGGGAAGAAAAAATCTGCCGGAATAGACGGGAGAAAGAGCTTCAACCCTTTGTAATGAAGCTAACGAAGCCGGATCCGGGGGAAGAGTGGGAAAATCCGCTTCTAACGGTGTCAGAAAAATCGGTTCCCATAAATAAGCCGACACTAAAGTCACTCAGTCTTTACGAGGATCACGATTTTAAGGTGCGAAATCGGCTGGGAAAGGCGATAAAGAAGTTAGCCCAGGATCCGAAGAATGAGGGAGCTTTTGATAAGACAGAGCCGCCACAAACAAAACTTGTCGATGAAGGAAATCACCAAGCGGTGCTTGAGCAGGAGCCTTTAGAAAAACAAGAGGCTGAAGCTCAAGACACCACTGCAAAAATCGCGAAACCCGAAAAGGCAAAAGCTGCGATAGATGTTCTGCTAAGGCCCGAAGAACCAGAAATCCCTAAGTTAACATCGAAAGAATCATTGCCAGAGGATCTCGAAAAAATTCCCTTGCCGCAAACGCCCGGCAATTCCCTTGACGAAATTTCTGGCGTAAGGGGCCCCGAAGAAGCTGTGAATTGTGATTTAGCAGAGGAAATCAATATAGCTATTGTGCCAGATGCCTTACCAGAGCAAAACCCCGAGTTTTCAGTTGAGCACGAACTAGCCTCGCCTAGACCAAAGAAGAGATTGGAGCTACAAGAAAAGTGTAGCCCAGTTTCCGGCACAGATCCGGAAACTTTTGGTAAAGAAATTGATACAACTACCGAATTCGCTACGAATATTCCGGATACTGCGCCAGAACCTACTGAGGAAGTGCTGAATACAGGAGCTGATCAGGAAGATGCGGAAAAAATTTCAGAAAATGACGCGGAGCCAAAAGAAGCAGTTTCGCCAAATCAAGCAATTGGGAGTCAAAATGGGCTCCAATTAACTGCTGACGAAACGGACGAGGACATATCAGAATTCCGGTCTAGTAAACTAGAGTTAATGGCAGAAGACCGAGAAGACATGGGGCCCCAGAAATGTCACACGGCCTCGAATAGCGAAAGCGACGATCGGGTGATCATGAATGCGCCTGGGTACGATAGGAATGGAAATCCGATAGAGGGATATGTGGAAAGTCACGCAGATGAAGGCACCCCAAAACAGAATAAAAGACAGAAAACCGAGTCTCCTGGCACGGCAGTTGAAGCCTGCACTTCGGAAAAGACCTCGGACAAGCTACAGGACCATGCTGCGATCATGCAAAAAGCCAAAAGCTCTAAGCCCGAGGCCAAGCATCAAGCAAGCCGTAAAAGATGCAGAAAAGAGCCCGCTGACCCCTTTACAACTATTGAGCAGCTTTTCTTGAAAATGTCTAACGACTTCAAGATCCCGAAGAAGAAGCCAGCGCCTGTGGCCTCCAAGTGAGTAGTTTTACGATAATTTTCAGGGTTCCTAAGCTAAGAAAGATTTTGCAGCCCGCCCTCGCTTGCCGAATTCGCGCAAAACGGAGGCGAAGCTCAATCAGCGGCAAGAGAAATGCTAATGGATATTTCCGAAAGCGACGGCGAATCACCGGGAGAGCACAACCAAGGCTCTCTAGGGTAACAAAACTGAAACTCAAAAATACCCGTTGCAGAGATCCCACACACGAAGACCATAGCGCAGAGTGGAGACATCCGCGGGCCGACGAGACGAGCCCGGGCAACCCTCATGTTTCTGGTTCTTCAACCGGTTGGTTTGCCTGAAACGGCACAGCTCAAAAAATGTCAGCAAAAAACATACCGATTATTTAGAAGAGCCAGATCACGCGCTTGAAAACAGGGTGCAAATTCAGATCGCCATGTTGCAGCATGAGGTGGGGCTGTCAGAAATCAAGTAAAGCTAAGAAGCAAATTTCAGCAGCTTTGGGCGCAAATGTTCCAGCAGTTGCCGCAGCACTACCCAATGATGCACCAACCGGCTATGCCGTATCCGACTCAACCCGGTAGCAAAACCGTCACAAAGAAGGGTCTTTTTACAGCTTTCGAAGGTCAGCCCCCCGACCCGTCGCCGCTCGGCGAGCTCTACTATCCTGGGGCTGCGGCAAAAAGGTTTCGGAAACGAGTTAGATGTTAGATACAATTTCAGCGCCCCAAGTTACGATCATAACTACCAGTATCCGGGCATGGGATGGCCAACGGGAAGCTTTCAGCCAGGCCAAAACTTTTACAACTACGGCGGAGGCTATTGAATTGAATATCTTCACGAAGCTATGCTCAGTTTGGCTCAAACGCACGCGAGCAGTACATAGATAAATACCATTCCAATCACCTTCCGATAATTGTGGCAAGCCAACACTCGATCTCGTGCAATCGGGGGTGAACACCGGCTCGTAGAATGTCTTATTATTGTTCTTGCCCAACGAAAACAAGCGGCATTCGGTGGGAGGGCGAGAAGGCCACAGTAAATTTGAGCAAAGTGGGGGATATTTCTGAACGTGGGTATCTATGAGAATACGGCCATCGCCACCTGGGCACCGCCGCCGAGGGCCGCATTCAAGTGACAAAACCGAATATACATGCTAGAGAAACGGGCAGGCAGGCGATCCGATCGAATGAAATGAAATAGGGTACACGAAAAGAGAGAGTAAGGGCGTTTTCGCGAGTAGCTGCTGGGGGAAGAGGCAGAATCTGAAAAGTGCACATTTCAAGGTGGCTGACATCATCACGAGAATTTTCTGTCAAAATGGCGAATATTCATAATGTCGAAATCTTTGGTGAGCTTTTCTGACGGTTTCAAGGTAGTTTTAGACACCATGAATTTCGACATTCTGCTACCAAATCGATCACAATGATGGTGGAGAGCTAGAGAAGTGAAATGATGTATCGTAGGCTATCACAAAAGTGCAAAAAGTGAAAATGGGTACAAGGGTCAAGGCACACAACACGAAAATCACAGCAACGAAACCGTTATAATATGCGAAACAAATTGGGGTCAGCAGAAGGGGGGTTAATCCCCGTGGTGGATGATCTCGTCTTCTTCGCTGTCCTCATCGTTTTGGGCCCACGAGGCGCCGGTTTGACTGCTGGCGGCCGAGGGGCCGGCCCGAGATCCGCTTCGCTGAAAGCCGGAAATAGGAAGCGGAAACAGGACTACGAACCTGAAGCGTGTTGGTCTGATTGGCCGGCTTGACGGTGATGATGAGGTTGTGGGCGTTGGCGACCATCATGTCGGTGACCTGGTCCAGCGTCTTGCCCTGCACCTCGATACCATTCACTTCTAGCACCTAAATAATTGAAATTGAAAATCTATTGAAAACCGAAAGCGGATAATAGAGAATATCTCGCGGTACTTTTTCAATATCGGTGGGGGGAGAGGGGAGAGGGCGAATGAATATAGTCCAGATATGCCTAGCCAGTATTTCAATAATGTTTTTGCGGCGATCTAGCGAAATTTCAGGCGCAAAATTATTTCGAAAGCCCGAAAAACTTCAAAACTTGTAAAATCTGGTCGAAAAAAGATATCGGTATTTTTTATGACTGGTTAGAGTTTTTGAGCGAACAATAGCAAAAACCAACCAAAAACACTCCTTTTTATATTAGAAATTCTGAATCATGAAGAAAAAAAGTTTGTTCACTCGTCTCTTCCCCCTTGCGCGTCATTACGAAGCCCAAATTTGTTAAGGCGCACCTCATCGTTAACGGCCAATAAGCCGGTGCTTTCCGCCAGCCCTCCTTCTACCATCCGCGAGATGAAAATGCCCGGCATTTTGACGACTCCTTTCGGCGTGACACGCACAGAGGTACCGTCGCTAAAGCCGATAAAATTTGATAGTTAATGGACAAATAAATACCGGATGTAGAAGCCGAGTGGTCTGTCCTGGCCGTGCTTGCAGAGGCGAACACGTCGGTGCGTCTCGGGGACGATGTGAACGTCAATGATCGACGACACCTGAAAAAAATCAAATAAATCGAATGGGGCGATCCATTTCGCAAAAAAAAACACAATTTCCCGACTCACCTGCCGAAAATCTTCTGGATTTGAGATATTGTAATTTCGCTTCACGCTCTTTTGCGTCAGCAACGACGAAATACCCCTAAACAAAAATATGCCTGTAAAAAGCACGAAACTCACTTCCTCCGCCGATCCACCGTATCCGTCCCGTATCCATACTTCTCCTCCCAACTCTCGCCCTTCCGCTGTATCAGCAGCTTGAGCACCGGCCGCGCCGATTCGAAGGATTTTTTGAAATTCTAGAATCAAACTTTTGCGAAGCAGATAAGTGCCTACATCGTCATTTGTTATTGGTAGTAGATCGCCATGTTGCGACGTGTAGCAAAGTGTGAATGGAGTGTTGTGTAGGCCGTGGAGGCCCTCGACTAGAGTCCTGTAAAAAGGCATGTGAAAATTTTGAACAAGCCAAACTGACCTAAATTGTTTGTAGGTCAACTGGCCGTCGTTGTTCGACAGGGAGAAACGCCGCCATTCAGAGTCGAATTTCGATTTCACCTAAATTATTTTTGAAGCTGAAGAAAGGGAAACATACTGGTAAGGGTTCTTGAGTGTGCACCGATGAGTAGTGCATCTGATGGAGATAAGGTGTCGAATGGGACGCCCTCTGGAAGAAAGCGGTTAGAGATCCCTTTCTATTGAAGGAGGAAAACGAGCAAAAATAGAAGACAGCCGAAAGCAAAAAGTATAGAAAAAAGAGAAAAGTTGCATGCATTTCGAGAGCAACGCACCCAAGCCCAAGCAAGAAAAAAGCTGTTGAGCTCAGAAAGAAGATTTGAAATGTGTGTTTCCGGAGCGCCATCGAAAACCTGCAAAACGGCTCACGACACTTGCGAACCGAAAGCCTCTTTTTCAGGTAGATTTAAACCACTTTTCAAAATTTCTCGCTTACTAGAGCATATAGCGTATAGCCTATTGGTACCAAAAATCGACTAGAAAATGAAACTGGAGCTGTTCTGCCAAAAAATTTGGCGCGCAAATGTCGCGACACCCTGAAAAACTTCCATGCCAGGCTTGGAGCAAAGGAAAGTGGTGCTTCTCGCAGAAATACCGATTGGTGAGACGACGATCGACTGGAGCCGCCGTGGCTCGGCACGGAACCCACTGCCGACCCCGAACGGTTCGACATCCAGGCGGTGGGGGGCTTGAAAAGGAAAATAAATGAAGAACCAAAAAAAAACATAAAATTGGGCACTATATACCAAAATAGACCTTGTGGTGAACGATAAGGGCGACACTAAAAAGCTTCAATAGGTAAAAGTAAAGTGCGGTTGAAACCGACTCTCGGAAATTCGCAGATTCGTTCGAAAAGGACCTTAAAAATCTTTATTACCATCTCGACCAGTAAATGAAAATCAACAAAGAAACGTTTCAACGAACAAAACTGCAGTACAACAATTCGGAACCCGCATTAAATCAATGGACAGGGTGATGCACAGGGGTACGACAAGAAATGACAAGAATGCTAGGGTGACGATTCATCTACTTCTAATCCTCGTCGGAAGAGAGGTCGTCCAGTCCTTCCAAATCCTAGAAAAAAATATTTTGCGCAAAAAGACGCATTCCTACCTCTCCATCGAACAGACTCTTATCGATGTCGAAGTTTTGAGGATCTTCGATGAGGGCCACATCGGACATCCTGGAAAAAGATGAGATAAAATGGTTTTGCCAAGCTTTCGGTATTTTTTCGAGGCAACTTTATCGGGATCCAATAGAGCGTCAAAAATATCTTTGCTAGAATAAATGTTTTGTTTTAATTCTAGGGAAAAAACGCAAATTTCAGAAAAAAGTTATAGCAATAACCAAAATAAACTTGAGAAGCCTAGCAGGTAAGCTAGTTTTCGGGATTTTAGGCATTCTGTTAACGCTATTGGATCAAAAACTGTCCCCCCCCGCTAAAGAACCAGAACCGATAAAGTCCAAAAAGATAATTGCGTACCCAAGCGTAGCGTCCGCCAAGAATAGTTGTCGTCCGGTCAGCTTGCCGGCCAGCTGAGCCTCGCGTTCCTGAAAAAGGGGAGAATTGAGCGGTCGCGTATCAAGCCTAACGATTCCCCCCGCGGCACGCTGGCCATGAGTCAGTCCCAAACGTGCCCAAAAGGGGCCATTGGGTGACGCATCAGCGCAAGTATTAGGCGCTTGGAGGCCCGAGATTGCCTTATAAAATTTAGCTAATTAGGTCGAGTCCCATATATCATAAAAACGAGTTCTGGGGCTGGATCCTTATCGGAGGGAGGAAGGCCAAACAAATTATCATTTTGGAAAAGACTGGTACTAAACGTCTAGGCATCTCCATTGAGTTTCCGCTAGTTCTCGATCGAAAAAACACGCTAAAACGATCCAGGCCCCCGCTCTTTTCCTTGAAGATTAAAAAAATCTCCTCACCTTAATCTTCTTTTCCCGCATCGCGGCGCGTTCCTGATCGAAAGCGGCCTTCCATTCGGCAAACGATTCTTTCGTGACGGGAGTACCTGAAAAAAAACGGGTAAAAACGATGAGATCAAAAGGTAGCTACCTAAATCTGATCAGTTAGCAAACTCGGAAAATAATGTCAAAATCACCTCAAAATTCGGCGCTAGACAGGCAATACATAAAAACAATTTGCACTAAAAGTCTCCTTGTAATGCAAAAAAAAATACAAAAAATGCCTGAATCAAGAAACCGCAAATTAAACTAGATTTAAAAAAGGTTATTAGAGTAGCCGGTTCTCGAGTCGAGAGTGAGCTAGTCAGCGTGGGAGAGAAGGGTTCACCCCCGGGGGCTATATCTGGCGAACGCGGCCAAGGCCATCCCCGCCAGGAGGCCGCCGGTTGGCACTGATGACCCCGAACTGGTTAGCCACCATTTAGCGACTACTGGCAACAAAATATGGATGCTATGCAAGCGGCAAAATCGAAGCCCACGCACCGATTTTAAAAATTTGAACTTTCAAAAATAAAAAATAAAATGAAGAATTTTGCCTCGAATAGTTTTCGAGCTAGTTTTTCGGAATCGACTACTTTAGCAACGCAATTCCGATAAATTAAATCTTTTCAACAAAAAAAAACATACCGTCAATAATTTTGCCGGTTTTTGCGACTTCTTCCTTCTCCCGCCGGACGGCCTCCTGCTCGGCGCGGTTCTTCAAGTCTTCGATGAGGGCCCCGATTTCATCCTGAAACATTGTTAAAGCTTTTCCGAAAGAACCATACCTGTAATGCCGACACAATGGTGAAAATCATCACCATCCCGAGCGTTTCCTCAGCGACCGTATTCAATTTATTAATCACCTAAAAATAGTTAGAATCTAGAAATCAAGCCAACCTCAGCTATCCGCTTTTCAGAAAATAAATCGTCGACGCCCTCGAGCCGTAGCTTTGGCAGCTCGTCGGGGTACTTTTCGGGTAGCTCTGCGATCAGCGAAATCAAGAATTCGGGGGTCCCGTCGTGATTTTCCTAAAACGAAAAATAAGTGGAGCTCGAGAATATCGAACCTCATCCTGCGTCGACTTTAGATCTATCCGCAGCTCGATTTCCGGGTATTCATTGTTGATGAAACTGAGCTCTTCCTCCGGGTAGATGGCCTGGAAATGACGATTTTGCCAAGGGATTTCAAAGGGTTTAGCAAGACTCATGAAAAGGAAATACAAACGATGGTCTATTAATCGAGCCTAGAGTGTAGTGCATACCTCTAATGCTTCAATCTCCTGCTCCTGTTGTTCTTTGTAGTCCATCTTTCCAGGGTTACCTGCAACGCAACTGATGAAAAGAAGAAAAACCGGAAAACGATAGATTTGAAGCGGAAAGGCTGAAAACAAGCTATATTTCAAACAAAATCGTCTTTTTCAGGCCAAAATCGTGTATCCGGGAAATGGTATCGGGTATCCCCAGTAAGAGAACGTTAGTGGCCTGGGGGTTTCTTTGGGGGCCCACCCGTAATCACCGAGGTTCGGGCCGGTGCAGGGCTGCACATTCTCTGTGCAAATACACCCCGTCCCCGGCCAGTGAGGCGGTCAGCAAAGGGGGCTACGATGCGTGGGTCGACTTGTAGCGGCTCGCTCTTCTCGCCACCCTCAGCCCGCCCGGAGGATTTGGTCTCAGAATCTCGAGGTTACAAAATCTCGCCTGTTAAGATTTTGCAGGACCCATGGACTAGCTACATTTCCGGAGCAGCTAGCTAGCCGGAATAGATGTGATGTTAGATCCTGAAATATACCCCGCCCGCAGGTCGAGCTTGTTCGTTTCTGAATCAGCGGATCACAAGAAATAGTCGGACGAGTCGTGTGCAACCCTCTGCAAAACCTCGCAAGCCACAAGCACATACACTCTTTATCATCAAGGAACGCAAGTGAAACAACGCCCGAAAAATGAGTGAGCGAAGAAGACGAGTGAAGAGGAGCGGGGGCCGTGTGAACAACGTGAAAATGGCGGATGAAATGTTAGCAGAGGCATTCCTAGTGATCAGCCGAACCGTAGCAAATCGAGGTCGGGGAAGGGGGAGCCAACGAATGGCGTCTAGCTAGTGAAATTTAGCCTGAGTTCGCGATGGGGGGTAGAACAGGGAAGAATAAGGATTTAGCAACCAAAGAATAAATTTTAGCTAATCTCTCTAGCGGAAAAAGGGGGCTTCAATTGTCGTGGGGGGGGGAGCAAATTATTTAGCGACTCGACAAAAGAACGGAGGGCAAAAAACGAAGGCAATTCGAAGGCAACGGAGGCGTGACGGCGCAGACCAGAAGACTTGAGTCGATCGGGAGCGTTGAGCAATGGGCTTGGCGCGGGTCGATGACCTTCTATCCGTTTTGTATATAGGCACCTAAAATGCACTATTAGCTCTACATAAAAAAATATACATAGTTTTTTAAAGCTATATTTATAAGAACAAGAGAGCAAAAACAGATTTTGCACACTAATTCCAAAAAGTTGCTAGCCTGTGCTGCGGCCGGCACCTCTTTGTGTCGGCTGCAGGGAGGGCTCTGAATCGAAGACTATAGGGGGGTTTTTTGGATCTACATTTCAACTTCGACTACATTCAAACTAGGCTAGTTTTGCAAAAACCTCAAAAATTCATAAACTTCTTAAAAGGCACACCTTGGCTGGAATAATACTGCTCGTTGGGGACTGTCCGTTGAGGGGGCCCGTTGCTTGAATGCGAGGATATCGTCACGGAGGAGCCGACCTGGGTGTTCAACAGTCTCGGCGCCGCGTAGGTCTAAAAATTGTAGTTTTATCCACATACAAAACACTGCAAAACGTTCTTTATTAACCAAAAACGAATCATTTTAGTACCCAAGTTACAAAAACGGGAAAGCGTCAATGTTTATAAATCTCAGCAGGGGACGCCCACCGTGGAACCTGCCTGTCGAGCTGTAGAATACATTCCGCCGCCCAGTCCACCCATCCGTGATATTGGCGCTGAGGAGAAGCCGGGCGGCTGAAACCGAATATAATAAAAAGTTCCCTAAAAGGGTACCTTTGTAGTAGAAGATAGTAGTCGCTTGGCCGGCATCTGAGGCTGAACTTGAATTGGGCCTCCGGCTGGTCGCTGAAAAGCACAGGCTTTCCGGAACAAAATGTGAAAGTTGTACCTTCAATCCGGGCAACGAAGGACTAGGGATGGGCTGCAGGTTGTGTCGCTGCATCGGCTCTGTTGGGACCACCATTCGTCGTTTGATGTCGGTTTTTATCACTTGCCTAAAAGAGTAATCGAGTAAATCTTCACCCAAAATGTAATAAACTTACATAGTTCTGCTTTGCACCCGTTCGCTGATCGTGTCCAGTTCGTGCGCAAATTTCGTTAAAGATTCCCGCAGTGCATCGACGTCCGCTTCAGCCCATTTACTAAAAAGGACTCTTTAAATTAAGTAAATTACATGCTTAAATGAAGTTTTAAAGTTTGGAATGTTTCTTTTCGGTTCGCTTTTATTTCCCGGTCGAAATAAACCATTCATGGGAACTATAGACTTTGATAAAAGCCAAGAAAAATTCAAAGGCGAAAACGTCATTTTTATTTAGAAGAACTGACACACCTTTCCTCTGAATCATCTGCGCTGTGTAGCTGAAGGGTGAGGTCGCCTAGACGTTGGAAGGCGTGGCCAGCCGTGAGGAACACTTCCGCCACCTAAAAATGTCGATAATACGCGATACAAAAAAGGATACCTTGCTGGCGACATTTGCGGGCGGCTCGTGAATGTCGGCCGCACTGGTCGACGGCCCCAGCACGTTGCGCATCATCTTCGGCGTCTGTAGATGGCCCCCAGCCTCGCGCTTGATGGCTGGTCCCGGCTGAAAAGTGCGTAGAAATTGATGGAAGTTAATTTTGAACAGAAAAGCGAATTTTTCGAAGGAAGATTGCTGTCTACGCTGAGGAGCCTGTCCAGAATTAAAAGCAGCGCTAAAGGAACAATGAGAGACTGAAAGTTTTCGACATTTCACCGAGGAAGAACGCGAACTGTACAACAAGCTTTTGGAACGTTACAACGAGCGTTCACGGATTAATCAGAAACTAAAAATTTGAAACATCAATCGGGTAAAACTCTCGAAAGCAGAACGATTTGGTACTAAACTGATTGGGAAGCGCGTTTGTCATCGGCTTTCGGGTCCATCTAGGATAGTTTTGCGCGCCGAGTTCGAATCGTGTCGAAAATAGAGCGGAAATAGAAGGCAACACTGTAAAGCAGGCAAGTAAGCGCGAAGCCCGCCAAAATAAAGCTCCGGTGCTTAGACAGAATTACAAGGAGCGCTGAAGGCACAATCAACAATCAGAAACGCATCAGAGCAGCACAATGGTGAAAAGTTACAGTTACTAGCTTCAAAAGCGCATCCCGAGCAGAGCAATAGCGCGATGAATTACACAACTGAAATGCCAGACGGCATCCGCATCCAGCCGACGGTGAAATAGCGGGCGAGCGGAGGAGGGAGCAGAATGTAGACGGCTCTTGCCGCCAATTGGCATCGTGCCCGCGAAGGGGGGTCGACCGAGATACGGCCACCGAGACAGCACATAGCACAAAGGCCACTAACAACCTCGGGAAATGAATTCGCGCACGGCAAACGGCAGGCGAGAAGCCGATCGTCGGCAGAATAGGCAGTGCTATGCTTATTACCCGCACTCCTAGGCTTTATAACGCGAATAACTATGTTTGAACCCTAAAAAAACCAAATTTACGTCTAAAGTATACGCTTATACCTATTAGTAATAGTCAGCCGACTAATATACAAAAATTTGCGTTTAAACGCCGTCGTGCAAACCAATGTTCCCTAATACTCATGGTCGAATCCTGTGTACCGCTTTCGCAAATAGAGCAACAATTTTATTTGTAACAACAGTAATACGAGAGCAGAGCAAAATATAACAATAAAAGGGTTCAAAGGTAGAATAATCCGTCAGTGCCGGGCTCGGTCTTATCGTCGGCGTCGCTCCAGCGCATGTGCTTCCGTAGTCGGAGGGCGAGGTGAACGGGCGCCGGGAACACGGATGGCTCGCGGCTGTTGTGCGCGCCCAGGATGGTCAGGTAGTAGGCCCACTGTAAAAAATGATGAAATTCAATGTCACAAGACAAAAAGAAGAAATGAAAATCTAAACACCCACATGGGAATAAACTTGTTGATCGACTGCGCCGCTCAGTCGCTTGTACTCGCACGTCTCTGGGTACTCGTTCCGGCCATCGTAGGGTGTAACGTCCACCGTCTTGTATCTAAAATACCAAAAAAATATTCGAAGGAAATGGAATCTTACCTGCTATAGAGACAGCTGCCGGCCCGTGGGTAGTTTATGTTGACGTCACACTGGAAGTAGATTCGCTCGCTGCGCGCCACGCCGAGCACCACTTGGTCCGGGGCGACGACGTCGAACCCGCGAGCGCGGATCAACGGGCACATTTCATCGAAAAACGTCTTCAAGATGTCGGCCTGGAACGGAAAATTAGGGAAGCGCAAAAAGGACTGACCATTGCGCTGCCGACTTCTTCGTCGTAGTTTCCGTGCAAGTAGAAGACCACCTTCCGCGGGAATTTTTTGTGGTTGTCGAAGTACACGCGGAATAGCACTAAATTGCAAGATTTAGATAAGCAGTTAAAATCCCGCTGCGAACGCCATTAAAAAACGCACATCGGATAATCTTCGTGAGTCGGTCCGTGTCGTAGGCGCACAAGTAGCGGGAGAACCACGTGCCCAGCGTGTCGTCAAGAGAAGAGACCAGGGCAACGTCACGTTTCTCGGGCCCTCCAATGGTGCAGCCGATGAACATGACCTTCTCTGCCTAAATCAAGATTTTGCCAGATAGAAAAAGTATACCATCGGCTTCTCGAAACGGGCCGGCAGCATTCCATATTTGGCCACCGTCTCGCACACGATGTTCGGCAGTAGTTCACGGCGCTCTTGTGTCGAATCCTCGAGCGCGGCCACCGGCACGTTCTGGCAGAGCACTAAAAAAATTCACCCCAAAATGTGCAAGCGTACCTTGTTGATGGTGTGAAGCGACCTTGTGCATGATCGCTTCTTCCTTGTCGGTGTAGTCCTCGGTGACGATCGCGATGAGGAGCTTCGGTGTGTACTTTGCGATCCCAGCGGTCATCATTGCGTCCAGCTGCTGCATCTCGTAGCTGACGAAATGCCATCCTTCAAAGAAGGCCTGCATCTCGGCAGCGTAATTCGTAAACTTTTCTGCAAATAGGAAAAGATATGCATAGGCAAAAATTGTAGTAACCGTTCAGCGCGCGGGCTACTTGACTTTGGTTCTCCACTTTTGGCACGAGCACGAGACAGCTGCCCAGATTCTTGACGCCGCCATCCTCCCCCACTGGTTGTAGCGTCAACTGAAAACAAAGGTCGCTACAGCAATGCGTCGCTAACCTTCGGCTTCTCCAAAATGAATCCGTGCTGCACCTTGAGGACGGGCTTGATTGAGAGCGCTTGAAGGTCTGGTTTTTGTCCAAAAAGAAGATGTGAAAGAACCGGAAAAAGTCACATACTCGAACAGCTGTCGAAGTTCCAAGGCGAGCTGCTGTAGGGCGCGAAGTTTACTGTGGATGGTGCGGCTGAAGCGGAAAGATTCGTCCAGCTTGTCGTAGTCGCTACACATCACGTCCCTGTTCAGTTTCGGATAGTGGAAGAGGCAGAGATTGGCCGGAAGCCAGACTTCATCACCATCGACGTTTCGGCATAACTAAAAAGGTATGTTTTTTTGGGAAACCTAGCGTCCATGTCAAATTCTTGTTCGCAAAAAGGTACCAGCATCGGATCCGTGGCCTTTTGATTGTAGTGGCGCTGGTAGAAGTCCGAGTAGGTCGTGGTGGTGCCGCGTTCCGTCACGAAAGTGTCCGTCACGTGCCTTGTAGGGTCCAGGCCGAAGCAGGTGTATTCGTCGAAGTTGACGCTAAAAAAAAGAGCTTGAAGTGGCCTATAAACCAAACCTGGATGCCACCAGCATTTTCTCCAGCGTCACTGCGTTGCTGCTGCCGTCGGTCAACTAAAATAAATAAGTGTCCAAAAGCCTCAAAAACCTGCTCGGCGACGGTCTGCTGACTGACACAGACGGTCTTCGTGTTGATGAAGAGCGCATCGCCCTTATTCGTCACCTTCAAGACCGGGTAGATCTGAACGAATATGTGTGGCTAGCCGCACCAAAAAAAATACCACAAAGTCATCGGTGGCCACCTTGCGCGCCTCCGAGTAGTAGGCGTTCCCCATCCGCACGTAGCCGAGCAGGTGCAGCAACCTGAAAATGTTGAAAATTTTCATGAGGCGAAATGGGTACCTGGCCACCTCATCGTCCGTGATCGCCGCCTCGATCTCGTTCGTTGTAGCTGAATTACAGATTAGAAAAGGCGAAAATGAGGGCATACCATCAAATTCAGCGGGGTCTCCCATTGGCGCCGTGCTTACCGCTATGTCCGAGTGAATCGAGTCTAAAATCGAGTTATTATTTTCGAAAAGTGATAAAGAAATGAAAGGAAAAGCGAACGAATGAGTTTATGACGGAGATGACGTTAAAAACGTCGATTTTGGGATTTTTTCTGAGTAGTTTTTTGCCCCGAGCTCGAAAAACTGCCCAAAAATGTCAAATTGCCAATGCAATTTACCTATTTTTAGGCAAAAAACCCATGAGAGCCCAAAATTGTTAGGGCGCTGCCAGAGGACTACTGTAGGTCGAGCACAAGATCCACTTTCCCGCTTCTTTACAAAATTTCTAAAACTTTCTACAAAATCAATCGATAATGTTTCTTACATAAAAACTATTTTATTATATAAATTTTAGGTACTATTCAAGTTGGGGGGGCAAAATTTTTTTTGGGTCATTTCTAGGCTACTTGGTCAGTTTTTCTCTGGCTTAGGCTTAACTTAGCTTAGTATTGGCTTGATTTAGGCCTAAGCTTAGCTTAGCCTAGGTTTAGGCTTAGCTTAGGCCTAGCTTAACCTAGCCTTAGGCTTAGGCTTAGCCGAAGCCGTAGCACCTTGTCCTTAGGTGGCTTCGTCACAGCTCCACTGCTTTTGGCTTCAGCTTAGCTTTGTTCGAGCTCAATTTAACTGTGCTTCGGTTTTTTCTGAATTAGCCGCGAAAAACAGTTCAAATAGCCCAAAAATGACCTAAAACAATTTTACCCCCCAACTTGAATAGTACCAAATTTTATGCATATTTACTCTTCGCCCTTTTCAGCCACCCGTTTCCCCTCGTTTCCAGCGCTACAGGGTGGGGAGTCTCTTCAAATCCTTTCGCGATCCGGCAGCAGACGTAAATATTTTGAACCGAGCAGATATCAGGTCCGGAAAACACTATATCCTCTGGTTGATTGTCTGCAACCGACCTTTCTAGTTAGACATTTTTCAGCACAGCCTTCAAGGCTTGTTTTGAAGCGCGTTTCAAGATGCTCTTTCGCATGGAATCCATGTTTTTTGGTGTGCACCCGGGCCGTTTCCATGAAAGGCGCATCCAAACCTTCCTCCCGACGATCGGTCATCACCCCAATGAACATCGGACGTCCAAAACGGGGGTAAAAATGGCCGTTTGTTCGTCCGTCCACCGCAGGCGTCCTTGAACGCCCGGATTATCACGCGATAAGTTCAGCATTTTTCGGGGCTCATGCGCTCCCGATTGCATGTTTGCGGGCGGGGAGTGGCTGTTGGGGGATCGGGGATTGGCCGGAAGCGCTGGGATCGGCTGCAGATTCTGCAGCTTTTTTTTCATGACTCGATCTTTAGGAATCACCGGGTAGGCTATAGGACTTTTTCCAGTACAAGCCTCGAATTTTTGATTTTTACATGGTTTTCAGCTATTCGTCGTCTTAATAACTGCAGAAATTTTTATTCAAAAGTTAATTTTTACATTGAAAAATCTACTTTTCGATCCGAAATGGGAAACTTCGTGCTTTTTAAGTTTTTCTAACCTTTTTGCAAATTTTTTTCAGCTTCAAGCATAGTCCAATGGACCGCTAGGACCCAGCCCCCGACTCCCAAAGACCCTAAAACTAACCCGATTTTAATTCTCGTACCTACTACACTCTGTTTCTGACCGAAATGATCGACACCAATCTTATTTACTGCTGTCAAATCACAATCCCGGATTACACACTGACCCAGTGCGCCATCCCTCCCTCGGTCGCCGGCCGGGTCGGTCGAATTGAAAATGGAAATCGGCTGGTGACAGCCGAGGGTTGTCCTGGACAGATCACCACTCACTACCCGTGTCTTTGGCGTATGCCATGCGAGCAGGGGAACATAGTTACAGTACTAAATCACTGGCGCATTGCTAAAAACAGGAATTTCTGGCTGAAAAGTGCAATTCGAATCGGAATAACCTGAAAAGCGGCTTTGGGGGTCGTACGTTTTAAAATCTAGTGAAAGTTAAGCAGAAAAAAATTTCGAAAAAAGGCTAGGAAAATGGGTGGAATGGTCAAAATTTGGGTGAATTAGAGTAAAAAGGAAAACTTGTCCCCCGCAAACTTCCAAGCACAATTGGGTGCGATGGGCTCTTGCTCATGCTCCTGCTCTGAGAAGGGCACCTGAGCCCGAGCTCAACTATTGCGGGAATCATTCCGGGAACGCATTGCGGGAACATTGCGGGAATATTCGGGAAACATTGCGGGAAAGTAGCCACTTTTTCCCGCAATGCCGTCTCATCTACATTCCGGGAAAGTAGTTCCCGGAATGGTTTCCCGCAATGTAGATGAAACGCATTCCGGGAATGAGAGGCGCATTCCCGGAATGTTTCCCCGAATGGTTCCCGGAATGTCCCGGAGTGTCCCGGAATCATGATGGCGTTAAAATCCTAAATTCTAAACTAGAAATTATTCTTTCTAAAGTTAATGTCAACTTCATGCACAACGGCGCAGTGTGCGTGCATCGGAGATAAGGAAAACGTATCGCATTTTTAATGCTATTTTGGACCTCCAAAACCGGCCTCAGAACCGATTGTTCACTACGAGATTTTGCGGGCCGGCAAATAACGAGTTTCTAGACAACTCCTGAAAATTTCATAAAATTTGAGCAATGGGAACATCGATTCCCGGAATGCTGTCCCCGAGATTTTGTCGGGGAACCAAACCTTATATAAAACCATTCCCGGAACTACATTCCGGGAAACTCGAAACGTTTCCCGGAATACATGAGACGACATTCCGGGAACTCATTCCGGGAACCGTTCCCGGAATGGAGTTCCGGGAATCCATGCCTGGAATTCCCGCAATCAACTATAATAAAAAAGTAAAGACGTCTGTCTGTGTGTGTGTCTGAAGCCGAATTCAACTCGAAGGGGAAAGGAGCTAGAGCTTAGCTCTCTTCGGATTCGGATAGAGCGTGGTCAGAAACCCCCAAACTGATAAAAAAATTATGAAAAACTTTTAGTTTAAATTATTAAAATTAACTTTGAAAGTGCCGCCTTAATAAAACGAGTGGGGGCCCCTCTCCCGGGAGGCCACGCCCCCCTTCCCTTCGCCCCTCTTCCCCAGGCCCTTTCTAGCGCCCAAATAGCTTTTTTAAGTTACTTTAATACTTTTAATACTTTTTAATACTTTTTAATAATGTTAATTAGTTATTTAAATTATTTAAAGTATCTAGGAAGATATTTAGGTAGTTTTTGAACGGGATTTCAGCCATGGGGGGTATCTGAAGCCATCTGGAAGGTATTTAGGTAGTTTTTCAAGGGGATTTCAGCCATGGGGGGTATCTGAAGCCAACAGGAAGGTATTTAGGTAGTTTTTCAAGGGGATTTCAGCCATGGGGGGGTATCTGAAGCCATCAGGAAGGTGTTTAGGTAGTTTTTCAAGGGGATTTCAGCCATGGGGGGTATCTGAAGCCATCAGGAAGGTATTTAGGTAGTTTTTGAAGGGTATTTCAGCCATGGGGGGTATCTGAAGCCATCAGGAAGGTATTAAGATGGTTTTTGATGGGGATTTCAGCCATGGGGGGTATTGATGGAGGTGGGAAAGGATGTGGTGGAGTGGGACATGTAGGGTAGCCCGAAGGCCAGATGGTTGCAGTCGCGAAGCGACTGTAACCATCTGGTAGATGAGAAGGCATTCCGGGAATAATTTGCACCACCTTTCCCGGAATGCTTCCCGGAACATTGCGGGAACATTGCGGGAATGCCCTGAGGCATTCCCGGAATATTCCCGCAATAGTTGAGCCCGGGCTCTGTTGAAAGCGTTGCAAATTTTCGATCTAGTTGCTGCTCCGCGCGATCCAAACGCCGCTTCTGATCTCCAAAGATACCTGAGGGAATTCCCGATGGTGATGCTCCCCACGGTAACGGCATCCCCAGCCTGAGAAAAAGGCTGTTTGTCTGTGTGTTTGTGTGTGTAGGTCTCGTTGCATGTGCATGTCTCTGTCCCGGACAGGCGACTGATCTGCTGGTTCCGTGCCCGGCCGGCCGATTTCCACGACGAGCGCCCGATCGTCCTCGTCCTCCCCACCTCCTCCTCCCCATCCAGCGAAACCTTCAAAAGCTCTTCTCTCACTATCACTCTCAGGTTCTCTGCCTCCCGCTCCGTCTCCCCCTCCAGCCCCCCTCTGGTATATAAAGTGCACTCCCGATCCGATTCGATACTCCGGTAACCCGACCTGTGAGCACGACTACCGCCAGCTGATCCGCTCTGTATCACCAAGCAAACAGTTATTTGGGCTTGGCTTGATTTAGCAAGTTTTGCACCAAAAATTCCTATTTCTATCGCGTAATCGTCTACCACTACTGCCACGTAAAAATGGTCGCCCCCACATTCGCTACACCCAAAGCCGAGCAAACGGCATCCAATTGCGAGCCGGAGCCGCGGACGCTTTGCTCGATTGGTGGCGACTGTCTACGCCACCTCGTCCTCTACGGCTTCTTGGCCATCGTCATCGCGTTGGCCTTCGCCTATTACGCCACGCGCTCTCTAGCCTTACTCGGAGTCATTGGATTCCTGGTGATCGGCTTCTGCCTCTCGATTCCGGCCCTCATTCGCTTCTTCATCGCCACGGAAGGCAGACCGGTGGTTGTCCGGATGGAGACACGGCAAAGAGGTGGGCTGCTTTAAAAAACTTGCTGAAAACAGTTCAAAATTTCTAAAAAATCACGTTCAAGCATAAACAACGCATTTTCAGATTCATCAAAACCGTATCCTGTCTACACCATCCCCTCGGAATTCATCGTCTAGCCCGATGAAGCCCCCGACCCTAAACACTCAATTCCAAAAATTACGGGCCCAACGATCTCACCAGCCTTTTATAATTTGTGTCCTATAAATACGACGTTTTTATGACAACTCATACTCATCACAAAGTGAGGGCAAATTGGCGCAGGGGTTACTTCCAACGGGGGGCCAAATAAATTAACAGAACACAGAAACACCCTACGCTAGTCCAGAGCAAAAAAAATGTGGTTGGTGGCCGGAGGTGAGATTTTTAAAGGCTAAAATATGCACACAAGATACCCCAGAAAAACCGGAAATTGAGAACGCATAGATCACAGTCGGTCAAGTACAAGGGACTGGCGGTTGTAGAAAAACGGGGGGCAACCAACGTTAGTAGGGTCGTCGCGGTTTGTCGGAGAAGAACGATCGCAGTATCAATACCTAGAAATGAGAGTTCAAGGGGAAATTAAAGCGCATTTTCACCTGAGCAACACCCATCAGCACAATCACGGCGGTTTGCCCGAGACTCCAGAGTAGCACCCGCTCGTTCAGCTGCTCAGCGCGCTTCCTGCCTGTGGCCTCGCGCAGACTGAAAAATCCAGAAATTAATTGAAATGTATCTAACCAAAAAGCTAGCAAATACAGAAACTAAGACCCAATTCCAATTACATCTAAACTACGAAATTTCGAAAAGTATTCCGAGGTTCTCATGTCTTTTTCGTGGTCCAAGATCGATTCTAGTTATTTTTCCAAACGTAATCAGTTTAAAACATCAATTCAAATACTATCTATAACTCTATCTTACCGATGATGGGTCTGATAATCGTCAACAACGCGAAGATGATTCCCGATCGCGACGGCGCTCGACTCCAACACGTTCATCGGGTGGCTGGCGTCGGGCACATGCTGTTGCTTATTTTGGTGGTCCCCGACCTAAAATCCGATTTAGAGAAATAACAAAAACCATCACGAACCTGCCAATCCATATACACAATCTTGTGGGAGAATGTAGAGAACTCGTTGCTGAAGCAGGCCTTGTAGGCGCCGGGCGTCTAGAATCAACCTGTTAAAAATCAATGTTTATAGCATACCTCAGCCTTCCATGTGTAGCTGTCGTATTGCTTCTTCGTGTCTTTGTAGAGCACCTTCCCGTGCGGGTCTTCAAGCGTCATATCGACGTCGTATTGGCCGCCGGTGACCACCTAAACTCAGAAAAATTGGCAATAAATCGGTCACTAACCTGGAACTCGAGCACATTCTGCACGCCGGCCTCAATATCCTCGTAGAAGCACTGGTTGGCGTTGTCCGGGAGCTCGAACGTCAATTCGATGGCGCTCGCCGTGGCGACGAGAAGCGCCACTGACGCCAACCACATCTGAAAAGCGATGTTTGGCGCACGTAAATTCAAAAAAATACGTTCAAGGATGGAAAAGAATCGCGAGAGATCAGAGTTACGTTAAACAATGAAATTAGAGCGGCTACAAAGAACCCCAAGAAGAACAGTATTTGTTGATTCGCTTTTACATTCGTGAGTTGTCTTCGCGACGCCGTAAATAATCGATGTCGCCCAACTACGTGGTGCGATGGTCAACAGGGGTGACTCGTAAGCGGCTGCGGGGGGACCGGAAGCCGACATTTCGCTAGTAACTAAAACAAGGATTTCGTGATATTTCTTGATTCAGCAACCCTTTTACTAAAATTCAGCCCGAAACGCATGAGGGGATAAAAGTTTTATCAAGCCATTTATGAAAGGGCGGTGCTAATGCAGTTATGGGGGCAGTCCGGACTTTGACTACAAGACGCTCCAAATGCCGTTTTTTAAATTAAAATCATCTAGAAAAGCTAAGCTAAGCCTAGGCTTCATTCAAACGAAGTCTGAGCTTAGCTTGAAACAAGTTATTAGCATTTTTTTCTCGATTGTCAGCGCATTTTGTCCTGACATCCGGGTGGCAAAGAAGCACCGAGCCCTGTGTGATTTCCCATTTGCTACTCGCCGCCCTCGTGATGGACGACTTGCCGGCTTCCGGGTCGGATCCTTGCTCTCTGCGTTACTCGCCTTCTTTTACTTGTTACTTGACGCTCCTTCTAAAAGTTCCGTTTAGCAGCGCCCGATCGCCTTCAGCCCCGCAATGGCCGCCGCTGAACCCTCGTCTCCTGCCGAAAGTTCAACGTCCGTGCGGACGCGACGAGAAGCCGCCCATGCTCGCCAACAACAGCCTATTCATCAAGCGCTTCAGCATTAAGGTATAGGGCTTGTTTTTGTATCGAGCTAGACATGGGTTTTAACCGGTACTTCAATAATTTCCCCGTTCCAGGGCATGATCGGCCAGGGCGGCTACGGTCAAATCTACCAGGCCCGCGACACGGTCACCAAGCAAGATGTGGCGATCAAGATCGAGCCGAAGGTGCGCCGCGAGCGTGTCGCCAAGCGCATGATGCTCGAGCAGCGGGTCCTCATCGAGCTGAAGGGCAAGCCGCATGCGCCGTACCTGATCGCCTCCGGACACCAGGAGCAGATCAATTACTTTGTGCTGCAGGTATCGTGCGCGGTTTCACGACAATCGCGGGCCCAAAATGTTGGATAAAGTGCGGTTTACCCTCCCCCCAGCCGACCCCTACCTACCGTGTCTCGGCTCCTCGTTATCCTACAGGTGTGTAAAGTATACGAAAATACTGGCCAGAGCAAGGCCAACATTTTGATATACTTTACACACCTGTAGGATAACCGGGTGCCGAGATACAAAAGTTGAGCGCCAGCTAGGGGAGGGGGGGGGGCAAACTGCATTCTAACCAAAATTTTTGGTTTTTGTCTGAACAGCTTTGATACTAATTATCGCTGTACGCCTCAAATTAAGAAAAAAAATTCTGCAAAAAGTGGGATGCATTTTCACTTATGAAATCCCGTTTTTAGTTGCTCTCCGTGAACCTGAGCGACCTGAAGAAAATGTCGCCGCACAAGCGCCTCTCCAAATCCACCGTCGGCCGCATCATGGAGCAGGGCATTTCGGCGTTACGCGAGATCCATCGCGCTGGATATGTGCACAGGTGCGTGCGTTTTAAGATGATACGGGACTGAAATATTTTTTTTGAGAGATGTGAAGCCGGGCAACATCTGTTTCGGCGTCACGCCGGCCTCCCAACGGCGCCTCATCCTGCTCGACTTTGGCCTCGTGCGCCGCTACCTGAATGAAGACGGCACGTTGCGGACGCCGCGCGAGAACTGCGGATTCCGGTATGCATCGGTTAACTTGAGCTTGATGAACCTGGTTTAGTGGCACCGTTCGCTATGTCTCGGTTCGCGTGCACAAACATATGGAACAGGCGCCCTGTGACGATCTCGTCTCGATGTTCTACACCGGACTCGAGCTGGTAACCAGTTTTTCGGATTTGAAACGGCTTTTTGTGCTTTAATAACACTTCCGTTCTATCTACGTGCAATACACCCCTTTTTGCAGCTGCTCTCCGACCTGCCGTGGAAAACGAAGAAGCACACGCGTGAGATCAAGCGCATGAAAGAAGAGATCGGCAAGATCGACTTTGTCCAATTCCAGGTAGTTGTCGCTGCTACTTGCACTAATATTATCGACTTCCAGGAGGCCATTGGCGACGTGTTCACGGACTTTGGGCGGATGATCTACTTGCTGCAGGGCGACGACGAGCCCGATTACGACCTGCTGATTCGCGCGCTGCACGTACGATTCATTCATTGTTCTGCAATTCTGTTTTAGGACATGCGCAAGCCGCATCGGCTCTACGACCCGTACGACTGGGATAACGGATGGGTCGATGTGGAGGAATGGGCGCCGGGAGCTGCCCCCACCGCTGCACATCCCCCGGTTCCTGCGCGAAGCTCCAGGGCTCGCATCGACTCGGCCAAGGCAGCGGTCAGTTTTTTTTTTCGCGGCGCTCTTTCGGTAGCTGATGTTGACGAATTTTCCCGTTGCAGAGCTCTCCACCGATCGGTTCTCGCGTCGTCTCGGCCCTCGCCGGTTAGCCGTCGCCTCGCCTTCTCAACTCGTCAATTAAGTTCAAAACGCATACATAGAATCTGGCAATTGACTGATGTATGAATAAATTTGCGCCTCGTATCGTATCGTATCAGCCGCCATGGCATGGATAATGCCCGTGAGAATTCCTTGAAGAAATTGGCAAGATCATGTGCTTTTATTATGAAAATGAAAGTTTATCGTAAGCCCAAAACAACAATAACAATGGAACAATAACAATCGCATATGGACGATGATCAACAAGCTAACGAGGGCGCAAAGAAACAAAAAAAAAACATAAACAACGAGCGCGATCAGTGGTGGGTCTTCCGTTTCTGCGAGAAGGTGAAGCCCTTCTTCTTCTTTTGGTAGCCGGCGCCATCCTGGTTCCGGAACTCGACCTTCGGTTTTCCGGTGATCGGCAGCTCGACGAAGGGCGGCACGGTGAAGCCGAACGACCGTGCCACCGACACCAGCTCCAGGGCGCCGACGTCGAAGATGTCCTTCAGCGAGTGCGAGTCGTAGGCACGCACGTAGGATTTGTAGGCTTCCTAAAGAAAGTTGTTTTTCGAATCTCGAGAATCATTCTCACCTTGGCGCTCTTGTTCAAGAAGAAGTTCTTGCTGATCAGCTCCTCCAACTGCGACTGGATGTTGGCCACCTAAGATATAATGGAATAACGACAAGCGAAAGGCGCGCTACCTTATTCCAGCTGAACTCGAATTCGTTGAGGACGACCTTTGCCTGACGTAGATACCTAAAAATAATTTAGAGTTTTCCCGCAAAAATATACCTTAGAAAGCCGAGCTCCTCCTGGCGCAGGATGATTAGCGCGTTGCCGCGTCCGTCCTTTCCGCGGGCCGTTCGTCCAACCCTGCAAAACGGATTAGCAGCTAACTTCCCGAATCTTACCTATGGATGTATTCACGCGGCTCATCTGGAGGGTCGAATTGTACGATCCAGTCGACGGCCGGGATGTCGAGCCCTCTAGAAAATCACATTTATTGCAAGGTTTCCCGTTATTTTTTGGCCGATCGATAAAGAGCCGTTTGCAAAACCAAAAAATACAAACCTTGCCGCAACATCCGTGCACAGCAGAATTCCGCTCTCCGCCTTGCAGAACTCGAAGAAGGTCGTCGTCCGTTTTTGCTGCTTTTGCTTGCCCTAGGTGAGGGTTGTTCGATAGTTCGTGAAAACCTTACGTGAATACACTGCACTTTCAAATCAATGTAGTTGAGCAGCTCGTAGTGGAACTTGACACTGTTGCATGAGGAAAAGAAGACCATAATCTGAAATAACGGCATGATACAAAACCCGTATTTTCTACTTTGACAAAAATCTGAGCGACTATATTACAGGAAATACTGCTACCTTTTTGTCCAAGTTCTTCTTGAGGAAGGTGAACAGCAGCAGGAATCTCTTCTCTGACGGGCAAATCACATAGCCCTGCTGTAATCCATCGACGGTCGACCGGTCGTCCTTCGACTGCACGTCCACCTTTAGCGGGTTCGACTGCAGCGCCTGCTTCACCAGCTCGTCAACCTAAAAAAAGATGTTTTAGCGAAAAGAGCCTGGAAAACCTTTGGGGTGTGTGTGGCGGAGAAGAGCATGGTTTGGCGGCGTTTCGGCAGGTATCTCAGAATCTGCTGCATCTCAACTTCGAACCCAATGTCGAGGATCCGGTCGGCCTCGTCGATGATCTGGAAAAATAGAGTATTTGTAAGGATGGTACGCAGGCCCGTACGGGAGCCGAGATTTCGGGGGGGCACCCAGCCAAAAAATTTTTGGCGACCTCCCCCCCGTCGCCACTTTCAAAACATTCGAAAATAGCGGCAATAACAGCGCCGCAGGCGAAAAAATTTAAAAAACCGCGTTTCTAACGCTTAAATGCGTGTGAAAACACATCGGAAACGGCGCAAGCAAGCGAAATTTTGTTCAGCAAAATGGTGCACTAATGAAAACGAGCGCCGCAGGCAAAAAATTTTAGAAAAATAGGTTTTCTAGAAGTAAAACTCGTCTCGAAACAGTAATAAACAGCGCCGCAGGCACAAAAATTTTTGCGAAAAAAATCATAAGGGTCCCCCCTTATGAACTTTTCGGACCTCGACCGATTTCGGGGGGCACCGTGCCCCGGTGCCCCCTCGTACGGGCCTGATGGTACGCATTGTGTTTTTTCGGTATCCCGGAAATGGCTAGGGAGTTGCTTTCAGGGTTGGAAATCGCGGGACTAAAAATCTGTAAAAGCGCACCAAACACTTCAAACTGTGCACGTCGAGCGCCTTCGTGTTTTGTAGATGATCGAGGAGTCGTCCTGGAGTCGCCACGATCACCGAGACGCCCTTGCCGAGCTTCTCCACTTCCGTCGACCGGTTGGCGCCGCCCATGATGAGTCCGTGGGTGAGGTGGGGATGGCCTGCAGATGATACCGAATCTACAAGCATAAAAAAGCAAAACACACCCTCCAAAAGCTCCGACAGCACGCCGTACGTCTGAATCGACAGCTCGCGCGTCGGTGAGATGATGAGAACGCCGGTGCCGTTGTGAATCTGAAAAAGAATTTAAATTTACCCTTAAAAAATTTGGCGAACCTTCCACTCGAGCTTGATCAACAACTCGATGGCGGGAATGAGGAAGCCAAGCGTTTTGCCGGAACCCGTCTTTGCTGACGCCAACACATCACGGCCCTAAAAAAATTATAAAACTTTTTTTGTTTAAAAAACCTCCAACAGCGGCTCGATCGTCTTGTGCTGAATTTCGGTCATCGTGTGGAATCCCATGGAATGAATTTGCTAAAAACTTGGGTTGGGCGCGAAAAAGCACACAATCTACCTTGAGCGTCGCAGCGTGCACTTTCCCCTTCAACGAGTCGAATGTTTGACTCGACAGGTAGCCGACGATTTCGGTTGAGGTGGTCGCCTCCTCTTTGACTTTCTGGAAAAAAGCGTCAAATGAGGTGCCACTTCAATTGCTTTCACAGGAAGCAAGTAAGAATCAAACTCCAGCTTACCGATTTATCTTTTGACTTCTTGGGCACGTCGACGGGCTCCTCGTCCTCAGAGCTGTCAACGTCTGGCGTTTCCTCCTAAATTTTCAATTAAAATGGAAGGTTAACTTTTCAAACCTTGATCTCATCTTCTTGCACGGGGAGCTTCTTCTTCTTTGCCGCGTCTCCGGCTTCCTTCAGCTTCTTGAGCTTGCGCTTGAATACTTTCTTCTTGACGTCGACCCCGTTCACCATGGTGCTGAAAAACCAGGTTTGGTGTTTAAAAATTTTGGTGGGATCCAGAAAGAGAAAACAAGGAGATTTGTAAAAAGGAGCTTTCTTTGTTCTGCAAAGAAACCAGGAAAGTTTAATTTCCTTGTTCTACTAATTCTACTAAAGTTTTAGAGAAAAAGTAGTATTCGTCGGGAAACGGAGGCCTTGGGGGTGAGAAGTTCCCGGGATCGCATAGTGTAGAATCGGACAGCGGACCGCCGCGTTGCCGGAAAGGATAAAGAAGCATGCTCGTCCATAGTTCTTTTCGATTGAAATGCTTAAAAAACGGTAAAAATTAAACAATGCGTCTAATCGTTATCATAATGCATCCAGAAAGCGCTTACCGCCCCGAATCGAGCCAGAGGGAGTCATAACACGGCAGAACAACCGTTAAAACATTTTGAATTCTTGCAACTTGTCCATAAAAATCTTTATCAAAATCGACAAAAAAATATTATTAGGGGGAGAGTGCAAATATCACAGTATCACACAGTATAGTATCACATTTCATCGGATCCAGCAAACCCTTCAGATGACCACCATCGTTTCGCCGTTCGCCGACGTGTCGGTGAGGGCAATGTTGAACGGGCTGCAAGAGAGCACGAACAAATCCACCTAAAATGGGGGTTTTGAAACGGTGACCGCAAGCTACCTGCCAGGAGAGCGTCTCAATATCGACATTGACGGGGGCATTTGTCGGGCGGATATCTAGAGTTATTTGTGAAACCAGGGGAGTATCAAAATACCTTCTAGCGCGGCCGCTGGTTGATACGAGGATGAGGTGACGAACTCGAATTGGAGCTGCCATTTGATGTGAACTAAATACAAAATTTGGTCCTTTTGCATCAACGGGGGCGGGGGGAGAGATTCTTCCAATGACCCAGAAATTCCTAGTATCGACTGGCAAGTGTCATGATAGTGTTCTTTGTAAAATTTAACGCTCATGAAGTGAAAAAGCAATCAAAAAAACTTTTTAGGTACGATTTTAGTCGAAAATCGGCAATTTTAGGGCAAAAGATCCATATTTTTTTGCCATTTTTAATCAAATTTGTTATTTGGGAATAATGAAAAAGCGTTTAGAAACTGAAAAAATGCCCTCCCCCCCGATAATGCGAAAGAACCACGTTTGAAGCTTAAAAACCGAGAATTAACGTTTTGTTCACGGCTTAAAATCCCTACCAATATCATTGCTGAACGTCGGCGGCGCGTCCAGGGCGATCGGGACCCGGAACGCCGTCTCGGCAAAGTCGGCCGAGATTTTGTGCTGTGTCGCCCAGACGATAGTTGAAGAGGGCTTCTCGGCGGAAGGGTCCGTTTCCACGAGGCTTTCCAGCGACACGAGCCGAACCAGCCACTGGTAGCAGCGCACGTCCGCGACCTGAAGTAACAAATTATGCTTTTCAAAGGGACGAACATACCTGAAACGACAATTTCCCGACCACATCTTCGCCGAGCTTGAAGGCCCGTTTGTAGAGCATCAGGGCGGCTACCTGAAAATGATAAAAAATACAAACAATACAATGGATTTTCGACGAAACTTTCAAATAAAAACAGCTTTTTTATTGTTTTCCCACTTCGGTCATAATTAAAACGAGTTTTCGCACAGCCAAAAAACGATACCCTTCCCCGGCTGTTCGTCATCTGGTAGATGAACTCCTTCTTCGGCGCCGTGATCTGGTCGACGGTGGCGGCAAACATTTCGGCAATCGGCGGCGCCGAGGTCGTCGCGTCGAGGAAGGGATTTCGGCAGATCGGCTTCCGGGACTCGATTCCGACTAAAATCATAGATATTTATTTTGCGATTTTTACGCCGCTACTTTTACGGAAAAATGAATGGAATTCCACCAAAATAATGCCCTGAAAAGTATCTAGGTGATTTACCATCTGGGACCAATCGAATCGGCAAGTGTATCATCTTGATCGGCGACTTTAGGTGCTGCACAGCGACGGTGATCCGATTCTGGAAGCGCACCAGGTTTCCCCGAAAGCTCGGCAGCAGGCCGGTGAGTGGGAGTTGCACCTAAATCAGTTGCCATGCCATACAACATTCCAACCTCATAAGTGTACGTCTTCGAGTCGCCGGGCAACACGTTGATGTCACAGAAGAGGATTGACGGGACGGAGGAGTAGACACATGTGTTTGATCTAAAATAAAAAGGTAATAACGGTAAATAAGAAGAAACCTAGGTATCGACGTGGTTAGCTGCGTCTTTTGATTTCTGGCCTTGGCGTTCGTGCGCTCGCTGCTCAACTGGACACTCCCCCAGGCGATCGTCTCCGAATGGCCGCGCTCGCCGGCCGGCTTGCAGTTCGTGAGCACCACCTAGCAAATAGTATGCCTTCAAAATAGCGTAAATATCAAGAAATACTAATAAAAATATAACAATTATGTACTTTTCTCAATCCTAAGGATCCAATTCTTCTAATAGAAATCGAGGAAGCGTTGCTAAACGGTTTTTTTACTTTTCCTAGCTAAAACTGCGCAAATTTTTGATTAAAAAATACAAAAAAAATCTAGGTTTTCGACCAGAATGGACAATTCTTTAGCAAATTTCGGATTTTGAAATTTTTTTGATAGTTTTTACATAGTTTTACTCGTCGAAACATAGTCATAGTAAGCTACAAAAATACTTCCTAATAAGTTACTAGGCATCTCTAAACCTACAACAACGCCGCCGCCGCCCCCCCCCCCGGTAATGCTAAAGAACCCGAAGATCTAATATTTTGGCATTATAGATTTCGGTATTACGAAACAAAAATCTCCAAAAAAGCGCTCACCGAAACGACGACAGTCTCTCCGGCTAGATAAACCGGTACCTGCCGATCGAGGGTGGCCCTCACTTCTATCGGCATTACCTTCAAAAAAGTTTACTACATTTGTCATCCTCCAAATGTATAAGAAGTCCTGCAACTTTCCAGGCTGTTTTTAAAATCAGTGCACCAACAATTTATCCAAAATGTGAATAAGTAACAAAAAAAAAACAGGTGAACCGTATAAAGCTGAGCCACCGGAAACAGGGAACACAACGGAGTAATATCACAAAATTGGCATTGAAAACGTGAGCTTCTTAAATATCGACAATCACATAGAGATCGGTTCTTTCCGGTTGTTCCAGCACTTGCATGTTGCTGTAGGTGATGGCTTTGATGTCGCCCTCTTGGGTGTGCTTGCGCTCCATATCAAAGGATTCGCCTGGAAAGAATAAATTTAGGGCTCTTTTGCATTATCGGGGGGGGGGGGGTCTTTGCTAAAGATCCAGTTTTTCTCATATAAATGTTTCCGAATTGTTGTTTTGATTTCCTAAGCGCGAAAACTTTACAAATTCTGGTTAAAAATTAAAAAAAAATATAGCTTTTTTTGACCAAACATTCACCTAAAATCTTTTAACAAGATTTTCTGATTGAATTTCAACTTTAATATCGTTAAATTTCACTAAAAACACACTTACTATTGCATTACCGGATATTTTTAGGCTTATGAACGGTACTAGATTTTGAAAAAGTTGTTACCCCGATAACGCGAAAGAACCAGGTTTAGAAAACCGGAAGTAAAGCTCACCATAGCCCCGAGCTTCAATCGTAAACTTCTCCCGGTCGAACGCGGTCACCTCGAAGCGCTTGGCGATGAAGAAGGGCTCCGACTGGAAGACGCACAGCACCTCTTCCATCACCGAGAAGATCATGGTGTGCAGGTCATGGCCCTGGCCGCGAAAGTAGTACTGGTAGACCTAGAAAAAGAATTATCTTTTACCCATATCTTAAGTGGAAAACGGTAAATTTTGGTTAAATGTTGCTAAAAAATCGGTCATGTTTGTTCGAAAAATCGATGTTTTTGTATGATGTCGGGATTTTGAGAAAACTCAGCCCCCTTGTTTGTTAGGAAGCATTTCGGAAAAAAACCGGAAATAGCGGGAACTTATATAAAAGGGCAGCCGGAGAGTTTTGCACTGACGAAACAAACAAATCTCCCAACCTCATCCACCTTCTCCAAGTCGGTCATGTAGCCGTACATGGCCATCATCACCGCTTCGAGCGCCTCTTCTAGTCGCGGGCCCCATGAGTGAAGCTGGATGTCGGCCGGGTGGTCGAGATACTCGTAGCGCCGTCTCTCGATCACCTAAACCAAACAAAAGATATAAAAAAAACTGGAAAATTCGCCGTACCTCTCGCGGCTCGACAACCCCTCGCGCGTCGGCATTGTCGGCGTTGTCCACGTGCGCGCTGGCTAATCGGTGGGTCAGATCGCCGGTGGAGGACGGCTGAGGTAGAGGTTGAGCTAAAAAACACGCGTTTAGGGCCATGCAAAGACGCTTTAAAGGAGCATGAACTTTCGAAAACCATTTTTCGGCAATTCTATAGAAAAAGAAAAACAAGGCTCGTAGTTTGTAGTTTTTGGAATTGGTTTCCGGTAAGTTGCCGAAAATTGATGCGGCTATAGCAGTTGAGCAGTGACGTTTGGGAAACAATAATTTTTTTAGCAATGGTGTCACTCAAGCGGCGTTTTTGCGCCAGTTACTCAGACGTCATGCTCAACAAATTCATGACCCTCGTTTCAAGCCATCAATTTCAATGTATAAAACCAAACGACCCACCCATGGCGGGCGATTTCCGGAGGCGCTTCCGCCTTGGCGAGCCGCCTCTGTCCATCCCTAAAGTGCTCTTGACAAACGGGCGTCGAATCAGAAATGCATGTGTTCAGCATCTGGCGGTGCGTGTCCGACAAAATCCGTCAAAAACCCAACACTTTATTAGTTCATCTCTGAGGGACCGACAAAATTGAACGAGAAAAGAGTGGGGGGAGGGGTAGGATAGGGAAGCTATAGCGACAACTAATATTCTATGTACACTTGCCAAAGTGACTGCTGGTGGATTGATGAAGCGGGGGGGGGGCTAGGGGAAGCTAGCTATTGGGCGGGGATCGGTCAACGATTGCTGATCTCTGGGATCCGGGTGAAGCTGATTGAGGTGGTGGAGGTAGGCCCGGTTTTTGGTTCTTTGGCATTATCCGAGGGGGACCACTTTTTCTCTAAGGACCAAATTTTTCCAATTTAAATATAAGAAGTGTTTCTAAACTTTCTAAGCTTAATCAACGATAGCGAAACGCAAAAACTTTACAAATTTGTTTTCAAAAATACAAAAAATCGCGACTTTTCGGAACAAAAATGGCCAATTTTCGACCAAGGTGTGATCTAAAAATTTTGTAAGTGTTTTGCGTACTTTTCCACTTAAAATATAGTTAAATCTTACTAAAGACACTATTGAAACGTTGCTGGCTCTATACAAAAAAAATTTGGTCCCCCGATAATGCTAAAGAACCAGTTTTTAATATATAGACTATATTTTGCCACACTAAAAAGCAACAGCCTGATCATGAGGGGAAAAGGGAAGAGGAAAAGTGGCGTATTCCGGGGGCATAAGTATACACGTTTTGCCATCTAAACGAGGGAGGGCGAGTATCATCGGAGACAGGCCTGCTACGGTTGTGACTGGGTGTGAACACGGGGGTAGTAGAGCTATGGCTTGAGATGAAAGCAATTTTACAAAGTTCATGCTCGAATCAGAAACAGCTTTCGATGCTCATCACCTAGCCCTAGAAGCCGGTGAAATCGTGCGCAGATCGGAGGGTTCGCGTTGCCTGGGTTGGGCGAGGTCATTTGGGGGTGCTGTGCTAAATACGGGAAAACAAAGAGGCTTTAGTATTTCCGGGGAGGCTATAGTTTTTTCTGTATAAACCGATTTTTCTCAAAAAATAGATAACGTTTTTTCCTTTTTTATATTTTTAAAGACAATAAAAACCTGAGAAATTCTAGTTCCTAATGCTAAAAATATCTATTTTCCCCTAAAATCCAAATTTTTTGCCTTTTTCGATGTTTCTTAAACAGGTTTTCCACTAGAAATTTAGCTAAATCTGACTAAAAAGGCTCAAAAAACTTGCCATTACCTTACTATATATTTCTGGACTCCCTGGAAATACTAAACCCCAAAAAACAAACATAAAAACACCAAAGCCAAAAGATAAGATAGATAAAATGACGTTAGCAGGGCCGGAGGGGGGGTATGGGGGGTGCAAATGCTAAGTGATTGAGGTCAAACTTTGTTTAGTAGGTGCTGTCGGGTGTGCCTGTGCATTAGTGTGGTCCATTTATGTACAGCAGACGGGAGAGTGCCTGAGTTGTGTGGTCGTCGGGTGGGCCCGTAGTTGTCCTAAACAGCAAAATCTATATTATACCATTTTCTATATAAATTCGAATAAAAAGCGGGGTTTTTTACGCATTATCGGGGGGGGGGGGCAACTTATTTTCTATAGGAACAAAACTAACGTAGTAGTAAGCGTTTTCCATCGTGTTTTTAGCAAAATTCAACCATATAAACAATCAAAACAAGCTCGACAACAATTTTATTATGCAAATTTTGGTCGGGGTCTTTTTTGCGTATTTTTAACAAAAATTAAAGGCGTTACGTTTAGGATTAACTAAAAAAAAGTTTAGAACACTTCCTCTATATGAGAAAAAAGTTGGTGCCCCCCCCCCCCCCCCCGATAATGCGAAAGAACCCAAAAGCGAAACACAGGGATAATTGGGTCCGCAAAAATTGCTTCCTCACCTAATCCATATCCTCCATGTTCCACATCTCTTCGGCGCTCATGTTCAGCTCGCTGCGGTTGTAGGCCCGGCAGGAGAGGAACAGGATGCGCTTCAGGTTTTTGTTGTAGAAGAAGTAGTTGAAGCACCTGGAAAGGTTGGCAATTTGGTTGGAGGGTAGAAGCTATAAACTACCGCAGCAGAAGCCAAAGTTTCAAAGCTGAAAACCCACCAGAAGACTCCTTCCTCGCTGAACGGGTCGCCGTCGTAGTTCGAGTTGTAGCTGAAAAATGTACATTTTAAAATGACGCAAATGGGTCGTTAATTTATTCTTAGGAATTTGCTAAAATTTCGTATTTTTTCTATATTTTACTTTCGCTTGAAAACAAGCGCCTGGCCTCGCAATTTCGCAGTGCTACACGCGAATGTTCCGCCGAGCTGACGAATGTCAACAATTACACTATTTGCTCGTCAGTTCACCACCGCATTCTCATTCACAGCAAAAGAGGGGTTTCGGGTCGACCAGTACAGCGCCCGGCAAATTTTCGGAACCGAGTGCGTGAGACCGGTTTCGCGCGAGAAGTCAAAGAGCACCCGGCACCGAGCGGCCGTCACACTCAAAAATGCGTCGAAATCGTGCCGTGTCGCGCTTACAAATGTGATTTGCACTTTTGTGAGCACTCACCGCGGTCAAAATACCTGCCGGAAAAAAAAACTTTTAAAAAAATTGATTTAGAATTTTAGAAAGGGTCGCCATTCTGGTCAAAAAAATTTTTTACGTCGAATTTTTGAGCCCCGATTCCGCGAAGATACCTGTAGATACGGCACTCCATCGGCTTGATCTCCTCCGCCACGGCCTGCCAGAGGTCGTTGCGCAGCTGCGCGTAGTGCTCGACTGCCGCTGCCAATTTGTGGTCGACAGGCGCGACGACGCCCTAAAAACAACCAAATTTTTAAAAAAATTAAAATAGCAATTTAAGTATATTTGCCAAAAGGTGAAGGCATCAGCGCTCACCTCAGCATTGTCTATCCGCGAAAAGCAATTGCTGTTGAGGTCGTTGAAATCATAGTCCCCGTAGGCGGTGTTGAGGACCCCGATGAGGTCGAAGAGCGTCCTCTTCGAGATCGAGTCCACCAAGCAGCCCTAGGCACAAAAGTTAGAGATCTCGAACAGGTGGTACTGGACTGCTAGCGGGGGGGGGGGGGGGTATAATTTTGCGGGATAGAAAAGAGACTATCTTACCCATTCCTACATAACTATTTTTTTGTGTTATATCGTGAATTTTGAGCCGTTTTTGGCTTTTTAATCACTTCCCAAGCTTAAAAAAAGGCGTAAAATGCTATAGAGGTACATCCACCCCCGATAACAGTCCAGAACCAAAACCTCCGCTACCTCTTCCATATCATGATCAGACCCGCCAGATGCGCTGTGCTCGGAGAGGTGGCGCATACGATGCGAATGCCCTGCAATAACACTAAAAATAAATATTTGAAAAAGTACCTATCGGCATCGGCGCTTGCAAAATATTCCAATCCTCGGGCGGGGAGAGCGGCTGGCGCTCGTCGATATTCGTGCGTTTCCACAAGCGCTTGTCGCTTTGGATCATTTTACAGGAGTAGGATTCGATCCTGAAAAGATTTGGAAAATCATTGCCAAAAAAGAGAGCGGCTTACTTGAAATCCAACTCGCAATCGTTCGAGTGCTCCCGTATCTTGTCCGCTATCAATTGAAGATTACTATTTTCCAAGTACTTCATTGTTCCTGAAAAAAGGCGAAAATTAAAAGGGAAATCCGGGTAAAGAAAATGGCATGGAAAGGAAAGAACTTCTGAGAAAACAGTGGCCCAGCAACAGAAATTGAGATTTGAAAGTTGAAAAGCAACTTCAATCCAACAAGCCGACCACAACGCAAAGGCAAAGCGGGTGGATAGCAAATGGTCGTCAGGTGCCCGCGGGTATCAGCGGGGAGGTTGCACGTCACTTTTTCGCCGGGGTCACAACGCCAGGGGATGTATCGGGCACGAGGTTCGGCCCCACGGCAATCTGTCGCCAAAGCGGCAGCAAGCATGTTGTGCAAAATAAAAGAAAAGAATTAAAATAAGCATAAAAAGTGCGAATTTTTTGTAAAAAATTATTTTAGCGATCGGCTACGGATGACACCTATGGACGGTTCTCGTCTATTGGAAAGACGGAATATCCGGCGGGGATTTTAAAATGGCGTAAAGCTTTCTAAAACCTAATTTTTAGAAGCGAATTTTTAGGAAGAGCTATAGAAAAATAGGGTTCTTTAGGATTTCCGGGGGGGGGGAAACCAAATTTTTTCGGCCCAAGCCTAAATTTTTTTCTAAATAGCGCATGCGTTTCTAAATGGTTTTTAACTATTCCTGAGCATAAAAACTACCCACATTTTAATTAAAAAATTTCATTTTAGGTCGAAAAATCCTATAGAACCTTTAGGATTAGCGGGGGGGGGAATGACCCAAAATGACCAATTTTCGACTTTTTCAAACATTTTTCTAACTTTTTGAAAGGTTTTTCTACTTTAAATATAGTTAAAATTTACTAAAAACAATGGGAAAACACTTTATATTTGATTACTAGGTCAACCGGGCAAACCAGGAAAAAATTTGGTTTCCCCGAAAATACTTCCCCGGAAATCCTAAAGAACCAAAAATAGTGTTGCGGCCCGGGGGTGAAGCTACCAACTTTGGAAGCTTCCCACGCTCGATTTGCCAAGGAAGTTGAGCCGATATCCCCGGATTTCTATCAAAATAAGGTTTTATTTATGTTTTATTTTCAAGGTTGAAAGTTTTTAGGAAACAGAAAGTGGCTAATTACTTCACGGTGAGCGACAAATGAAGCCCTGGGATGAAGCTAAGAACTTTGGAAGCTTTCCACGCTCGATTTGTCAAGGAATTGGCCCCGGACCCTCAAAAGCTTAGTTTTTTCAGGTAAAAGATTTTGCGATAACGAAGATTGGCGCAATCGTTTCAATTAGGTCTACACCAGCCGAATTCGCAGGTCAACGTCGTGCTCAACGCCTTGAGGCACGGAGGTGTGCCGCTTATCGCGAACCGCAGACCTGCCGGCTGCACAGTGCGGTGTTGACTTCACGGCCGGGCGGGAGGAGGCGCTCAAAAAACATTGGCCGATCGATGGGCCGGCCTTCTTCGCCATATGTTTCTCTCGTTGGGTGGGCAATGGGGCGCCCGACGCGCACAGCAGCCCCGGACCACGGAGTCCGCTGGACTTTTCCAACGAGCCGACTTTCGCAAGGGAGGACGGGGGAGTGGGAGAAGAAGACCAGGTTGAGCGGGGAAACCCTCAGTCGTCGGCTGCACGAAGAAAGGATAGAGACCTTCCGCGTTTCCTGGTGAATTGGGCCTCTCAGTTATTTGGATTCAGCGCTACGACAGCATCTATCTAATTTTTTTAGTTTTAAAAGTCAGTTTAGACGGATTTCCGTGTGTTTTGACCAAGATGCGTTTTAGAAACTGAATTTCTAGATGCCATTCAGTTTGTTTGACCAAAATATTTATGTGCTGTTCATGTATTGACGGTTAGCTTTGGTTGCGCAAGAAAACTTAGTCGACTCCGCGACTCGAATGTGCTCTAAATCTAAAAACGACTTGAAAATCTAAAACCGAAACCAAGAGCCGCTTGCAAAACTCTAAACTACATCCGCTTTGTTTGATTTAGCAATATTTACGCCCTTTTGTTATGAATCGTTGCCGCCCAGCTTTCTCTGCTCCAGGAAATTCGATTGCCACATTTTTCTTCGACTTTCTAACTCGATCATGATCGAAATCTAAAAAAGGGAAAATTTACCTTTATGGTCCTCGCCCGAAAAGTGTTTTTTCGGATCGGAATCGATCTAGAAATGATCAAAATGTAGTTTTCAGTGAAAAAAATGCGCCGGAAAGAAGTTTTTGAGGGCTAAAAAGACCTTTTTTGCTAAAATTCGTGGACCATAAAAGGGGGTACGGGGGTATGTCGTTTATGGTCCTCGGCTAAAATCCAGTTTTTCTTGTCGGAAACAATCCAGAAATGTTCAAAATGTCATATTCAGTGAAAAAAATGCGCCGGAAAGAAGGATTTAATCACTAAAACGACTTATTTTGCTGAAAATTCGAGGACCATAAAAGGGGGTACGGGGGTATGTCGTTTATGGTCCCCACCTGAAAAGTGTTTTGTCTTTTACCAAATCAATAGATAATTGTTGGAAATTCATAATACTTCGAAAAAAAGTGCCGGAAAGATGTTCGTGGTCGCCTAAGACTTCTGAACAAGGTGCGGCACTAGCATTGTCAGGCAAGGCGGGCCGTCGCTTCCGGATGGGCTGCCGCTCCCTCTTCCGAAATGGGGCGCCCCCGGCCGCTTCGCCGGCCTTGGCGCCCCCATTTCGAAACCCTGTACGAGCTCGCGCCCATCCGAAGCGACTAGGCCCCCGGTGGCACGAAGCCTTATTTTTAGGCTAAAAATGGGCTGAATGAATTTTTGTACCAAAATAATTTTTCCAGCTAAAAAGGTCTTTCCGGCGCTTTTTTTGAACTGCAAACGATATTTTGAACATTTCTGGATTGTTTCCGACCAGAAAAACTGGATTTTAGCCGAGGACCATAAACGACATACCCCCGTACCCCCTTTTATGGTCCCCGAATTTTAGCAAAAAAGGTCTTTTTAGCCCTCAAAAACTTCTTTCCGGCGCATTTTTTTCACTGAATATGACATTTTGAACATTTCTGGATTGTTTTCGACGAGAAAAACTGGATTTTAGCCGAGGACCATAAACGACATACCCCCGTACCCCCTTTTATGGTCCCCGACTTTTAGCAAAAAAGGTCTTTTTAGCCCTCAAAAACTTCTTTCCGGCGCATTTTTTTCACTGAATATGACATTTTGAACATTTCTGGATTGTTTTCGACGAGAAAAACTGGATTTTAGCCGAGGACCATAAACGACATACCCCCGTACCCCCTTTTATGGTCCCCGACTTTGAGCAAAAAAGGTCTTTTTAGCCCTCAAAAACTTCTTTCCGGCGCATTTTTTTCACTGAAAACTACATTTTGATCATTTCTAGATCGATTCCGACCCGAAAAAACACTTTTCGGGCGAGGACCATAAAGGTAAATCAAGCCCTAAAAAAATCTGGGCATAAAAATTGTCAAACTCTAAAGTACATTTCCCTTTTGTTGTTTTAATCAATAGCACTTGCTGCGAGCTTCGGTTAACCTTGAGGACGAGTTCAATCCCAATTTCCGACGGTGGCTCAATTGTGAAATTGTACTCTCCGGGGGCCACCTGATAGGCTTTGAGTCATTAAAAGAAGAGCCCATCCGGTTGTAGCGCCTCCTCCCCGATTGCCAGCCTATCGATCCAAATATTAGTAACGCATTTGTCATGTGTCTTATATATGGCAAAAAGGGGGCCGATAAGCGTCCCCGTCACGAGCCGCTTGTTTCCATTATCTAGGCCCGGGCTTTTCCTGGAAACTTGCCTTTTCCATAGTTTTTCGCTTTCACAATCTTCTCTTGTTTCCTCTTCTTCCTTTTCTCTAATAATCAATTTCTTTTTTCAGGTATAAACAAGGACAGCGCACGGGTTTATGCTAGATGACCGATCGCTTTCATGGTAAGCTTTTCATGTCTGATGTTTATTTATAAATTTTTAGATTATGTTCGCGAACTACCGATGCAAATTGGGCGCCGATTTTTGCCGATAGCCCAAGTGAATCTGCCCGTCGTCCAGCTGCCGCGGTTACGAATTGACGAAGTGGGTTTTTTATAAAGTTTCAGATCTTATTAAATTCTTAACAATTAAGCTACTTGCTTGTTTAGTTAAACTATGGGTTTGACGCGGAACGACGGGCGCAACGGGAATATGAGGACTCCGAGCGGCCCGTCGTTGTCTCCGACGACAGTGCGGTTAGTGATTTGAATTCTGTGAATCTATGCTTTTTAGCACTCTTCGATGAGTGACGACTCAAAGTCCAACTCTGCCTCAACCTATTCCAACAACAACGATTTTCTATTTTCAAAGGTTTGCGCATTTTTCTGGATGGCTGATTTTTGTTTTAGGAAGTCTTGTTGCCTTCCAAGGTCGACGCTACGCCACAGCCACTGCCGCGCAAAAAAGCACGACGAGAAGCCGGCGGCGGAGCCGAATTTCGACGAATTCGTCGACCGGGGCACCGACATTTTTGATGAGCTCGACATGAAGACGTTAGACGATCGAGCTGTGCTTTCTCAGGTTGCGATTTGGAGGGATCGATTCAAAAACGTCTAGTAACGTGATATTAGGTGTTCAATGGTGTTTTAGTAACCTTTAACTATATTTTAAGTGGAAAAAACAGTCTAGAAAAAATTTTGTGAAATTTTGGTCGAAAATTGCCCATTTTTCGTCGAAAAAAAAAAACGATATTTTTGTGTTTTTTTTAGGCATAGCGAATAACGAAAATCAACAATAAGCAAAATTAACGTTTCCCTCGATTTTTATTTGAATTGGGATAAATCTTACCCAGTCTATTAGTGCGCGGGTTTTGCCCCCGACCTTGGTCCTTCACCCAACGCCGCCACCCACAAACCCATGCCTCTGTGGTACATTGGCAAAAGTGGGGCGGGCCCACCCCAAAGATCCCGGGTTCGACCCCCGCCCACAGCACAAGGTTTGCAATGATGAGTGCGTTGATCACGCACCCTTAGCCAGATCTGAATCACGGGACGATCCTCGGATTGCCCCGGGTCTGTGATCACTTTCTGGAGCGATAACCTGAGCAAACCTTTTTGGTGGATGTCGGTTGGGTCGGGCCCAAAAACGAAAAGAATTTAGGATGGTCACCACAAATTTGGGCTCGGATTTGGCAAAGAGGGCGATAGGTTCTTGCGCATTATCGGGGGGGCAACCCACATTTTCTTTTAGGAAGCCAATTTCGAATATAAATAGAGTAGATGTTTCTAAAGTATTTTTTTTTACTTTTCCTAAACGTAAAAACATTACAAACCTCGATGGAAAAAAAAGTATCGAAAAACAATCTTCTAGGTAGAAAAATCCTTATTTGAAAGCTCTAATCTATTTATATCCTTAGGTACTCAGCCAGGCCACCCAGCCGCTCTCCATCTCCGCTCAACCTCAAACACAACAATCACGGGTCCGTGAAACTCCCGAAATCCATGGCTAGTGTTTTTTTAGGTAATTCTCGACACCAGCGGCGTGGCCAGCTTCTCGGCGAGCAAGATTGCCGACTCGTCGCAACGACAAGCCGCACCCGGGTGGTCAACGCCTCAATCTTGCCCCTCAACGACACCGCCGCCGATCCCGGGGCACTCGGCCAACCCCACGCCTCCCCCAGTCCCGAATCGACAGGTTTACAGCTACATTACACTTTCATAACCTTAAAAATCTAGAATACAATCACGCCGACAACACCAACAGGGGACAGCGGAATGTCGCAGTTGCGAGCTCGTCTACTGACCAAAGGTACTTTCACAACTTTTCAAACTATCATAAAATTTCTAGGTTACAAAGAAAACATCGTTGCCGTCGCGCTGGAGCGGCTTCCGGTGGAACGGATGCAGTTGGTACGGTTTTTGGCACGTTATAAAAAGTTTTCTCTTTAGGTTGAGTACTACATGAAAAGCATGCGAACGATGGAGAAGGTCGGCGTCGACCCGGGTGTCACGTTGAGTCAACTGGTCGCATGTCAACTCGCAGACAAACAGGTACGCTTGCTAAACTTAATCATCAAAATAAAATATTTTTAGAAAATCCTCGACTACGGCGTGACGGGCGCGCAATTGGTGCAGATGGGGTTCACGGCGCCGCGGAGTATATCGGCTTTACACGCAAAGGCTGGGGACAAGGTGGGATTTTAATTCAATTTTTGAGTTTTAATTTTATGACATTTTCAAGAAGAAAAACTTAGGAGGTTTTCAAAACTTGAAATTTTGGCCGAAAATCGAGGAATCTTGTGCAAAGAATTTGTTTTCCGTTTGATCGAGTTTTAAAGATTCTACATCTAGGAATAGGAATTTAACAGTTTAGCAACATGTTTTATACTTGAAAGTTGCGGATCGTAAGCTTATTTCAGGTCGCTGCACTCGATCTGCTACTCGCCGGCCACTGAGCTCATCGCCCGAGTTTCCGACAACCCAGAGCTTCCCAGTAAATCTATCGATTCCATTCCCGGTGCTTCGTTTTGTCCCCGTGTGATTCTTGTATCTATTGCCGCCCCAATATTGCTGCTTTCCTTCCCCTACCATCTTTGATTTCTACTTTTATTCCCTCATGCGCTAGTCCTCAGTTTACTTGGACGCCCCGTTTTCATAATTGATCAATAATCAGTCAGCTCACACTGTCATGCACCCCCAGTAACTGTTTTCCCAGCGTGTCTGTGATAATTGAATTAGAGTCCTTTTGCATTGCGGGCCCCCCACACCGATTGACTTACGCCGATAAAGTACATTTCTTTTTTTGGGAAAACACATGGGATTCCTGCCGTTGCCATTGGCTACGTTACCAACGAATAGATTGCTGAGTACATGATAGAGTATTATTTACGTATTTTATCGCCACTTGGATATTGATTAGTATAAAAATATAGAGCGAACATGGCGACCTCGTTAGTGCTGTTGAAGCCGGATGTGGTTTCGCACCCAATTTTGATGAAGGTAAGCAGCTTGCTAATTCTAACAATAAGTCGGCTTTGCGCGCTTTACTTTTGCGCTTGCAAATTTTTTATCATTTTAGAGCTTTTTTGGGGTCGGACGTAAAGAAAGAAGAAAAAACTGCAAAACTATCAACCAAGTATTTTATTTCTGTGCATCTATTACTATAGGTTAAACAGAAACAGATAGCTTTCCACCCCCGCTAACAGCCCAGAATCCAGAAAATTTCGAAATGGCTAAAAAATTAAATTAATTAAGTAGGCATTTAGTATAGCATTGTTTTGTTTTCTTGCCCTAATATTTAAAAGGCCGTCCGCGACTCACCCGAACAGGCCCCCTTATGACTTGGCACAGTTTTTTCGACCCCGTTTTTTTGACGGCATCGGATAGAGCATGGTCAAATTAGTAGGGCTGTATAGTTTTGAAAGTTTCAAAGGTTTAATTTTGGGGTTTAAATTAACGTTAAAGTTGCCGACCGTGAAAAAACTATCTCGAAAAATACCCAACAAAATTTGCTAAAAATTTGTGATAATACTAATTTTGGGGTGGGGATCACTTCTCTGATACATTGTTGAATATGTCAAACTTTCTTTTATTCATAGTTCTTAAATGGGGTGCTTCTTTTCTTTTGAAATTTCTGAAGCTAACTTGCCGCAGTGATGAATCCTGTAAAATTGATTAGCTTCTAAGACGCGGAAGTGAAAATGAAGCCGAAGAGGAAGCCGGAACAACGGCTGAAAATCAAAGAGATAACGTTAAAAATAAGCCCACAAAAATAACCTCAAAATTGGGTAACCAAACCGGGCTGCCGCCGCGCTTTTTCACTTTTTCCCACTCGCCACCCACCTGGACCACCCCCAGGACGTATAGGCTGTGCCGATTTGCTCTCCTTTGTCAATCGTTCGGGTTTTATGCCGTTCGTGCTGACCCGGTGGCCCCGTACCGCCAATTTTTATCGGCTGCTGGAGAAGCTTCGGCTTCTCCTTGCTGAACAGCTCGAAAAGCTTCGGCTTTCCTGCGCTGCCCCGAAAAATCGCAGCCTCTCTCCTGAACTGCTCGAAGACCTTGCTTTTCGGCTTTTCAGGAGAAGCTGACTTGGCTAGTATTTTGCTATGCCAAAGTGAGGGGAAGTCATTAATGCGGCGCCCTGCGAAATAACCTTGGCGAACGTCTCGCCAAAAAGGCGTATTTCCAAATAAATTTTTGACTAGCGGCTCCGGCCGAGGATTTTCCAAGTTTTTTAATTAAACTTCACCTTGTTGCGGCTAGTGGTCGTTGAGTGTTCTTTGATCACCTCCGACTCGCCACCCTTCTGAACCACTGTGAAACTGTACCTCGGAAAAAACGCAGGGTTGGTGGTCGGGGAGGACGGTGGACTTACTATTCAATACTCACTTACTATACTTTTTGAATGGTAATGTTCTATAGTATCAAAAAATAGTATTAAAGATTCTCCTCTTCTATTAGTGATAGTCTTCAGAAGACTAGTAGCAAAAGTTGAGAATTTACTAAATCCTAAACTTCACTTCCGAACTTAGAATTCAGAGGAAAAGTTAGGAAGTGGAAATTCATAGTTTCAAAAAGTTAAAGTTCAGGATTAACCCGAAACTTTAATTTTGAAAGCAGGTGGTCCCGTTTCTCCGAAGAGAAACGGTGACGTGACTCTGAGAATCAGAGGTTCAAACCCCCGCGGGGTCTGCTGGGGGGCGGCAAAAATGCCATCCCCAATATCGCGCGTTTTCCTGCGATGGTATCTCCTGACAGTGGGCCAGACGGGGGGCGAGTCGCTGGCGATCAGGGAGCATCCAGAGATCACCCAAACTATAAACTACAGAACCATGTAAAATGCGCAAGTTGTGAGGTCTGTCATGTGTTGCTATTCACGAATTTTTGCTGTTACGTGTCTCGCCCAAGTACTTTTCATACTTTATTTAATTTCTCACAATCAGATTCATTTTGGGAAAAACATTGCGTAAGAGCACGACGTCGAAGGGGAGATGAGATAAGATAAAATAGGCATTTGGAAAGTGACAGATCACAGTTGCAAGAAGAGAGGAGGGCGGCAGAGAAAAAGAGAGGAGGAAGATAACAGATACCTTACGGGGCGGGCGCCTATCGATAACTATACAAACGGAGAGCTAGTATTATGCATTCGGGCGTACTGGACTGCTAACGGGGGGAGCTAATTTTGTTTTCTTCGCTTATACCTGCCTTCCATAAATAAATCTGGCATTTTAATAATATTTTAGTATTTTTCAAGGCTAGACCTTTACAAAAATCTTTTTATGATTTAGAAATTCATTTTGATATATTTTGATGATTTGTCATAAATTTTGGACCAAAAAGTAAAAATGCAAAAATTCTATTTTTTGGGTTTGTTCTATCAAAAAACGGTGTAAAACGCCCTAAAAATTGTTTAAGTTTTACTATAGCGGCGTACAGAATTCCTGGGAAAAATTAGTACCCCCCGCTAACAGTCCAGTACCCGGGTATTCTGGACGATGGGGGGAAAAACGCCTGGCTCGGGTAATTTTTCATGTTTTCTGATGGCTACCGGTACACGCGAGAACATCGGATTGCGGGGGCTCACTTCACAAAAACAAGAACAAATAATAGGCTTCGGGGGGCTACATTAGTATTGTCACAAATTTTTAGCAAATTTTGTAGGGTATTTTTCGAGATAGTTTTTTGAGGTCGGCAACTTTAACGTTCATTTAAACCCCAAAATCAAACTTTTGAAACTTTCAAAACTATTCAGCCCTACTAATTTGACGATCCTCTATCCGATGCCGTCAAAAAAAACGGGGTCGAAAAAAAACTGCGCCAAGCCTTGTTCGGGTGGCTCGGAAACGGTCTTTTAACCCCGATTTTAGGAGGTGGTGCAGCGGCTACTGAGCGCCGGCCTGCAGATCACCGGCTTCCGGAATTGCCGGTTGGACCGGGCGCAGGCCGAGCAGCTCTACCGCCAGCACCAGGGGCGCTTCTACTACGGGCGTCTCGTCAGGCACATCACCAGGTAGGCTTCGATCTACCATTTCTCCATTCTCCTTTTTAGTGGCCCGGTACTGGCGCTGCGCGTGAGCGGGGATGCGCGCGCCGTGCTCGGCTCCAGCAAGCTTTTCCCGTTGTCTGAGGAGAAAGGTGGGGCGCGTTTGTTAAAGGGATGCCGACGGCATGTGTCGATCCCCCCTCATCAACAAATTGGCAAGTAGCCAACAAGGCAGAGAGCGCGCCCAGGGGAGAGGCGCAGAGACACTTTCTTTTCCGCGCGTAACAGATTGACTATGCGGTCGGCATCCCTTTAAGGAATTCCTAGAATTTCTAGTTTCAAATTTCTAAACTCTAAAAGCCTTTTTTAGAGCCCACGCTTCGCCAGCAGTTCGCCATCTCCGACGTGCGCAACGTGGCGCACAACTCGGATCGGGAAATGGCCGAAGCCGAGCTGGAGCTGATGGCGCCGATGGAAACGATTGATGGTCAGTGTTTTTCTAGTTGGATCTTTCGCCTTATCGGGGGGGGGAGCAATTTTTCTTTAGGACCCGGTTTTCGAACATAAATTGAAGGTGTTTCTGTTTTAATTTTTTTGAGAACGTTAAAAAGTGAAAAACGTATCGATTTTTCGACGAAAAATGGCTGATATTCTACAAAAATATAAAGTTTTCAAACATCTTTTCAAGTTTTCTACTTTTTTCCAAATGAAACCTAGCTAAATTTGCTTGAGCAACTAATAGTTTAAAAAATTATCTTATGTTAGGCCTATCCCTCCTCAAGAAGCCCGAGGTATTTCACACAACGCGACAAGTCTCCCAACCGGAATAAGGTGTGCCCACAAGAATTTCACGATCAAGAAGCGCTGTGTGAGTTCTTGCCTTCCAACAAGTAGAGATAGGTTTTTGTGCTGAAGGTATTTTTATTGGGGGCGTCAGCCCGATTCCGACAAACGCACATTTACACGTGATTTTACAGGTAGAGCTGATTTACTGGACAAAGCGGGTGACCGGGAATGTGACAAGATGAGCAATACGGATATACTTCACCGGATAAAATAAAGAGAGAGAAAAAGACGACTAATCACGGGTGAGAAGAGGCACGTTTTGGGGGGAAATTACACGCAGATACACGTACACGCAACTGTACAATTTCAGGGGGTATCACGTAACTTCGAAAAATTCTTTCATTTCGGTGGGAAGGAAGTGAAGGGAGGTACACTAAATTCTAATTTTAGCAAAATCACAGACATTTTTCGCAGCTTCCACCATTTTACCGGGTATTTTTGAGGATCGCGCTGCTTTTTAGATTCACGAGAAAAAAAAGAAAAAGTTTATATACCTTTAAATTCAATTTGGTAGTAGGCTGGGCGGGGTCGTCGATGTTTCAGACCAGGGTGAAGCCGGAGGTGTGCTCGAGCGAAATTCGAAGTCGCCTGAAAAAAACGGAATAAACTTTGAGAAATAGCGAGAGAGCGAGTGAGAGAAAGAGAGAGAGAGAGAGAGAGAGAGAGAGAGAGAGAGAAAGAGAGAGACGGCGAGAGAGACAGACCACAGATTCCAAAAACACACCTCAACATCTCCTTCTTGTCGCTGATGTTCGGCAGGTCAAGGGTGTTGGCGCACGTGTGGGCGACGGGGAGCGCCTCGTCGGAGCAGGGCTGGAACTTCACCTTGACGTCCTTCATCCCTAAACGGAAGACGAGACCTTAATTATAATCAACGAAACGCACCTTTCACTGGCAGCCGGGTGCTTCCGGAGAGGAACTGGAGGAACTTCTTGCGCTCGTCGAGGCTCAATTCGTGGAAGGCCTCCCAGAAGGCCTGGACGGCCGGGTGCTTCGCGTGGTAGACGCCGTCGTATTGGACAATCTGAAACGTGGTTATAATAGGGATTTTAACAATTTTGAAGTTTTAAGCATTTTAAGCGGCGGAAACACCAATTTTCCCCGATAATCCCATAAGGCCCTATAGCAAACTATAGACCATTTTTATGCATTTTACACAGTTTTTCGACATAAAAACCTGATAAAAATGATCAACCATATAGGAAATTTTGCATTTTTTGTTCAAAAATGTAAAGATGACCCAAAATTAAAAATTTCGTCAATTCCAGTTTTTAAAACATGTTTCTATCTTTTTAGCAAAGAAAAACTACAAAAAACCCTGAAAAAAATAGTTTTATATTAGGTTGGCGGAAAAAGCAAGAATTATTTTCTCCTCCTCACCTCACCCCCCCCCCCTCCCGCTAACAGTCCAGTACCGAAAAGTACAAGAGTGGGCGTGAGAGCGAGTGTCTTAGGAGTGTGCCCTGAGACAATCTGCGACTACAAAAAATTCGCAAAAACACTGCGACAAATTTATTTCGTCTGTAAAATCGAGTGGTCATGTTAAAAAGCGGGGGTTTGGCTTTTTCATTCGGGTGCGGCGATCAGCGGCCCGGCGACGACGTGGGTTCGCTGCTGAGCCGGCGGACGTAGACCCCATCCGGGACGACCTCGACGTTGAACGAGTGGCTGCTCTGGATCATTGTCGTCGGGTGTTGGGTTGACTGAAGCAACGGGAGGCGTGCAAAACGGCTTCGTTTCAGGGCTACAAAAAAGCGATGAAATTTGCACACCTCGGTCTGCGGGGCAAACGAGAATGACTGGCGGGAGGTGAGCGCTTGGGCGGTGTGCGTCGTCAAGGTGGGTTGCTGACTTCCGGCCACGCTCCGGTGGCTTGTCGATTTGGATTTGGTAGCTGAATCGGGGGTCAGTGAGTGTTTGGACCTTTTTTAAAGGCACGGGAAAGGCATGGCTATGGACCGAATGCTTTGTCGAACCCTATGAAGCCGCCTACAATTCGACGCCGGATCCGACGGGCTGATGGACATGCGCGAGTACGAGGCGATCAGCTTGTTCTCCTCGCGGCTCCTCGAGTCGGACGAGTCCTCCTGTTGCACCTGCTAAACGTTGCGGGCGTCACCAAGCCTTTCGGGCCAAAACGGACCGCTTCCGGTTCGGGCTCGTCGCGCGGGGGCCCGCGGAACCCGTCGGTCCCGATCAGCCCCAACATGTAGAAGGCGAGGAGCAGGAGGAGCAGCATGATCACGTCTACCGTGTCGACGTGCATCTCTGCGGGAGTAGTTAGAAATGCTCCCTGATAAAGCCGCCCACCCATCACTGCTTCCGATTAATTGACGTCAAGCGTAAAACAGACAGAATGAAAGACCGTACACCGGTTGGAATATCGTAGAAAATGGGGCTGATGAGCATTTTTCAGATTCGCGTAAATTTAATGCAAAATTGGGTATTTGCATACCAAAATATGCAAAAATCGCAGGAAAAAAATCAGGGGACACTCAAAATTGAAAACTCGACTCCACGGGCCGGTCGCGATGGCCGAGGTCGGGAACAGCAGCAGCGCGCCGGAGATGATACTCGTCGTCTTCCTGCTCTGGCTGTACTACCAGGTAACTCGCGCGCCGCTTGAACGCCTTGAACATGACGCAATCCGGTATATAACCAAATGGCGAGCCTTGTGTGTTGCGCGGTTCTAGGCTGTTAGCGGGGGGCAGAGGGATTTTAGCGGAGTCGCGAAACATCCCTTTCAGTACGCAAAAAACAAGGAGGCCGCGCCGAAGAAGGCGGAATCGGGGGTGCAGACCTGCTCGACGCAGGGCACCTCCGTCAGCCGTATCGTTTCGGAAATAAACCGGAAAACGTGAGTTCCATACGGCCGCTTCCGGAAAGCCCCCCGAAATTCAGCGCGAGATCGGGCGCGTCGATTGAGACGGCGCTCAGCCCGTTGCACCACGACTTGACGCCGACGAGTAGCCAAGGTATGGGCTGTTAGCGGGGCGGCACATTTTTCTTGTGATTCTCTACGGCCCTATAACAAAATATAAACCGTTTTTATAGCCGTTTCATAGTATTTAGGTATAAAAACAGCATAAAAATAATAAAAATTTGCGATTTTTGTTCAAAAATTTATGAAAAATGACCCAAAAAAGGTAAAAATTTTCGAATTTTTAAAACTCAATTTCAATTTTCAAAAATTTAAAGAAAAACAGAAGAAAACCAAATTCCAGTGAAAACCGGACGCGCCGAGTCGGTGGAGGACACGCGCAAAAAGTTCGAGCAACAACCCCCGGCCGCCGCCACCGAGCAGCAGCAGCAAAAGTCGGCCTATTCGGTATCCTCGGTATACCGCTCGACACACGGGCCGCACCCGCACTTTAGGAGTCGTTCCCCGTCAAGCTCGGCACGCCCTACCAGGCGCCCAGCGGAACGAATTCCGGATACGCACGACTGCCCGGGGCTGAGGTGGGTTCCGGAAAGCGTAGAGACGAAGCCTAAGCTAAGCCTAATCCTAAGACCGACAAGCGAGGAAATTGGCTCTTTAGCAGCGCACAGGCAGACCAAAATTTCAAATTTTTAGACATCTAGATTTTTTAAATAGTTTTTTTGGTTCTTTCGCGTTATCGGGGGCGGGGGCTTTGGTCTGAGGACGTAATTTTCTAATATCATCGATCAAGTGTTTCTAAACTCTTTTTTTTAGTATAAATAAACCTCAAGACCTACAATTTTCATTAAAAAAATACGAAAAATATCCTTTCCGACCAAAATCTCGAGACAAAAAAGTTTCTAATTATTTTGCGTATTATTCGACTTGAAATTTAGTGCATTTTGCTAAATTACTATCAAAAAAAATTACAATTACGCTACTAGACATTTCTGCTTTTCAATTTTTTCAAAAATCAACCCCCCCCCCCGATAATGCGAAAGATTCGTTTATTTTGCATCTTGAAAAATAGCTAAATACTTGAAAAGTATAAAAATGGTTAATTTTGAGCCCTGGGAAATGGCAAAAAGCTAGGAAACCTGATAAACTACAAAAAACTCCATTCTTGCAGCGAACACCTAGCCCAAACCCGCGAGCCATCAAGCCCGCCTCGCACACGTCCCATGAAGCCTACAAATAGCCGCCAACGCATTAATGGCCGACCCCCATGACCCGACGGCTCACTGACCACCTCACTCGGAAAAACCCCGCCTACTCGACTGTTTCCGTGTATTGTATTCTCGTCTTCTGTGCGCTCGAATAAAGAATTTTGGCCCCAGGGAGAGTCAGCGCGGGCAAAAACAAACGAGTAATAAAGTACCTTTTGGAACTCCTCCCAGTCGTAGTTCTCGTTGCCCACGACCAGCTCCATCAGCTCGCGCGGGTGGAAGAGGTGCAGCAGCCTGAAACGGGGTGTTTAATACTTGGGGCGTCGAAAGGGTTCTGGTTCGTTAGCGGGGGGGGGGAGAGACCCGGTAATGGACCAGAAAAATGGACAAAAATTGTGGTAAACGCAAGATCTAATCGTGGAATTTAGACATTTTTCCAACATTTCATAAAAAATTCAACTTATTAAAATTTTTAATTTCAGATCAACCCAATAAATTTGATTCCAACATGCGGATTTTCCGCATGCCAAAATATGGTCCACTAAAACCCCAAACCAACCGAGAATGTAGCACGTGCGTGAAGCCCTCGCGGAAGTGGCCGATTTGCTTCTCGATCTCGTCGTTCACGCCCTGCTCCATCCGGAATTGCACGTAGCGCTAAAAAACAGTGCCGGTACACAAGGTAACAAATGACGTCAAACCTTCACGTAATCCGCCTTGTTCGCCTGGGTGACGGGCGTCTCCTTGCCGTCCGGCTTCAGCTCGACGGTCGTCGGGTGCCCGAACACGTTCTGCGTGATGCTGAACTCGAGCCCGAACACGTCCTCGAAATCGTCGCCTGAAAGGGGGGGATTATTTTGAAAAAAAGAAATTTTAATTTTAATCGTTTGAAAAATTCCAGTTTAAAATTTAAGTAAAAAAACTATCCCAAACCTTCATAATCCAACAGCGACTGCAGATTCTTGCCCTCGACCGGGTGCAACTCGATGAAGTCGTCGAGACCGGTGGGCTGCTTGAGCAACACCTTGTAGAGCGCCAGGGGAAACGGGAAGGCGACGAGCACGTGGTTGTAGACGGCCAGCGCGACCAGGGCTCCGATCTGGAAGAAGGAGAAGATGTTCAGGGGCATCCGGGAGTTCGTGCTACCATCTGGAACATGGACGGCTCGCTGGGGTTGCCGCTGAACCACGTCAAATGCGAGTCCGGGTCCTCGTCGAACATGCCGTACCTGAATGGGCAAATTATTCGGTTCTTTCGCAATATCGGGAGGGGGGTGGACTTTTTCTAAGTGTCCATTTTTTCTAAGCTGAATAGAGGAAATAGAGGAGAATAGAGTCGAAAAAAGTTTGTGATAGCTTTTCTACTTCAAATATAATAACATTTTACCTAAAACACGATTAAAAGCCGGAAATTTGAGTTAATTAGTTCAATTTAAAAGCATTTTGGCTGTCGGGAATTCCTTATCCGGAAATTAGAAGCATCAGAGAAAAACGAACTCGGCCTGCAGAATCTGCTGGAAGAGTAGCATGAAGTACTCCTTGCGGACGCCGCCCCCGTCTTCCGCCTCCTCGCCGACAAATTCGACGCGCAGCGGCTTCAGCATCGTGCCCTGGTCGGCTGAAAGAGAAACTTTTGCGTAAATAGCGTAAATGTAAACATTTAATTTGTAAAAATTACAATAACTATGTATAGGTAAAATGGGCAAAATTAGAGATAAAACTTTTGAAGGAGAAGCAAAATACCTTGCTGGATGACCATCACGGTGTCCTCGACAATGTGGTCGCGGCGGACGCGGTAGTGGAACTGCGGGTTGCTGATGAACACCGGCGCACCGAACAGGTTGACCGTCGACTGGTTGATCATGCGCTGAAAAACGGAGAGCAATGCACCGGGAAAGTAGACCAACCTGCTGTTGCATGAGGGCCTCGACGTGGAGCAGGTCGCCCTTCACCTCGCCGTTCATGATGAACGGGTACTTGGCCCAGAAGAAGTTTGGCTGAAAAATGAGAGGTAAAATTGGTAAAAGGCAAAAAAGGGAGGTGAAAATTGGCATTTTCGTCGATAGATCTTCACCGCTACGCGTAAGACCGAAAAACTAGAAAAATCCAGACCGAACGCCTACCCCTTCGGTGGTAACCCATTTCACGTAGTCCTCGCGGATGTTGACCTTGTCGGCGAGGTTGTTCACGTAGAAGTTTTGCAGCGGGATCCGGTTGTTGACTCTAAAAAGACGATAAAAAAAGTGATAACCTGTACCTGTTCAAGACGTGCAGCTCCTCGAGGAAAGTGAGGAGGGGCAGGCTGTGGATTCCGGGCGCTTTGTCCTAAAATTGGAAATAGACCGGAAGCAGGCGCGAAACGTACCTCGACCAATCTATAAACACCTGCCACCAGGCCGCTGACGAGTCGGTTAAAGTGGCGAACCGGGAATTTGCGCCACCATTTGTCTAAAAAGCAGTGTTCTGAGACAGCTAGGAAAAGCCTACTCAAGCAAACTTGTTGCGGTCGTGTCAGCGCGCAGAACGCCTTCGCGAATCGAAGATGCAATTTCTCGACGATCTGAAAAACGACGCTTCACGAAAAAGTTTCTGCACCAACCTCGCGGGTTTTCGGCTTGGTGAAGCAGCTGATCCAGGGCAGAATCAGGAAGGGCCGGATGCACTCGAAGCTGAGGAAGAGCTGCGGCTTGAACTTGGGGCCGAACACGGACTCCTCGCACCGGTCAACAATCTAAAAACTGATTAAAAGCTGCAGGGAGTCGGCGTTACCAGATCGGCGTACTGGGCGGCGTCCGACGTCTCAGCCAGGCTGTTGAGCACGTCCATCACGTCGTCGAGGTTCACGCCGTGGTTCGCCTCGGAGGTCTGAAAACGAGAGGAATTTCACGAAAGCAAAAGTTGCAGGAAAAGTAACTTCTTCGTTTTTGGTCATTTTTGATACGGTTTGCACAAAAATTCAATTTTCGAAGATTTTATTTTTTTATGCACATCCTGGCGACGAGATATTCATGCAAAATTTAAAAAAAACCCCACGTTATATCGCCGATCATCGTTGTAGAGGAAGGACCCGTTGAGCAGCGACAGCGACGAGAAAACGGCTTGCAGGTCGCTGAAATCAATTTTCCAAAAATTCAAGAAATCGCTTACTCCATGAGGTCGAGTTTTTCGCGCTTCAGCAGATAGTCGCTGACCAGCTGCTTTGTCAGGGATTTTGGCACCAGAAGTCGAGATGACGGCCCAGGCTTGGCGTCCTAAAACAGTCTTTCAAAAAAAATTACTTAAAAAATTCAGGTAAAAAATTTAATTTTAAAAAGAGAAAACATACCGGAGCGCACGCGTCGCGCACAAGAAATGTGTGATCCCAGCCGGAGAAAATCGTCGACACTTGATCGCAGCTTTCCAGGCACATGGGCAGTAACTAGAGGAAAATTTTCAACAACAAAAAAAACGGTTTTACCGCATTTTGCGTGGTGCCGTTGCCGAGTTGGCCGCTGGAGTTCAAGCCGAACGCGTAGACGCGCCCCTTGACCACGACAACGGTGTGGCACCTGGAAAGGGAGAAATCGTGATGAAAAATTGCGCCAAACGAACCGCCCGGCCGCGATCCGTAACACTTCGGTGCCCATGAACTCCGGAATAATCGACGGCATCGCTTTTGTGGTCGTTTTGCGCCCGCAGCCGAGCTGCCCGAATGAGTCGGAGCCGAAGGAGAACACGCGGCCACCCCTAGGAAATTCGTAGTATAGGTGGACGTCATGAATTTGACGTACAGAGTAGTAGGACAAAATCTAAGCCGAAAATAGAGAAAATACTTTAAAAATTTTGAAAATCATAATATCGAAATTTCATAATGCCGAAATTTCAGAATGCCGACATTTCGTTTTTCGTACGCAAATCTTCCCGGAAAAAGCCTCCAGTTCCTATGCAAAAATATTTTCGGCATTCTGAAATTCCGATCAGATGCAACTCGGTCGGCAAGCCAGAAAAACGCTCACTTCGTCAGCAGCACGGTGTGAGAGTCGCCGCACGCCACCTCGATCACGCTCATGCTGCTCATATTTTCGAGTCGAACCGGGCGGGCCTGCCCTGAGAAGATTTAATTATCGATACCAATTTTCGCTACGAACTCGTCGTATCGCCGGTGCCCAATTGGCCATCGTCATTCTGGCCCCAGGTGAAGACCGAGCCGCTCGCCGAGACCACCACCCAATGCCGGCCGCCTGCCGCTACTAAAAAATGATTACTGTATCTCGTTATCAATTTATATTTTTGATTTACCATAATACCGAAATTGGAAGGTAGGAGGTAAAAATGTTAGGTTTTTAGCATTTAAAACGGTACTAATGCACTTGGGGGGGGGGGCAGTCCCCATTTTGACTACAAGACGCGCCAAACGCCATTTTTCAAGCTCTAGGCCCAGGCTTAGCTTTATACAAACGAAACCTAAGCTTAGCTAAGCCATCATTACTACATTTTAAGGTCGCGGGGCTTTTAAAGTTTAATATAAGCTTAGCATCAGCTTGAGCCGAAGTCTGGACTTCGTCAAACCTTAGTTAAGGTCAAATTAAGCCTAGGCTTAAGCCAAGACCAAGTAGCGTAAACGTACTCCTCGTGATCGGAATGCCCAGCAGACTCTCGATGATGCGGAACTGATGCAGCGACGCGCCATCGTACTGCAGCCCGGTGACGTAGACGGTACCCTCTAAAACCATGAAAATCATCGTAAAAAGTAATTTACGCTGTCCCAACACGAGCGTGTGCTCCGGCCCACAAGCCACTTGGCACGTCGGCGAGTCGATATGGGCTCGGCGCGGTTTCTCGACGGTCGTCTCGTTCATCGGGAAGCCGAGCTGGCCAGACGAGTTGTCGCCCCACGTAAAAAGGCGCCCGTCTTCGGTGATGCAAGCGCTGTGCTCACGGCCGCAAGCCACCTGAAAATCAAAATTCAAAAAAGCAAAATTATATGGTGCGTTTGCATTATCGGGGGGGGGGGAGGGTTTCCGATATCTCCAGAAAGGCCTGGTAACTTCATAGAAAGTATCTTAATTGTGTTTTAGTAAAATTTAACCATATTTGAAGTGCAAAATTAAAAATAAAAGTTTGTAAAGTTTTTGCGTTTAAGAATAGCAAAACATTTTTTTGAAATGCTTTCTCTATTTAGATTTGAAAAATCGAATCCTTAGAAAGAAGTTCCGCCCCCCCCCCCGATAATGCAACAGAACCAAGCATAGATACCTGAACGACTCGAGTCCCCGACGAAAATTCGACCGGATAGATGGAAAGGCTGCCGGTTCCGGGGCGTCCGCGTCCCAGTTGCCCTCGCCCATTCTGGCCCATGCTCCACATCTTGCCATCTTCCGACAGGATCAACGTGTGCTTCTCGCCGCAGGCGATCTGGCGGATCGACGCGCCCGACGCGTTCGCTGGTGCTCCAACTAAAAGTCGTTTTTACTAAAGTATAAATAACCCTTTTTTGAATTGTAAATTAAAATTTGAAATTGTCGAGGATTTGGCAAAAATGAACACTTTTTAGGTAATAGAATTCTATACTGTCTTTCGAATTTTGTATTGTTTGAAGGCCATAAAATTGTGGAAGTTTTAGGTTTGAAAATAGTCGGAAAGGATAAATAACAACTTTATTCCGTTCATTTTGGTTCGAAAACACCGGCTTTAACACTCACAAAAACGTACTAATATGCTCGGGCATCCGCACGCAATTGTTGTCTCCGGGCGGGTGAATGGCCAGCTGGCCATCGCTGGCCAACCCGAATCCCAGCAGTTCGCGCTTCATCGACTCTTCTTCGCCTCGTTCTCCGGAGGGCGAGTCTGAAAATGCCCATTTTTTGAGTTTTCTAATAAAGAAATCAACAGGGGGAAGAGGAGAATAAACTGCCACAACACCACAAAAGCCAACGAGAAAAAGCGCATGCCAAGGCTGAAAAACCGGAAAAAGCCCGTAAATTGAGCAAGGTGTTCCGGCCACTCACACACCTCGCGAGCCACATGCCTCCAAAATCGTGCTGTCAGTCAAATTTGGAGTGTTAGCCGATTGTTCGTTAGTGGGAGCACTGTCAGATGATATTGAATAGTATCGCGGGCGAGCAGCATCCCGAATCCTCTGGATCGAAGAGGTCGACTCGAGGGACATGCTCCGCTTCCGTTCGAAAGAGCCAACGGTGGGCAGTGGCTCCTTGGTCGGCGCAACTTGTGACGACGTGGATGGGATCCAGAAGTGCGGGATCGGCGTCTGCAAGCAGGTTAGTGGGAAGTTGCGGATGCGCCGGCTTGTAGATGATATCAACAGTGCCGTCAAGGCTCGTTTTAGCAGCTACACGAATTTACCTTCTTCGGCAGCGAGCGGGCCGAAAAAACACGGTTGTGGCCGAGTCTCGTTGACGTCGTCGGCTGGGCCCCGCCGCTTCCGGACGTAATGCAGCAGCGAAATGGGGCCAGACAGCACGCCAACATGCACTCACAGCTGAATGCACGTGTTCAAGTCATTGGGAATCAAAAAAAAATTCGACAGAGATCCCAAAATGGTTCTTCCGCATTATCGGGGGGGGGGGACCAACTTTTCCCCAAGGATCCAGCCACGGCCTTTCAAAGCGCGCACGAGCTTCAAAAGCTACCAAAAACACTCCCAGAACTTCATTGCATAAATTTTTTTCTACAAAAACGTGCAAAATGTTTTCCTCCATCGATCTGTCGTGGCGATTTTTAAAATACGGCTAGGGGGAAAAGTTATGATCGAAAAAGACAAAAATCCTTAACATTTTCGATGACGATATTTGTTACTCTGTAAAAAACTCTCCCAGCGGTTGATTATCTAACTTTATTATACCAAAATGTGCAGAATTATTTTCTCTATCGAACTCGCGCGGCGATTTTGTAAATACGGTCAGGGGAAAAAGTTATGAGCGAAAGAACAGCGGCCCTCTTAACATATTTGGGGGGTGGGGGAAACCACTCTCGTGCGCGCTTTCCCATAGATCTGAAACGCCGTGCAGCCTTTCAAATATATAGATAATGGAAGTGTTTCTAAATGGTTTTTACTGTTCCTCAACATGAAAACTTTACCAAAAAAGCTTTACCAAGCTTCCTAAACTTATACAAAAAAGTTCGCACCCACCCCCGATAATGCGAAAGTACCCCCAAAATTCGTACCTACGCTATCGTCGCTTTCAAGGAGTGACTAATACCCTCAAATTTCCGTAGTCAAATAAGAAGTGATGGATAAATGTAGGGTGGTTTTGCAATGAAAACCCGCTGCCTGACAAAAGCGTGACGCCAGCGCCACAATTCAAATAATGACAGCTGAGGCAGAGAAAGATAAGGGCCGAGATGCCTAGTTGCTCGCAAAATTCTCCGCTCGGCGGCTGCAAGAAAACGGCATGGATCTGGCGCTGCTAAAAATGATGAATAAGCCTCAGCGAAAACACGGGAATTTTATGGGTGCCGGAACTCGTCCATTTGCCGGTTATGGCGACGCCGTTGCTAGGGATTACATATACCCCCCAAATCCCCGGCTTCAAAATCATGTCATGGGCAGGAGGGGGGAAATGAAATAGAAGCGACCCGGGGAAATTTAAGAGTGATGATAGATTTTCTAAACGTAAAAACTTTACAAATTTTGATTAACAAAAAGTCCAGACTTTTCGACCAAAACTGACCGATTTGTGGCGAAAATTTAGCATTAAACTTTTTCGGCCATTTTAAAAAGTTTCCCCTTTAGAGGGTGAATTTTAGGCTAAAAGAATTCAGGAAAAGTTAGCCGAATGACTTCAGGTGATTTCATGCAGAAGCCCTTGATGCGGCACGTTAACCTCACGAACGAGCAACAAAAGTTAGTAGACGATCACAACACGACAAGCCAAAACTAATTCTGCATTCATCACCAATCATATCTTGCCGAATTCCAATGTTTCCAGAAAGCCAACGCGCATAGCAGCGCAACGACTCGACCCGAGGCTTCTTCATCACATTTTATTCTTCCGCTACAACAATCAACAAAGCAACAGTTAACAGAATTCCAATTGTAATTCGGGAGGCGATGGGGCAAACAACGTGTAACAGAGTCGCAACAGTTAGAAAGAGACAATTGAAACGTTAGAAGAACGAGAAATGATAAACAACAGTGGGAAAAAGTATTCTGGAGAGTTGGTTGCAGCCGCGTGGATGATCACGCCTGCAAAAGTTGTAATTAAAAAAAGATATTTAGGCGAATCAAACAAAATTTCCTTCCCGAAATTCTGGTTATAGCGGGGGGAGGCCGGCGAATTGTTTTCATTGTCCCCGCAGGGGTATTTTTGTCGAAAATTGATGAAAGGATAGAAAAAGGATCCCAATTTTCCAAATTTTTTTATAACTTTTGGGCTAACAAGACTACTAAAACACTATAAAAATGGTTGATAACCTGTCCCCTTTAAAGCGCACATACTTCGGTCTTTACCCGTTTCGCGTCCGGTTCATCTGAAGAAGCCTCGCCCTTCTTGCCCTCGTCGTCGGTGCGGTAGCCGCCCGACCCTTCGTCATCGTCCTGCACTTCGGCGGGGGCTTCTTCAGCCGTTTCCGCGTCGTCATTCTAAGCCAAGGATGACGTCCGATCAAAATTCTAACCTCTCCATTTTTTGCGCGAGCTCGCTCCTCGTCGACAGCGTTTCGATCGGCGACGGCCTGAAAAAGTGAGTTATATAAAAAAAACTAGAAAATTTACCTTGGCTCTCCGGTTGTTCCTCATCAGGTCCTCGATGACCTCGGTGTCCTCGCCGAGCAGGCGCAACAGGTGCACCTTCTCCTCCTTGCCAACGTATGGAGCGCACGTCTTCTGGCCGATCTGAAAAGCAGAGCTGCATCCATAAGAGGCGCAAAAATGCAGGCATTTATCTTACGAAAAAATCTGCGTACCCAGGTGCACACCGGATCGTCCCGGTCGACGTAGACGACGAGACTACCGCTCAGATTCTTGCGCATAGCTTCGCCGGCCTCAAGCTCCTCCATCGGCACCAGGTTGCCCTCGTGGCGGAGGATCGTCAACATGTCCTTGCGCGAAATTTGGAGCTGAAAAACGCAAAATTTTCTCCGAACGCTTAAACTTAAAGCGCTAGATTATGCGAACGCACATACCACTTGCTTCGACAAATACGGGAACAGGGCACCTATCCCCTCCTGCGAGACACGGAATTTCACTTGTTCCACCTAAAAACTGTATTTGTTTTGCAAAGACGCGTTTACCTTGTTCTCGTTGCGCCCAAACATGCGCATCCCGGCGTTGATTATGGAGATGTGGGCCATGTTTGCTTTCTAAAGTCAGTTCAGAGATTGGGGACCACACCCTCACCAAGAACTCCTTGACGGCGTCGTTGACGTAGAAGAGCTGCCGGCTGTTCTGGTCCTCGAGCATCCGGTTGAAGAGGTTTTGGTAGTGAAACGTGTCCGAGATTCCGTAGTGATTTCTAAACGAGGTCGAATTCTTTTTTCTGCAATTTCTTTCCGCAAAGAAGCCTAAAAATTACCTAATATCAAACCAGCGCTCGTCGTCTTCTTTCAAGAACGTGAAGGGGTCATCCTTGAAGAACTTTTTGCGCCAGACGGCTCCCCTAAAAAAAAGGATACAGCACGTTAGCTGATTCATACTTCACATTGCTGTTTTCCCGGGTGAACTCGACTTCGGAGACCTTCTCCAGCAAAGCTACGAAGAAGCCGCCAGTGTCTTGGTGATGGGGCACGATGCGCATCCTAAACTCGCTGTTAAAACGTAGCGAAAGAAGCAATTACGTATAGGGTAGGTTCATCGTGGCCGCCTCCTCTTCGGTGGGCGGGAATAGAGACTTGACGATCGGACGCTGTAGCTCTTCAGGAACATCGGCGTGCGTGGGGTATTCGACCATCGCCTTGCTGATCACCTAAATAAGTTTTTTAAATAAAACTGAATACAACTCATGTATTAGAAAAATATAACGCCCCGATATTGCGAAAGTACCATTTATTAACAGAACTACCGGCCGTTAAAAATCCCTTACCTTCCATTTATTAACACCGCGCAGCGCCTTCAGCTTTGGCAACATGGGGTGGGCATCGATAAGCCGTAGGCCGCCTTTGGCTTCGCGCAGCAGCTGCGCTACGACAGCCTCGTCCTCCATCGGGTTCATCGAGCAGGTTGAGTAGACCATGCGCCCGCCGACGGCCAGCTGCTCGACGGCGCGCCGGGCGATGCTCAGCTGCAGCTTGTGGATGCCGATCCCCTCCTGGGGCGACCACTTCTCCCAGATGTCCGGATTCTTGCGCACGGTCCCGTCGCCACTAGAATTTTTGAGTTTCTGAGAGCCAACGGGCAACAGCTACCTGCAAATGACGTCGCAAAGCACGCGGTCAAACTTCCTGGTCGAGCCGTCCTAAACAGATAATTGAGGACGGTTTCAATGTTCCAACCTTCCACTTGAAATCCGGGAGCTGGGTGGCGTCCTCGTTGATCACTGCCGTGTTCGCGTTCTTCATCCGCTTCAACGTCTGCCGGACCAACATGTAGCATCGCTTCTTGTCGACGTCGTTTGCAATCACCATGCCAGCTAGAACAGGGTTTTTCAAAACCACTAAAACCCTCACTTGGATTCGGGTCCTCTTCGTGCATCATCTCGATCAGCTGCATCGTTTTGCTCCCCGGCGCCGCGCACAAATCGAGCACTAAAAACAATGGTGAAAAATGGATAAAATCAAACCAAAATGATCCTTGGCGGGGTTGAGGAGCAGCGGCGGGATCATGCTCACCGCTTCCTGACGACTGATCGATCCAAGCTCAGCCTCGGTCACCTAAAAATCAATTTAGCGAAAAGCGGCCATTATTACCAGAAAATTGTGCAGCTGGGCGAGAATTGGGTGACTTCGGACCTCTGTGCGTGACATTCTAGTCTGGTACGCTCCCGGGTACCACGGCAACTCCTAGAAAAATTTTCAGTTACATATTCTTGTCAACTGAATGTACCTCGGGCACAAAAACGGACGCGTCTCCGGCAGCGCGAATTTTGGTGAAAAAGCGCTTCTCCATCTCGGCAATCAACGTCTGACGGTCCCTAAAGAAACGAACTCTCTGAAAAAAGGGCCTTCATACTTGTGGCATCCCTGGACGCGGAACGCCGATGGCAAATCACGACGCACGACAGCCTGGAAATCGTCCCATTCCTCTTCGGGGAACAACGCTTGGGCCTAGATTAGGAAAGTTTGCAATCTCCCGTAAAAGATACCTTGTAGAAAGCCCAATATTTCTCATTCGTCTTCTCGACGGGGGTGAAGCCGTCGCGCCGCTAAAAACATAGATATTAGTCAGGGCAGGAAAACAAGTTTCATAACTTCGTAAACTCGTAAAACATACATTCCCATTGCTCTTCGAGCGATTCGCGTGCTTCTTGTTGATGAACTTCTTCCCCATGTTTCACCCAAGGCAAACAGGATCTGCTGTAAAAACAAAGCATTGCCAGAGGACGGGCCGTTCTTTGAAAACAGACAAACATTTAGAGAAAAGCAATTATTAAAATCTAGTGAGTAAATTACGCCACAAAATCGGGGCACTAGCGCAGCAGTTCCGTCCGTTGTCAGTAAGCTTCCGTGCTTCCCAATGCTTGTTCGCGCAATCAAAACCCCCACTCCTTTGAAAGCAAAAAGCGCAACAGCCAAACGCCCTTCCCTCCAGTGCGAGAAATTCAGCAAAGTAGTTGTTGAAGCGAGCGCAATCCAGGTGTACTAGCCAGTGTGTAAGGGTGCCAAATTTTGGTTGAAATTTATTTACAGAACAAATTGAAAGCAAATTAACAACAATACATTAGAGGGTTAGTTGGTCTTCTTTCGGGTCGTGTCGCCGGCAGCAGGGTCCGCGGTGGTGTCCTTGTTGCTTGCCTCGCTTCCGGTCTTGGAGACGGTGCGTCGGCGGCGACGCTCACCGGCCTTCTGAATCAGAAATGTAGGTAAGAACACAAAGATCGCAAAGATAAATCGTAAAAAAACAAACCTCTGCCTTTTCTTGCTTGTTGGAGTTGCGGCGAGGCTTGCGGGTGCGCGCCGGCTTCCGATCCGCCTTGCCGTCGCGGTCGTTTTGCGAATTGGCGTTGCGTCCGCGCGGTTTCTGCTCGTCGTCACCAGCCTTGCGGTTGATGACGTTCTTCTTGCGCTCGAAGAACGCTAAAAGAGAATGGGTGAAGCGCTAGCAAAAAAATATACCTTGACGGAACCAGGGCAGCTGAAGAAGGTGGTAGCGCGAGCCGACCACTTCACCGCCGTCCGGTCCGGTGACGTTGACGGCCTCCAGTCCTTTGTCGCTCTCGGCAATGTCGAACTTGACCGCTTCACCGTTGCCAAGGGTGCGCAGGTAGTACTTTTCAGTCTTCGATTTGGCGATGGACGTCTGAAAAAAATCAAAATAGAAGAGTTAAATTAAAGTCGCGCCAAATTAAAGGTGCAAAACCCGGAACCACAAGGAGAAACAAACTCACTTGGTGCACAAAGACGTCTTCCTCGGTCTCGGTTCCGATGAAGCCGTAGTCGGTTCCGATGAAGCCGTAGTGGCCCAGGACGGAGTACCACTTGACGGTACCCTTCACGTTGCGCTTGACGATCTTCTTCTCCTTCTCGGCCAGGAACGCCTGCAGCTCCTCTTCGGTCATCATTTGGCGCTGTTGGCGGCGGCGACGCTCGCCGTTGTCCTTCAGCTCGGCCTTCTTCAGCTTGTCGCTCAGGTCGGCGACTTCGTCGGTCTTCGTTGCGGCCATCTTGCGTTGTCGTTGATCACCTTGATGGGTGGTTGAACGTGTTGCAGAAAGTGAGGAAAATCATTGGATTTTCGCGCAGGTCGACCGGGCGGTTACGGTAGCTGGTCCTGGCAGGAAATTCCGTAATGTGTACAGCCGCGGACATAAGCGATTATCACCAGGTAATCGATTGCTTCAAAATAATAAAATTAAACGAGGATTAATTAAAATTAGATAATAAAGTTCTATTTTAAAAGGTCGTGCAGTTATGAAAAATGCTCTTCAATTTTGTCTTTTCTTTTCTTTGATCTTTCGTTCTTGTCTGACGAAGGTTAGGCGCATAAAAATGAAAGTTTCTCATCCTAATCCTTCTTTTAATTTTTAAACCCTAAGTTTTTCTATATATTTATACATTTTTTGACAGTCTCAGATTTGACGGGTTTAAAGATCCAAGCTCGGAATTCGTCGTTCCCACACTTTCTAGCCCTTTTTTGGTTCGAGCGGCTGCCCAATCTCCAGGAGTCGCGGCTTTCCCGACTTTCGACTTTGGGCACAGATACCTTATCAGGTTTTTCGGGCGGTCTACCGGGGCCAAGGAGCTCTCCCCGCTGGGGCGGCCGAATTCTAATGGGCCGACTGCTCGGCCCCCAGTGGTGATTATCGAGTGGGCGGCTGGCGGGACTTTTTGTTATTTATTTTAGGCTTCTGCTACGGGTTTTCTTCTATTAAAAGCATGTATCGTGTTTCCTCTAAAATCAGCCCGACAAAAATTTTTACCGCAAATTTTTTTAAGGCTAGAAAAGTTTAGGGCTTACTAGCAAGTGTTTTAATAGGGTTTTTAGTAACAAATAATTATATTTAACTAGCAAAAATCTAAGTCGTTATGAAAAAGTCGAAATTTTGGTAACAAATCGCAATTTTTGACATTTTTTAATACAATTTGTATAGTTTTCACGTTTAGGGCTAGCAAAAACCATTTGGAAGCGACTTCCACTATTTAAATTTGACAAGTTAGATTCTAGGAAAATAAATTGGTCCGCCCCTCCCCCCGATAATTCGAAAGAACCTAGAGGAAATACGGTAGTGGCTTTCTGCTTTGCCTATTTCGTATTTGCAGGGTAACATGGGCGAGTTTTACACAGGGAACCAGGCGCTCACAATATGCTTCATCTTTGCCGTCCTCGACGTGGCTGTAAGGGAGTTTGTTGGCCCTAGTTAGCCACTTTGATTATTCTAAATTTTGCGGAAGCTTTACACTTTTCTAGGTAAACTGGTTTGGCCTTATGTGGAACGGGTCCCACTTCACAATCGACAACATCTACCACTGGTTTGACCTCAAGGACTACAAGTTTACCGTGAATCCCGTCGATTTTTTGGTGGGTATTCGGAGGGAATATAACTGAAATTTTTGTTTATCGTTTATTATTTGTATCTATTTTATAAGTTAAAATGTAGCCTATTTTTCTACGCTACTTTTTTTAGGCGGTCGCATTTCTGCGTGACTGCATCCTGCTCGGTGGGGCGATCGGCGTGTGGACGGCACCCGGCGGGGGCAGCCAGGCCGCGTCAAAGTGCAGCAATGTGGTGGGTGAATTATGGGTTTTCAAAAGGAACACAAACAAAAACATTTTACGATTTAAGTTATTGAATTTTCGAAACTTTTTGCTCAAAAATGGCTACACAAAACGCTGATTTCTAACTTTTTAGGTATTCGCGATGATGCTGCTCATCCTCGCCTTTTCGCCCTCAAAGCTGCTGGCGTTTTACGAGGACGACAATCTAAAGTAAGTAAAAAGAAGCTAAGACGCAAGAAATTCATCGTTTTAATTAGGCATAGTTTAAGAAAAGATAAATAAGGCAAAAAAAGGGCTGGCCAATGCCAATAAATTAACTGTTTTAGGCTGGCTGTCGGCGATTGGGTGCTGATGATTTGGTGCGTGCTGGCGTCGCTTTTTGTGCAGGTAAACCTTTGCTTTTTGAGCGCAAGTAACGTCATCAAGACATTTGAAAAAATCAAGAGAAAACACGCGTTTTTAGGTGATTTGGACGAGCGTTCTGTGCCGCGTGAAGGAGACGTTCCCCGGCGACAGCGAGGACAACGAGCCGCTGTTGGCGCAGGCCGAGTTTGAGGCCACTGTTCGAGAGGTTGGTAGCGTTGTTAAAAGCGGAAAGGAGCCCAGAGTAGTCAAAAATCTCCCAAATTTCAGGAAGAAACAGCAAAAGCCGCCGAGCAGCGCGAGACCTGGGCGATTCTGATGCGGTTGATGCAGTACACGATGCGCGAATGGCAGTGCTATCTAGCCGCGTTCACCTTCTTGTCGCTGTACTCGTTGTGTGAGTTTTCGAGGAGGTAGTAGAAGCTCAAAATCGTTTTTTTTGCCTAAGAAAAGAAGAGAAGCTTATTGTCATAATTTTCTGATTTCTGCAACCACAAAACTGTGCGTTCAGCGCGCGTGTTCATCCCCTACTACACGGGGGAAGTTGTTTCCGCCGTCTTCGGCGAGCAGGCCAGCTACGAGCGCCTTCACCGCACCGTCCTTATCATGGCCATCCTCTCGTTTTTGGGGTACTTTAACCAGTTTTTGCTTCTCAATGAATTTTTCAGAGCCGTTTTTGGCGGTTTCCGAGGTGGCGCCTTCACCTATGCGCAGGCTAGAATAGATAGACAGGTCGGGGGATTTAGAAGCTTTTCAAGGCCAGTTTTTCTAGATTAGAAACGACCTGTTCCGCTCGATCATCAACCAGGAAATCGGCTTTTTCGACGAGAACAAAACGGGTCGGTTTGAAGAGATTCTGTTGTTTTTATTAACGGTTCTGAACTATTAGCGGGGGGAAAACCACTTTCTGTTTTCCAACTACCTGTCGATCATACATTTTGTATTTTATAGTGTTTTAGTGGTCTTTTATTGCTAGAAAGTGATTAAAAAATATTTTTAAAAATTTTGAAAATTCGAAATTTTGACCTTTTTTGGTCATTTTCATCCATGTTTTATCAAAAATTTATAAATTATTTTTTTTTTTATTGTTTTATCTAAAAACTATGCAAAATGCTATAAAAATGGTATATATTTTGTTACAGGGCCCTAGAGAATCACGGGGGGAAATTTGGTTTCCTCCAACAATCCCCCCCCCCCCCGCTAACAGTCAAGAACCAAAATTTATAGGAGAAATCGTTTCCCGACTAACTGCCGATTGCCAGACGATGACCAACACGCTGTCGCTGTACATCAATGTGCTTTCACGGTATTATGTTCATTTCCAACCCCGGGAACGGCGTCTAGAAACTGCTTCATGCTGTTCGGTTCGATCATCTTCATGTTTACGCTGTCTTGGCGGCTATCGGTAGGTGAAAATCATTTGCCTAATTTGCCCCTTGTAGATGATCACACTGATTGCGATCCCGATCATCTTCTTGCTGTCGAAGGTCTTCGGCGTGTACTACGACGTGGGTTTTTCTGCTTTTAGAGCGAAACTTCATCTACCACCTTCAGAAACTCTCCGAGGACTCGATGAACGCCACCGCCAAGGCGAACGACGTCGCCGAGGAGGTGCTGTCGGCGATCAGGACCGTCAAGAGCTTCGCCTGCGAGAAGTTCGAGGCGTTACGGTATGTTCTATAGAGTCCAGAGGTAGCTGTTCGATTCCAGCTTCCTCGGCTTCCTCGACATCACCCTTCTAATTGGCACGAAAAAGGCCTTTGCCGTGATTGGCTTCATCTGGAGCTCAGAGGCAAGCTGTTGCTCCTCATTTCTCGTGCCCCCCCCCCGATAATGCAAAAGATTCATTTTTAGCTGCTCCAAATGGGCATCCTGACGGTCGTCCTGTGGTACGGTGGCCATTTGGTCATTCAGAAGAAGGTAATCCCTGCCCAAAAAATATTCTAGCTTTTCCTAGGTGGAATCCGGGCTTCTCGTCTCCTTCCTGCTCTACCAATTCCAGCTGGGCGAGAATTTGAGGGCGAGTTTCCCATGAAAAGACGAATAACAATTTTCCTAGGAGCTCGGCGAGGTGTGGAACGGGTTGATGCAGGCCGTTGGAGCGTCTCGGAAAGTGTTCGAGTTCATCGACCGCCAGCCCGTCATCACCAACAACTACAACGGTATGATGAAGGCAGTTTCTGGCGTTACCCGCCATTTTCAGGCGGTGTTGCCCCGGCAAACGTCAAGGGGCGCATCGAGTTCAAGAACGTCGCCTTCAGCTACCCGATTCGACCGGATCTGCCGATTATGCAGGTTGAACACGGGAATTTCATAATATCGAAATTCAGAATGTCGAAAATTGAAACGTCGAAATTTCAGAATGTCGAATTTTCGACAAATTTCTAACTTAAACATTTTTTGAACTTCCTAACAATGAAAAACCTCGCAAAACACTATAAAACACATCATTAGCCATAAGGCATTAGCCCCCCCCTGCTAACAGTCCAGTACCGCAGTGAATCGAAAAGCTTATCAAAAACCCTATTTAGGACCTGACATTCACGGCTGAACCTGGCGAGGTCGTCGCCCTAGTCGGCCCGTCCGGCGGCGGCAAATCGTCGTGCATCGCCATGCTCGAGCACTTTTACGAGCCGAACTCGGTACGCGATTCCGCATCGTAATATACGCTGGAGTTTAGGGCGAGGTGCTGCTCGACGGGATCCCGATCCGAGAGTACGATCACAAGTATTTGCACACAAAGGTGAGAAATCTCTGCCAAAGCGACGGTTCTTTCGCGTTATCGGGGGGGTTGTTGGAAAAGTGCAGAAATGCGAAAAATCGATTTTTTTTTTACATGTTTTTGCTCAAAATTCAAGAATTTTCGGCTAGGAATAGGAAAAAAACTATTGCGTCCTTAAAAAAATCCCCCCCCCCCGCTAACGCACCAGAACATGTACTTCTAGGTGGCCCTCGTCGGGCAGGAGCCGATCCTTTACGCGCGATCCGTCTATGAGAATATTGGCTACGGTAGGTGCTATAAACCGAAAACTTGAAATGTGACCATCTCCAGGCATGGACCACTTCACCGAGGAGGGCGTGCAGAACAGCGCCAAGCTCGCCAACGCCCACCAGTTCATCATGGACACGCATGACGGGTACAACACCGACGTCGGCGAGAAGGGCAGCCAGATGAGCGGTGGGTTGCTTTGTGAATAAAAGAAAAGTATAATAATACCAACATTAAAGTAAAATCTAGGTTAAAAGGATCAGCTAAAGTAGAAAACGCAAAAAAAAGTCGAAAAAGCAGCAGTCTCCGGTTCTTTAGCATTATCGGGGGGCGCAAAACTACTTTTTAGGAGCCATTTTTCAAATCAAATAGCGAAAGTGTTTATAAACTGTTGTCTAACATTCGTAAGCGTAAAAACTTTACAAATTTCGATTCAAAAAGACGAGAAATTTAGATTTTTCCACCAAAAATTGCTGTTTTTCGTCCAGAATCGCGGCGAAAAAACAGTCCTGGGTTTTTAACATGCTTTTTTCCACTCGAAATATAGTTCATTTGACTAAATGCCTTACTAAAATAAATAGTAAATTTAGTGGGGAAGGTAGAAAAAGTGAGACAAGAATGGTGTGTCAAAAAAGCACTTGGTCACTATTTAAAGTTACTTCTTTGATGAGAATTTTTAGGCGGCCAAAAGCAGCGTATCGCCATCGCGCGAGCCATCGTTCGCGACCCGGTCGTCTTGCTTTTAGACGAGGCCACGTCCGCGCTTGATTCGGAATCCGAGCACCTGGTGAGAGAAAAACGCGCACAAAATAGGAGCTCATCTACTTTTAGGTACAAGAAGCCATTTCGAAAAATCTCAAGGGGCGAACGGTCATCCTAATCGCCCATCGCCTGAGTACTGTGGAAAATGCGGACAAGGTGAATTGTTACGGGCTTAAAAATCAGCTACAAATCTAGATTGTGGTCATCAACCACGGGCGCGTCGAGCAGATGGGCACCCACCAGGAGCTGATCAAACAGGACGGCCTCTACAAGCAGCTCGTGCAGCGCCAGATGATGGGTGAGTAAGATAGGAGCCGATTCACGGAAACCAAAACTAGTAAATTGTTACGTTTTAGTAATTTTTAAATTAAAAAAAAAATTGAGATTTCATCCATTCTTACCCATTTTTGACCCAAAATCAAGGTTTTTCGAGGATTATTGAAATAATACTATCCTAGGCTTTCTATGCTTAAAAACGGCGTAGAGGCCACCCCCCCCCCCCGCTAATAGCCGAGACCCAAAAAACGTATTTAGCGAACGAAGAGTTGCCCGACGAGACGCCGCTCCCACCCCAGACAACCACCAAGAGCCGGCGCATCAGAAGGTAGGAGAAAATACGCAAAAGATCAAGATATAGCTAAAGCAAAAGAGCCCTAGAAAGCGGAAGATAAGAGAAGCTAGCGGGGGCAAAAAAACCCCAGCCCCCCCCCCGCTAACAAACTAGTGCCGGAATAAAAACCATAGTAACGCGAAGAGCAAAGAGAAAATCTAGAGCTTGAAAACAGGCGAGACGAGAAAACGGTGCTGAACTGTTAACGGGGGGGGGGGGGCGGGAGCAGGGGGAAAGCACATCTTTTTTCAGTGTTTTTAATAGCTTTTGATTGCTAAAAAGTCACCAAAAAATTTAATTTTGGTCTTTTTTATACATATGACGCAATATCCAAAAATTCCGAATTTTCAAAATTTTTATGCGCATTTTATATCTAAAAAATACTTAGAATGCTATAGAAACGGTTTGTATTTTGACATCTGGACATAAAGGATTACTGAGAAAAATCAGTGTCCGCCCCGCTAACAGTCAAGTACCGCGACGAGAGCACGTTTAGGGACTCGGCGTCGGGCGCGGGCGGCAGCTCCTTCCTCGGCACCTCATTCGCCGGATCCTACATTTAAATTATACGCTCAATTCCTCTTCGATAAGCTAGATTCGATCAATACGTCTTCGTCCTCGCACCGGTGTTCGTTTGTTTGTTTCTGATTGCCCCTCGTTGTCTGATGAGTTGTTGTGGGTCGTTTTGACAAAGGAAATATGTTTATTTAAAGACCCACTTGATGAGACTTTACGAAAAGACTAGGCGCTACAAAGAACAACACTTTACGGAAAGACTAGGCGTTACAAAGAACATCCAGAGACCAACGAGCCGGGGAGATCGGGGAGGGGGGAACGTTGATACAAAAATTTTTGATTTTAAAAATTTAATTTTAGATCTAAATTTTGAAATGGATACCCGAGAGTTGTCCCGGTCCCTAATTTGGCTTCAACGACGCGATGGTGGCTTCGGCTTCGGCTTGAACGTTGCGCCATTTGGCCAGCAGTGGGGCGATCATGTCGCGCGTCGCTTTTCGTTGAGCCTGGAATTCGGGGAATTAGGATGCCAGGCAAATGGAAAACCGTAAAAAGTTGTCTTTTTTGCTATTTCTTTGCTTTTATACTTAACCTTTCCGTTTTTACTATCCCCAGACGTAAAAACCATGCAAATTATGGTTAAAAAATACAAAAATAGCGGGTTTTCGACCAAAAATGGCCGGTGTTCGACCTAAATTTCAAGAAAAAATGTTTGCGCGTTTTCATATTGTTTTTTTCGCTTGAGATATCGTTAAAGTTTGCCAAAGAGGACAATCAGAATAGGTCTCACCACTAGGCATTGCCGGACTTCTAGGAAAACTTGGACCCCCGATATTAGGAAAGCACCTCGGCGAATGCAAATTCTTTCTAACAAAGACGTGATCGCAATTACCACAAAAGCTTGAATTTAATGTCCAAAATAGCATTTTTTTCGAAAATTAAACGGTGTGATAGATATAAAAACGTATTATACCTTTTCTGCGATCGGCGCCTCTTCACCAGCGAGCTCCTCTGCTGTTCTGAAAAAAACGATTTAGGAGGTCCGTGCCGATGAGGATTACCGATTTTTAGCGCTACAAAAGAAAACTTACGAATTGAGGACGGCCTGCAGCTGCTGGCAGATGTGGATGGCGTGTAGGCGGCGCGCTTCTGCTTCTCCAAGTGGGTCATCAGGCTTCTAAAAAAGCAAGAGATTATGGCAAAAAAATGCTTTTGGCACCTCCAGCGCTTTTGCGTATTCCTCGATGAAGGCTTCTTGCTGTTGGTCCATTCTGTTTCTGCCTGAAAAAAACCGAGGTTGTAGCGCGAGGAAAGGTGAGAAAGACAAGGAAAACAGAGCATAAACAAAATAATAATAGAAAAATTGGCTAAAAGAAAATCGGCTCATTAGACCGGTCGAAAATCAGAACTTCACGTATTACTGATTTGTTTCTGGGGGACCTAGCTTTCTTGACTCAGCCAAACTTCCGTAGTAACAAACCATTTTTATAGTGCTTTGCCTAGTTTTCGATTCCCAAAAGGCTAGAAAGAGAAACATTTTCAAAACTAAGTTTTTTTTTCGAAAATTTCGACCATTTTTCAGACATTTTTCGCAAGAAATCAGCAAAAAAAAATTGAAATTTTGAGTAGGTTTTATATACGGCTTACATCTAAAAAGCGCGGAAATGCTATTCAAACCCTTATTTTTTTCATGCTAGGTCTACGGAAACAAGAATACGTGAGCCCCCCGCTAAAGGACCAGCACCGGAGATCCATAAAAACTAAACCAAAAGAGAAACGAAACTAAGCTAACGAACAATCACCATCTGGTTTCTAATATCGATGATTTCCTGAACCCGAGATGAGTCATCATCATAAACGGCGTAAACACTTTTGAGATCCCGAAATGGTGGCCACATGTTTTGGGGGAAGGGTGGAGCTACTCTAGCGCGTCTCATGTCCATCCGGCGGGTCGCAGGCCCATTTGCGTGCAGCCGGCGGCGCAGGCCACCCTGCCATTCGCGGTCTTTCTGTTTTTGAGACCTAAACGGGGCCCGGCTGCCTCAATCACTGCGCTCGATCTCCCGATCGATTGGCCCTGATTCGCGAAATCATCATGTCGCTGAAGCTAGGCAAATGAAGGCAGCCTCTTCGCGTCCTAGTCATCACATCCCGGTCCCGCGTTTCTTTCACCTCCTAATCTGCTTGAATTTTTGTGCAAATTTCTAGCATTTGACAAGGAAAACTGTCAGAATCTAGAATATCAGCCGCTCGAATTCTCGGAACCTCGATCCAGGGCCTAGACGCCGAATTCCCCGGGGCATTTCATGTTGGTCCAGCCTATGAAAGGTTCTAAAAATTCGGCATTCTGAAAAGTCGAGCTTACCAAAATTCTAGATGCTGATAGCCAATTCTGAACAACTCCATAACGTTAATCTCAGCCTCCAAAAAAAAAGTAACGGTAAAAAACTAGTATTATGTCTTAACATAGCTTTCAACCTCGCTAAACCTCATAGGCAATCCTCAAAGCCTCGGCAAGTTCTCAATAATCTGAAGCCATGTCGTGATACGCCCCTATCTAATCTCTAAACCATCTACCACAAACTCTGCAAAAAATTTTACCAGCTCCTTTAAATGGACCATTCACGCTAAAAGGCTAGTTTATGCCTCAGCCCACGCTTTCAAACCCGCTAAACGACCCAGAAACTGCCTCTAGATGCCCGACGCGATCCGGAGCGACGGGGAATCTGTCGGGGATTCCGACGTGTCCGACGTGGACGATGAGGAAGAACACCACTTCGACCTCGCGGCTTTTGAGCGCTACTTCCGGCAACGCGAAATGATAGAGAACGAGCTGGCCCGCGTGCGAGAATTGCTCAGAACGCCGCCTCCCGAGCCCAGCAGCTCGGCGCCGGTGAGTTCCTAAAAAGGTTCTGGACTTTTAGCGGGGGAGCCAATTTTTTTCCCTATGATTCTCTACGACCCTATAACAAAATATAAAACATTTTTATAGCATGTTACAATTTTTAGATATGAAACAATATAAAAAAATAATAAAAATTTCGTAAAATATGAATTTTTGGTCAAAAATGTATGAGAAATGAGCAAACAGGCCAAAATTTTCAAATTTCAAAATTAGAAAAAATATTTTTAACCAGTTTCTAGCAACCAAAAACTACGAAAAAAAACTATAAAAATACATAATCTATCATCATCAACAACACTAGGCGGAAAAACAGGAAGCGGCGCCGCCCCCCCCCGCTAACAGTCCAGACCCTCTAAAAATGTGGGAACAAAAGTGACTAGCGCTACACCTTAAGCGGAATTCGCCGGCGAGAAGTGATGCGACAGAAGAGTCGGAAACGGACGAGGATGAGTCGATCCCGATCGACTACGACTCCGCATCATCCGACACGAGCGATAGCTATTACGAGCCGGTGATGGTAAGCCTTCTCCTGTGTGCAGAGAAATGTCAAAACCGTTAGGGGGCGCCCAGGACTAGCCGGATCATCGCAATCGGACGTCGTGCTCACGAACTTGCCGCAACGAACCTGAGCCCGGCCGAACAAGCCGAGATTCTCGCCGCCGAATTCCCGTGATTCCTGTTTAGCCTAACAAAACCACCAATTCACATTGTAAAAGTCTCGCTCAATTTCCATAAAACCCCAAGCTATTGAAAATTAACTCTATAAGAGCATAAATTTCTCCAATAAATATCAGAATTTCCCCATTGTCCAGATCGCAAAAATTCCGTACGGTCCTATAACAAAAAACAGAATTTCTATAAATTTCAAGCCGCTTTTAGATAAAAACCCCAAAAACCGATAAAAGTTTGCGAACATCAAAACCGTCGAATTTTCAAAAATAAAGCGCTACAATTAATTTAAAATGATATTTAAAATTCCTCCAATAAATATCCGAATTTCGCCATCAATCTATGTGAACCCGAACGTGCCGACTTTTAAAATTTTATTAAAACAACAGTGGCAAGCGAATAATAACACGTACAACAAGGGGGCAAGTTTTTGATGTTAGATCGAGGAGGGGAATGAAATTTGTATGATGCTGGCGGTGGGAGATCCCGAAATAAAACATTTTGTTTGTGCTTTGATTTAACGGGGGGGGTGTCGTGTGCTGTGGTATTGGTTTTCGGACGCAACGTACGCGGACGTTTTGTCGAAAAGCCAAGACGGGGGGAGTGCGTAAAGCAAAGGTGTACCGCGTAAAACGGTGCCATTGCACGAAATAACAACAAACGGCCAATTCTGTACAAAGCAAACAAAATGTACATCGTACAAACGGGGGTTAACAATCAGGGCGGTGCTGAATCGTTATCGGGGGGCAAAAATTTAGTGGGGGGGACGGCTTTATCCCAATTTTTTAAGTATAGGCAACCACTAGAAAAAATTTTTAACCGATGAAAAAAACTTTGAAAAAATGTGGGGGAAAATCGATGAAATCCCATCAAAAAATGTGAATTTTCTGAATTATAGCTATTTTTATAATCGAACTTTTAATAACACAATCGATTTTGGGATTGATTTTCCGGTTATTGACATAAAAAATTAGTTTTAGCCTCCCCCCGCTAAGATTTTGGACCCCCGCTAACGAGCCAGCACCATCATTAGAACAAGTGAAAGAAGAATTTTCGAAGCCATCACTCGCGATATCCTTAACAACAATAAGGGCATCGGGACGTGGCAGCGGGCTTAGTGGGCGCGGGGCAGGGCTGGGAACTGGAGATCGTCCATCCATCGGTGACGACAGAGCGGGCACGAGCTGATGCCCGTCTTGGCCGTGTTCAACCAGTCCTGGATACACTGAAAAAAATTGTAGCACAGGCCAAACCCGAAAATTCATTTTTGCTGACAGGTTTTTCAACGATCGCCACTTTCAACGTTCGAAATTTTGTGAGGTTTTTCTATTTTTTGTTTTTTTTTTTACTAAACTAATTCATTAATTTGTATTTTAATTCGCATTTCGGATTGTAAAGCTCAAAATCACGTACCTTCATGTGGAAAGTATTGCCGCATCTCTCGCAGCTGCGCTTGATCGTGTCGCCCAGGAAGTCGCGACAAATGGGGCAGCTCTGATCCAGTGTCACCCGATCAGTCCGCTAATCAAACTGTTGAAAAAGAAAGAGGAAATATCCTCACGGCTTTCAGAACCTCTTCGGAGTCGGCCAGGTGCTTGTTCCAGTCCTGGATGTGCTTCTGGAGGGCGTCGCGCGTCTTCTTCCTCTGATCACGATCGGCCGGGAGCGCGGGAACTCGCCGACGGTCTCCTCGCAACTAAAAAAATTTAACTGTAACCGTTTTTTGTTGACCGTGATAATTTTTGACATGACGTTTATAATTTTTTGGTAATCGAAAACTAACTTTTAACTTAAAACTTTGTAAAGAAACCCAAAACTGTCCAAAAATAGCAGGGGGAAAATCTTACGCCTTCATGGCAGCTTTGAGCGCTTCAAGGGTCCACTCGGCGGCGAGTTGGCGTGACATGACGTCTCTCAGCAAGTCATCGGGCTGCTGAAAAAAAGTGAGCACATTAATCGAAGATTATAGAAAAACTAGCCTCCATCAGCTCCACATATTTTGGCGTGTATTTGTCCCTCAATGCGTCGGCGAAAAAGTCGCTGTTAGGAGATAGCTGAAAATGAACAATATATTGAAAACCGTGTACAACGTACCGAACGAATACGCGCAGCATTGGGTGCCTTTCGCAAGCCATCTGGAGGGCGGATGCGGCCCAGCGGACGCTTCACGTCATCCTAAAACAGAATTGGAAAAACTGTCCACCCGATGCTCATGGAGGTCACACAAAAAGGGTTACTTTCACAATCGTGAAAATAATAATGGCGAAATTTCATAATGTCAGTCGTAATTCAGGATAAACTTTTATTTCGGCGTACTTTCGACATTATGACAACAAATCAAAAACCCACCATTGGCACCGGCGGCTGAATCTGCAGCTCGCCCATCGCCGCCGTCGCTGCGTCTAGCTCGTTGGTTCCTTTGCGGTTTCTCTGTAATTTGGCTAAAGCCCAACTCGCAAAATCGAACCTTGACCATTATCTTGCCGGCCGTCTTGGAGATGATGAACCATTCGGTTAGGTTCAGCCAAGCGCGTGCCTTGCCGCCATCCGACACCGAGAGCGCCTCCGCGCCGAACAGCTCGACAAAGGCGCCACGGATCTGAAATGACAAGCGTGTGACCGGCGACGAGGTCAATGGCATTTTAATTTTCATTTTTTCGAAATTAGAATATTTCGGAAATGAGAATGCCGACCCTCCCTCTTGGAAATCCCTTTTTTTATTGCGCCAAAATCATTTTTTAGTGAGTGAAAAAAGAGTACCTCTGCTATTGTAATTTCGACACTCCAATTTTCAATCAACAAAAGTAAAAAACAAGCCGCCCGAAACGACGAATGGAAGAACGCTCACACCTTTCTAAACGGCACCCCAGATGCAGTGCAGCGAATTCCCTCGTAGATCTTGAACAGTGCAGCGCCGGTATCTTGCAGGGTTCGCGGCTCATCGAAGCTGGCCAGAATCTCCCTGAAACGAGGATTGTTTGGTTGGGGCAAACAATGGCTGCTTACAAACAACAATTACCACCCCGACATAAAATTTTACCTCTTTTCACCGCTGATATTTTCCAGTAGCCATTTCAGGCCGACGTCGGTGTTCATGTCCGGCACGACGCCTCGCCATTCCACCGGCGCGTAGACGACTGGGTCAGGTTCGAGGGGAGGAGAGCGAGTGGCGCCGGGCAACGTGACAAACTCCTGAAAAGACCATAGGTAATATTAACAAGGGAATCGGGCACAATATTTCAAAAATGCCGGATTGTTAAAACCTATTTTCGTAACATTTCTAAATTTACACTTTCAATTCTTAGCTTAGCCTTTGTAACGGTGAACTGCGATATAATGAAATCTCAACATCTTGAAACTGGCGAATATTAATCCCGACATTTTGGCAGTTAAATGAGATTTACCTTATTCTTCTTCGGCTTGCCCTCCTTCTTCTTGTCCTGGCAGGCGGCACCGTACTTGTCTTCCAGCGGGGCTGTCCAAGTTTGTTTTGCTAAAAAAATCGGCTGTTCAGGAAAAGCCTCGAGAGACTCACCAAAAGCCTGGCTCTCAACCGGGACCGGCTTCTCGGGGCTGGCCGTGAGATCCGGCTCTTCCTCGACGGCACCATCCTGAAAACAATTAATTGCGGGCAAAAGCGCACTCCCTACCTCCAGGTCCTGATCTTCACCCTTCTGACGCTCGCTCTGCCGGCGAGCACGCAAAATGGCCTCCTTCTTCTTGAGCTTTTTCTCCTCCTTGGTCGGCTGCTTCTCAGGCCTTGCATTGACTTTGACAAACTAAAAAAATAGGATATGATCCTCGGACCTTGCTCACCAGAGTCTCTTGGTTGTCGAGGCCGAAAGTCATGATCTCGTAGACATCACCCAGGCAAGCGTCCGTCAGACATTTGGTGCCCTTGTATTCGCGCTTCTTGTGGAAACCCTGCTTTTCCATGCCTTCTTGAAAGCATTGCTTGTGGAGGATGAGGTCGCAATCTTCGCTGCAATCCATCTAAAACAGGTGCTGAAAACGGGAATATGGAGACCAGAAAGGACCAAACGATTTTTTAGACCAAAAAGGCACAAATCTTCCAACATTTTTACAATTTTGATGAGCTTTTTATATCTCAAAAATTGTGTAAACGGTATAAAATGGTCAATGGAAAAGTCAATCGATGAAAGAATGTTAATAAAATACCCGATAATACAGATCCTTGGTCGGCTGAATGAACGATTGGCATTTGTGGCAGCGAATCGGCTCGGGCAAACTGATCGGCTTCTGCGGCTCGGCGGGACGGTCGACGAGCTCGGGCTCCGGCGTGCGGGCGCGGGTACTGAAAATGAGATAGATGAATGGGAAAAAATTGTCTGTTTTCTTACAAGCGTGGCAATGTGAAGCTTTTCCTTACGAAACATTTCCAGGAAAAGCTAATTAATCTTTTTTTGGAGCTCAGTAAAAGCTCAACCTAAAAAAGGATCTAAGCAACGACCTAATCGGCAACAAAGGCGCTAAGCGCTGCACGCATCTCGGATTCTCGGAATATTTTGGATACAGCGAAGGTCCGCTCCTTTCCTGCCCGAAAAATACGCCCAAGAAATTGCCAATAGACCAACTCGGAGGAGCCGATTCCATTTCAGGAATCCCAGGCGGTTCGGAGAGAAAAGGGGCAAGAAATGTAAGAAAAAAAAACGATGTGCTGGGCGTCGGTTCTCGCCCCGATGTTTTGATAGGGAATCATCCTCCAAGAACGCAAAAAAAGGCCATTAGAAAGAATGTCTGTAAATTTCTTTGTTTAGAAAAGGAATTTCCCACGAGAAGGTGAATAAGCGCGAATGGTGCAGACAACACAAATTAGCGTCATTAGAAGCTAAAAATAAAAACAGCTTAAAAACAAGACCTAATTGCCAATAATGGCACCAAGCGCTGCACGCATTTCGGCTTCTTCGACCCCTGAAATTAGCAAAAATTAACCCAAAAATCCCACACTTTCCTCGCCAAAAAACACTCCCAACAGGTTGCCAATAGCCCAAGAAAGCGGAGTCGCTCTATTTTTCCTCGGCTTCTCTTTCTCTCTTCTAATTCTAATCCTTCTCATTCGCCAGCCTCCGGAATTCAGGTGTTTCAGAAAGAAAAGCGCAGAATTGTAACAAAAACAATATGTTGGCTGCCTGCCGTCGGTGCTGCGGTTCTTTGATAAGAAATCATCGCCGGAGAATGCAAAAAGCTATTAGAAAAAACGCCCCCGGGGCGGCTGGCCGTCAATCACAAGGCGAGGGCCGGCAGTTGCGAGTGGGAGTTTTTTTCTGGGTGGCTAGCTTTAACGGGACCGCCGCTGAACGTTGTTTCGTGGGGCTTCTATTTCTGAATACTAATTCAGTCTTTTAAAAGTTTTTGAGAGCATTTAGAAAGAAACTAATTTTTTGAAAGTTCTGTAGATCTAACGGAAATCGGCGAAATAACGTAATTACCCCTAGATTCCGAACAAGAGGTGCACCTCGTTTCCTTTTTCGCAGTTGGTCTCTGCCGCCATCTCGCGTATTTCCATAGCTATTTTATAGCGCTCCCAATAACGCTCAGCCAGCTCGGCCTGTCGCACCCAGAATTCGAGGTCGGTTGGGAGGCTTTCCATTTCGAAATCCAGGAACCACCATTGGGCCAGACCAAAGTGGTAGAGGCCCAACACAAAACAGCACTCATTCGGATAGGGCAATTGGCCGGCCAGAGAATATAGAAATGGCGCCGACATGATATCGAGTAACATGCTCGACAGCCGACGACAATTATGACCAGTCTACCCCCAAGCGTTTTTCACAGATCAGGGCCGCGAAATTGCACGGCAACCGCCTTACGGCTCCATGACAATCGGAGCCGCGCCGTGCAATCGTCGCCCCTAATAAACAACACGAATGGCTCAAGCGACCACCCAAAAAGAATGCTTGGGCGTTTCATTTATCGGGAGCAGTAGTCAATTTCCCATGATCTCTCAGGGAATCTCTAAGAAAATAGTTACTATTTTTATAGAACTCTACATAGTCTTAAATTGCTAAAACCCTCTATTTATTTGGTCAAAATTATCAAATTAAATCAAATTTCCTTTTAATTATGTTCCAACACAATAGTAATGATTCGATAATTGAAACGATCACTAGGCAAGTGAATAATAGAAGTTGACTACGGCTCCCGAATACACCACTTACAGGTTGGCCTTCTTCTCCTGGTCTTGCTTCTTCTTCTTCGAATCAGGAGTTGCGTTGTTGTTTTCCTTGTCACTCACGAGCGGCGTGGCGGCAACTGGCGTCTACAAGCAGAGTTCAGAGGTCCGCAAAATTGACAAACCAGGGGAGGAGTCAGTAGTTGCTGGGCGGGAATCTGTTGTGCCTTTTTGGACTTGTTGAAGAAGCCACCCTTCAGAGGCGGGTTTTTCGCCACCGAGCTTTCCGTCCGCGGGGCCGTCTCCGGAGCCTTGGTGTTCACCAGCACCTCATTTGCCTATAGCAAATATTCAGAAATATGCCATTTTAAGATTACCGATCCGTTGATCAAATCACCGTAGGGCACCGCACTTTGTTGGAGGAATTCGATCGACGAAGGGCCCGAATAGGGGGAGTAGTGGTCGCAGTGGCAACCGTCCACTCCGCAGCCCATGTTGGTCTAAACGCCATAGAAGTAAGGAACAAAAAAAACCGGTTCAAGAAATGATTAGAGAGTGCAAAAAAGTCACGTTAGTGCGTCTCTGCCAAAAGTGCTCGAGCCGAAAGGGGGAATAGAATAAGCAAAAAGTGAGAGAGTGGGGTAACGGCGAGACAGAAAACAGGGCGCCAGCTGTGCTAGGGTTCCGCTTGGGTCGCCACTGTTTCATACGTCGATGCGAAAATCGTGTGGATACCAGCGAGTTTGGGGAGGGGGCATTGTTTTGAAGCATAGGCTAACGTTAGGGGTACCCGGCTTGCTTACTTCCGGCTCGGGAGCTAAGGCTGGTACCATGAGAGACTATGGAGACAAGGGTAGCAGATGGCTATCTGGGCGAGCAAATGTTATCATCATCAGTATTTACGCACTAAGATGGCGTTAAAGGGATGCCGACGGCATAGTCAATCGGTTACGCGCTGGAAAGAAAATGTCTCTGCGCCTCTCCCCTTGGCGCGCTCTCTGCCCTGTTGGCTACTTGCCAATTTGTTGATGAGGGGGGATCGACACATGCCGTCGGCAGCCCTTTAAGCAGTTACAAATGCTACGCGAAGTCGTTACATGTTATAAAACATGCCCTACGGCTATAATTTTGCTGTGGGCTTCTAGGGGAACCGTTGATCCCACGAGTTCAATCCTGCTCGGCACCGATTAACTTTTTGCCCACCCCTTCACGAGCCCTTGACTAGAATAGCCCATGCTCAAGAAATTTGGGCATCGCTGTATCGAGCAATGAAAATTGTACAGTAAAGCTCTCTTGAAAGTGTAATACTGCGAATTGCAACCAAATTCCGATCGTGCGCACGCTGTTAGAATAGTTTATTAACCCAGGAGATCCAATTAAACAACGGGAAATAAACGAAACAATCAAATAATTTAAAGGCAACGAGTGGTTATTACATCGTGATCTTCGGGTGTCTGCTGCCGTGCATGTACTCGTCCATCTCCTAAAAAAAAGAATTATAGATTGAAGGCCGGGCACTAACGCGGTCCAAGTCTTCAATCGACTTCTTCGGCTGGGCTTTTGGGGGCGGTCGGCCGCGACCCGCGGCAGCTCCACGTCCACGACCGCGGAAAACGGCGTTGTTGGGCCGGCTGGGCAATCTGAATGAAAAAAATGAGCAAGCAATCACGGGTAATACCTGTTTTGGATATGATGGGGCTTCGTGATGCGGCCACGCTGCACCGAGCCGAATCGGTCGCCACGGTTGCTGATGGTCGGGGCGCGCCGGACAAAGGTGATTCGATCCTCTGAAAAAGTTCAGTACATGAGTGAAGGACCCAGGCTGTCCTCTTCTGAATCGAATGCTTTTGAATTAAAACATCGCTTAAAACTGACCCAGGATAAAACAAAAAAAACAACGAACCAATCGGTGGCGCTTCGAGCGTAATCCGGTCGACAATAGAAGCACGTTGTGGCCGGGCCCTCGTCGTGATCACCGGCTTTCTCTTGGGAAGGAACTGCTTGCGGGGAACAACTTCTTCAACGTATTCGACAATCTCCTCAACTTCTGGCTCCATCCTAAAAAAACCACACAAATAACATATTCTGAAACAAACGTACGCCATATCATCAAGGTCGTTGTAGGATACTTGTTTCCGGGCCCTTTGCTGCTGCCTTTTCCGAATCGAGCTGGTGTCGATGTTAATCTGAGAAAAAGATTACGTACAACAAACAGTCGATTCCTTACTCTATTCAAGGAAGACAGCGAGGGGCGCACGACGACCTCCTCATCGGGCACACTGTAGTTGGAGAAGCTGAACAACACATTTACCTTGACGAAATGCTAACAACGTACCGGTCGTTCAACGAGACAGAAGACGTGCCGACGACCACGATCTTTGAGGGAATTGTGTCGTGGTTGAACATTCCTGAAAAAAGAAATGTTTTCGGGGCGAAATGAAAACGAGCTTGGAAGTCGAAAACAATACGTAGAATGATGAGAAAACAGTTAGTTCGTTGATACAGATATATTGAGCATACGGCTGTACTTTTGTTAGAAACACCAATTTTATAGCGTTTCCCGTGCTGGTTCCAAAGGCTATATAGTTCAGTCAATGTAGAGTTTCAATTTCCGGCGAAAAAAGTTATGGTCTATCTCAAAAAAAACTATTTAAATGCTAAAAACTTTTCGAAAATGCTGAACTAAAGCTCCAGAAAGGGCTCCAAAAAATTTTCATAAACCAGGATCTCTCAAGTTAGCGTTTTCTCCAAAAAAAAAATGCATGGTTAACCCGAAAAAAAACGTTTTTTAGCAAAAGCGGACCCAGGTTTTTGAAACTACGCTAATATCGGCCTACAATATATTTTTCAAAAATCACAATCACCGCCAAGTCTTGAAAAATGATAAAATTTGGCGTGTGGGATACCAATCGACTCAGCTTTACATGTGAACACTCGGTTAGCAAAGCGCCCGCGGGCGCGCCCAAAAACCCAAAGCGCCCGCGGGCGCGCCCGAACTGGGCCATTTTGCACCTAGGGCGCAATTTGTGCAAAAGGGCGCAACACCGCCCCGGGCGCAAAAAGCGCCCATGGGCGCAATTGGGGGCGCGCCCGCGGGCGCATTTGAATGGTGAACACCTTTCAATTCTGCGAAAAAAACGCCTAAGTTCCTGGATTATGCACTTATTTATGTTTAAAATATATAAATTAGCACAAACGTTACTAGATTTGCTTGGTTATGGTCGTCGATTGTAGATAACGATACTTTGAATCGCCATGGTACAGGTAACGAAGGTAAAGTTCTCCTACGCAGCAAATGCTTTCGAAACTTTAAAAATCTTCGAAATTTTAAACTCAGATTTATAGATTCTCGATTTATATGAGCCAACCTTTTAGACGATCATGGCCATCATTGCAAATGCGAAGCGCAACGTTTTCGGTATCTTTGAGCGGATTTTCTACGTAAGTCGGCAAGAAGGAAGTTAAAGTAAGTTTTCAGGAAGCGGAAACAAAGTAAGTGCAGCTTACGAAGTTTATAAAGGAAATTAGTTAATTAGCTACACTTTTAGGAATCGCACATTCGAACGTATATGTAAGTTCTAAATGAAGCTAAAGCCAAGAAATCAAAAAAAAGCTATTTCAGGTGCGCCGTACGAACATGTTCTCAGGGAAGATGAAGATCTACATTAAGTATAGGGCACAGCATCTTCCAAAGCGATGCAGTGCCCTTTTTTTAATAATAAAAGCATTAAAGAATTCGTTATACGCCGTTACAACGCGATTGGGGCGCGCGCCCGCGGGCGCTTTCCGGATTTCGGGCGCGCCCTCGGGCGCTTTACGAACCGAGCACGTTTGCCGCGAGCTTCATCAATTTTGAACGCGTGCACGCTGCCGTGGCGTCAACGCGCGTAGCGTGCCGGAGCTCCTTTTCGAAAAAGCCCCAAAGCTCTTGAAAGACCACCAAAACTTTGTTCTTCTTTTCGCCAAAATTGCTGCTAGAAATTGTACTATTCTCGTGAATTTTAACTTTATTGATCAAACAAAGTTTAATTTAAAGTTATCGCCCGCAATCATGGAATTCATTAGATTTATACGGATGGAAACATTGGATAGCGAGACGTTATCTAGCGCTTTCTTTTCCACCTTTCCATCCTTATGCATCGAATGAAGCGTAACAATTCTACAACTTGCCTTGATCGCGATATTTGGCTTTCTAGGACTTCAAAAACTACGCTTTATCTGCCCTTTTCTTCACCGCAACAAATTCCACTGTCTTGCTTCTTGTTGGCTTTTTAATTTTCCCCTCTATTCCATCAATTTCGCTCTGACTAATCCCCAATTTTCAGTACGCGAAAATGGCCGACGAGGACATGGAAACCGGCGAGCAGCAGATCACCGCCACCCGGCAAAAGGGCCGTGGCCTCACCGAGAAGCGGACCCGCGAACGCATCGTCTACGACTCGGTTGAAGGAGCGGATACGGCAATCGTTGGACCGGCCCGTTCCGTCGAGGGCTGGATCGTGTTCGTCACCGGGCTACAAGAGGAAACCTCCGAAGATGACGTGAACGAGGCGTTCGGCGAGCACGGCGACATCCGCAACATTCACCTGAACCTCGATCGCCGCACCGGATTCAACAAGGGATACGCTCTCGTCGAATACGACACCCAAAAGGAGGCCCAGGCAGCCATCGACAACCTGAACGGACGCGAGGTGCTAGGACAAGTCATCCAAGTCGACTGGTGCTTCGTCACGCCGCCCAAGACTAAGAAATAAACGATCTCTCCACCAATTCCTTAGCCCGTTGTTCTGTTATTATTTCCGGGCCCCACCGTCATTTTTCTCCCGACTCTTGTTTTCATTAATTTATTGCCAATTGAACGTTTCTATTCCACATTGACTCTTTCTACCAATTTCGAATGTTCTTTGAGTGTATCGATAAATTTCCAGATGAGTCATTCTCAAAACTCAAATACACGACATCGCATGGTTTTGGCATCGGATGACGAGGATGATGATGGCGCGGCGCCGGCTTCTCAAGGTGGCGCCAACTTTGATGTGCCCCTGGAAATCGCGAATATCCTGCAAAGCGCCAAGGCGTTTTCCGACGGCCATCTACACCTATTTCAATACCTCGTCAAGAAGCGCGGCTGTGTGACGGTTCATTGTTGGCTTGAAATTGATTGCGGTTGTTTAGAAGAAGCACTTCTACACTCGCTACATCTTCATCCAACACGCCCTCAACAACAGAAATCCGCATTGTGCTCAGCGTGTAGCCGCCGATGCTGCACAACTCAACGAATTAGCCGATGCATTGCGTAAAAAGATGAATTTTGAGGTATCGAGTCGTTCCCTTCCCTGTCTAACCCGGTTTTGTTGCTTAGATCTCGTGGATGAAGCTGGAGGTGCGGAATTTTTTCGCCGAGGTCGACGGCTGCGAATTCTACTGCTTAGTCAACTCGCATCCCTACGACAAGGACCTTATGAACTCCAACGGATTCTCGTGCGTGCCGATTGGGTTTTTCGAACGTTTTTTTAGGGAGGATGAAGTGTTCTTACTCCTGAAGTGGCTAGAGTACATTTTTACTCAAAACTCGGCCGATGGCGCTATTAGCCTACGGATGTTGTGCGACATCGGCGGGTTGGTTTTTGATTTCCGCAGAAAGTATATAGCCGTTTTAGCGATTTCCCCAATCCGGTGCGACCCGTCCGCGTGGAGGCATTTCTCGACCATCTGCTGGCGCACAATTGGATCAAGAAGGTGAAAATACTGCTCATATCTATAATAACTTATTTTTAGGGCGCTGGCGAGACCTACGACTTTTTACCCCGAGCCATCGCAGAACTGGAGCCGCTGCTGCGGAATCGGTAAACAGATTTTTTTCGGCGCAAATTCTGTTCAGATTCAACACTACGCTTTGCCAGCTGTGCATGCGGATTTCGGTGAAGCGCACGCTGGCCGTCGTGTGCAAATGTGGGCGTCTGATGCATGCGCATTGCTATCAAAAGTGAGCGTTTTTTATAAAATAAAACTGTTCATTTTGGGTATGTCAATGGGGCCGCCGACGGCCGCGCCGTCGCCTGCCCGGGCAACGCCGAGAGGGACAAATGCGGGGAGACTTACGATAAGGTATTTTTCGCGTTGTCGACACACAAATTCCAAATTCAGAACACTCAACTCAAGACGGCCGTCGAGCACGACGAGGAGATGGCAGAATGGATCGACAACGATGGCGGCGATTCAGGGGCTGGCCGAGAGGACGAGGTATCCGGCGTTACATTTAGATTAAGAGGCTTGGCCTTACAACGGCTTACAATGTGGCATAACTCATTCGATTTCGTGCAATCTTTCAAAAGTTGCTGAAAGAAAGCGATCGTCGAGGAAGTTTCGCATTTTTTTGCAGCAGGGGCCAAAATGTGCAAAATCTTTTCGCATAAACCAAATGTTCTCTAAGACTGATCGTTTATGAATTTTTTTTAAATATAGGACGTATTGGAAATTTGAAGCTCTATCGAGTGAGGGATGCCACATCGCAAACACGGCTAAAAAGGAGCTAAATTCTAAATCCTTTTTTGAGGATGAATCCACCGCATCGGCGAACGAATCGCGAGAGGTGGAGCCGGACGAGATGGATGAATCTGATTGAAGCGCCCCACACTGACACTGCCCCCTCCGCCCCCCAATTATTGCTGGTCACTTGACTCGGGTATTACTGTTTTTACATTTGTTTCTTAAGTTTACAAGTTATCCTAATGCGCTCGATCGAATCGCATTTTTATGCTGAACTCTGGAGACTAGTCTTTGCTAGCCATAAATTGTACACAAATCACTAGGACAATGAGTATCACAATATGAAGTCAAAGAAACAGGATTTTTGGTGAAATTGCAGGGGAATCTGGGGAAGACATACTTGTGTTTTTGGATATGTACAGCTCATCAAAATTCGGGGGGAAATCGTTAGAATATTAGTACTTTCGAGCCGTAATTTCCAAGGTTCCACTTGACGTCATGTTGCTTCTGACGGTGGAGCAGTCGACGTCATGGGGGAATTTGCAGCTTCTGAAGGTTTTGATTGTACACGACGAAGTCGTGGGGAATCTCACTTGACGCTGGCTGCCGGTGCGTCGGGCCGGTTCGTTGGGTTACAATGCACCTCCAGGACACCGTTGCGGCCCACGACCTGGAATTTTGTGATTACTGGAATTTAATACGCATCGCATTAGACAGCTTGCAACCATAAGAACTTCTCCCCACCTTGACCTCCTTGGAATTGTAGCCGTTGACGTCGAAGGTCACTTGGAATGAGTTATCGTCGTCGCAGACCTGAATTTGAACGTATCGAATAAGACCTGAAAAGCCTCGAAGTTGCAGAAAATCAGTAGCGTAATTTACGCATAGCAAGAGCGCAAACTTACTCGTAGCACGCCGACATCGGTGGAGCGCGGCGGCTCGAATTTCTTGCCCTTGTAGCGGACCTCGATCGGCTCGATTTTGATGCTCATCTTCAAGAAGGTACTTGATGATGGTTAGAGTGGAAGAGTTAGCGGTTTTTTCACGAAGAATGGAGCGTGAAAGCGACAAGTATTAGAGAGTGGACAAGTAAATAATCAATCGTAGCATTTTTAGATCGATCGAAATTCCGAAATTTTAGGGTAAAATTGAACTGCTTTGACCAATTCCCTCGGTTGAAAACTTTAGAACCTAAATTTTAGACTGTTAAAAGTTCCTAAAAAAACCTGAAAAATGCGCCTGAAACAACCTAAAACGGTTATTCACGTTTTTAAGTTGAAAATGAAAAATGTTGGTGAAGCGGGAAAGCTCTAAACGAAGTCTTGCTGATTTTGCCGAGGGAGGGTGGAGACTAAAGGAACTACGAAAAGCGTAAGATATTTACAGTAAGACAAAGTGTAAAAAAGGCCTAAACACCAACAAAATGGCTTATTCCAATTTTTTTTTAGAATTTAGACTGCCTAAAACCTGAAAACGCAGCGAAAAACTATGATCCACATAGTTTTTGAAAGTTCTAACCGCCATTTTGCAGATTTTTCCGAGCAAGGGTGCATAAAATAGGAGATACGAGAATCGTAAGAGATTTACAGTAAGACGAAGTAGAACTAGGGTCTAAAAACAACGGCTACCCCGATTGTTGAGCATCATTAAGGGGCGGTGACAGCGACGAGGTTTGTTGATAGCCGGTCATGCCCTTTCCTCGGCCGGGTCGAGCTCCCCGGCGGGGAGAAGGAGGAGCAGCGGTCCCGGGTTTGTTATAACCCAAAAAGCCCTTCCTTGCCTTTACCCCCAAAAATGCTTTTCTCGCAGCAGCTGTCACCAGGGCCCCCGAGAGGAGCACTGCTCGTTGTCTGAGGTCATGAGTATTGCTTGGGGCTCTTTCAGCCACCCACACAATCACCATCAACACCCGCCGCCCCGTCACGTCGTTCTTTGGTTTTTTCGGCAACAAGTTGTCGTGCAGAGGCACAAAGGTAGACGCTAGGGTTTTGGTTTCAAAAGATTTCAGGTATGGATTGGAGACTGGAAAGAGCGTGGAGCTGATCAGGAAGTTCTAAAAATAGCCAAGCGCCTGACCAAAAAGCTGATTTTGGAAAGATTCCTAAAAACTAAAAAAGCCCGTTTCCCTACGCTTTACGCGATTCCGGGATCAAGACCTAGTTTTTTAGTTACGCTAATACCTACCAAACTAATTATACTAAACTAAGGCCCTAAAAATTCCATAGCAGCGTCAAGATCCAGACCTAGAACGACTCAATGGCTAAACGAGTGCCAGCGCAAAGTGTGGCCGACTAGCTGCTCGTACCCGGCTCGACATCTGTTCCCGATGTTGGGACTGACCACGTGCAAAAAAGAACGGCTGATGGGCGACGATCAACAGATGGAGATCCTGGACAACATGGCATTATTGCGAAAATCGCTTTCTGCGAGGTCTGGGAGGAGCTCGAAAAGTGATCATCACCAGGCTGATCGGTGATGAGCCCGGCTCTCAAATGCTTCAATTCAATACAACAGTCTTATTCACCCCCTCTAGTGCATTTTCCGGGCAGCTAATATGTCTGTTTTATACCAAAACGCAAAAAAAATTCAAAACTCAAAAAAAACCGGGGGCCAACAAGCAGAGATCAACAATGGGGGGTGAAAACTCAACAACGTAAATAAACGTAAACAATCGTAAAAAATGAACCGTCAAAGCATCAAAATCTTCCGCCAATGTCGAAATCGGTCGTCTCCGCGTCGTCGTCCATCTCTTCTGGGAAACGATCTTTTACCTAAAAGAAGCGTTGAAAAGTTGGCGCGAAAATTTTTACCTCTAAATCCTCGCCGTACTGAATGGTCGAATCGATGATCAACAGCAGATCGCCGATGCACTCGTCGTCGGTGGTGTCGAGGCAGTGGAACTTGACGAGCGAGTACTCTTCTAGCACCTGAAATGACGCATTGAAACACAGAATACAGACAAACATGGATAATTTAGACGTGAAACGAAGGTTTCTCAAACATGAACAAGCAGTAACTCGAAAATTGATATACTCGAAATTTCCCGAGCTTAAAATTACATTAATGGAATTTCGTGACGCTGAGTTTTTGAGATTTTGATTTTAGAAAAGATCTCAAATTGCCTTTTTCAAAGAGTTCCATCTTTTCAACAATAACAAAGAACACACCGTGGCGATGCTCTCTGTCAGCTTCCGGTGCTTCTCGTGCCACAAATGCCCGTCCTGGTCGACAAGATGCCGCATATCCGTTTCGATGAACTCTTCAACGAGCGCCTAAAAAAGCAGTTTATCAAAGCTGAAATCCGGAAATTTACCTTATTACTTTCCGACAACAAGTCCATCTTTGTTAGCACGTTGATGTGCGGGGTCTCGATAGCGACCATTGTCGACAGGGCCGCCAGCGCACCTCCCATGAACCTAAAACATATTTATCACGGAAAAATTCATAAAATTCTCACTTTGCGGGCTCGAGCACGAATTGGGTGTCGATGAGAAACACGGAGCACACGTGAAAGTCCCAACTCCGCAGCGCGTCTACGATCTGAAGCAAATTAGGATAAAAACGGACGACGAGAGTTACCTGTCGCATCACTGGCAAATGGGAGTAGAGCTCGATCTGGCCGGGGAGGTCGAACAGGAAATAGTCGTCCTCGCCCTCGTTGAGCTGCTCGTGCAGCCAGTCGAGGTTTTGGACGAGGTACCTGCAAACGGATTCGATCAGAAAAATCCTGAAAAACTCACTCCATACAAAACACGAGCGCGCCGTTCGGGCCCAACGTTAGATCTTCGTCTTCTTGCACATCGGAGACGCTGATGAGATCCCGGACGTCTGGAAAATCGAACAAATACAGGATCCATATACAGAAGATCCAAAAACGCCCAAAAGCTCACCAACAGTGGCCGGGTAGTTGAACTGCTCGCAGGCCGGGTCCAGGTTGACGCACATCACGTGCCGCTTCGCGTTCACGCAATGGTTGTAGATGGTCGAGCAGTAGGTCGACTAAACAAAAAAAATAAGGTCGATCAGAATACAAATCACCTTGCCGCTGCCCGCCGGGCCCATGACCAGCTGCGCGTACTTCATGGCCGCCTGCAAATGAGAGTTGTAGGAAGCGAACGAAGAGAAAGCCATCGGAAAAGGAAAGATTTCATAAATAAAAAAAATAAAATTTACATGAAAAATCAGATTTGATAGGAAAAGGAGGGCTGAAGGAAGTCCGAAAAATTTGCGTGCGCGCCCCTGAATAAAATAAAACCCACAGGCACCACGTGCATTTCTACTGTCCGGCCTGGAGCGTAAATAAAGATGCTCTACGAACTGTTGTCTACCATTCTTCCCATCGTCATCGTACTCGCCATCGCCAACTGTGGAGGGAAAAAGGTGGCGTTTCCGACAAAAAAAAATACAAATTTAGCTGATTTGTAAGATTTCCAAAAAATACAAAAATTGCAGAAGAATGTGGTGAAGCCGGGCGCGGCCGGTGCCGGAAAGTCGAAGATGGGCGCGCCACCAAAGTCGAAGGCCGTTCCCGTGTCTGCAGCTCCCGCCGCACCTGCCCCTGCAGCTGCTGCTGCTGCTTCTCCCGAGGGCGAGAAGAAGGAGGAGCCGAAAAAGGAAGAGGAAAAGAAAGAAGAGGAGAAGAAGGAGGAACCCAAAAAAGAGGAGGAGAAGAAGGAAGAAGAAAAGAAGGACGACAAAAAGGTACAGTCAAATTTAAGCTCTTAAACATTGAGTGATTTCAGGAAGAGGAGAAGAAGGATGGCGACAAGAAGGAAGAAGAGAAAAAGGATGAGGAGAAGAAGGACGATAAAAAGGAGGATGACAAGAAGGAGGACGATAAGAAAGATGAGGAGAAGAAGGACGGCGACAAGAAGGAGGATGAGAAGAAGGAGGGTGACAAGAAGGGCGACCCACCGAAGAAGCAGAGGTAATTTTGAGACCCAAACCTATGACAAAAAAAATATTTTAGTGAAGAGTCGAAAAAGCTGGAGAAGATGGGCAACAACATGAGTAAGAGGCATAGTATGCTATGCTCATAATTCCGTGGAAAATGATGTTTAGAGAAGAACAAGAGCGGAAAGGATTCGAAGGACCAGAAGCAGAAGAGCGGCAAGGAGAAGAAGGAGGAAGAGAAAAAGGAGGACGAGAAGAAGGTCGTTTCGGCAAAACAAGAAATTTTCTATTTTTTTTAGGATGGCGATAAGAAAGAAGAGGAGAAGGATGGAGATAAGACTGACGGCAAGAAGGAGGACGAGAAAAAAGAGGAGAAGGCCCCGAGCAAGAAAGAGGAGAAAAAGGCCGGCGCCAGCAAGAAGGACGAGAAGAAAGCGGGCGCTAGCAAGAAGGACGAGAAGAAGGCCGGTGGCAGCAAGAAGGATGAGAAGAAGGCCGGCGGCAGCAAGAAGGACGAGAAGAAGGCCGGCGGCAGCAAGAAGGCGGCCGCCAGCAAGAAGGGCAGCAAGAAGGACAAGAAGGAGGAGGAGAAGAAGGACGGTGAGAAGAAGGAAGACGAAAAGAAGGAAGAAAAGAAGGTACACCTTAAATTTTGATGTAAAATAAGTTATAACTTTTAGGAGGAGGAGAAGAAGGACGACAAGAAGGAAGAGAAGAAAGAGGAGGAGAAGAAGGAGGACGAGAAGAAGGAGGACGAGAAGAAGGAGGAAAAGAAGGAGGAAAAGAAGGTAAATTGAAATTGAAGAATCGCGACAGTAAATCTAAATATTTTTCTAGGAGGAAGAAAAGAAGGATGAGAAGAAGGAGGAAGAGAAGAAGGACGAGAAGAAGGAGGAAGAGAAAAAGGAGGACAAGAAAGAGGACGAGAAGAAGGAGGAGGAGAAGAAATGATCACAGAAGGCCGTTCGGCTACTCGACCGCGCCCGTACTCACCGAATCCCCAGAAATGAATGATGTGCTTGTGCTTTCATATTGTATTTGTGAAGCGTCTTCGAGTTCAATAAAGTCGTTTTTCATCAAAATTTTTTAGAAAAGTGAAAAAAGGTTTAGAAAAGTGGATTTCAACTGTGTACAAGTGCATCCGGAACAACGAAAAGCGTCATTTGGTGTAAAACGTAGCTTGCGGAAGGGTTTTCATGTCTGTCAAAATTCCCGTGTAAATTTTGTAAAAAATGCTATTTCAAAACTTTCTTATTTTCGAACGACTTTTTGGGGTTGAAGGAGGGCGCGATACTTTGGGCGGCCGGGGTGCGCGCCAGTTTCCCGCCTTTGAACCCCCAGATCAAAAAAATGGGACGAGACGGGTGCAAAGTTTCTGATAAAATGGTTGTTTTCGGCAAGTTTATGTATTGTTTTCTGAGAGTTACGAGCGTTTTGAGCGGTAGAGTTGCGAAATAGCTAACTTGCTAATAAATTCAAATCCGAGCTCTCTGGGCTAAAACTTTTTCTCGCTTTTCCATTTTCCGTTTTCCGGTCGTTTAAACATACGAATCAATTATTGTTCTAGGTGATGGGCGAATATCACCCCGATCTCTTGCCCCGGCTACTGCCCACCTACTACAAGGAGCTCTTCCCGTTCAAGCCCTACACACGATGGCTTTCCTATGGGACCCGTAAGGTCGACGCCAAATTTCCAAATCATTCCATTTAGGGCCCACCGAAAAGCTGGGCATGCGCGAGTTTGCCTTCATCTTCGAGGGCGACGCCCATTTACGGTATCGCTGAATTTATTTCACAACACCGTCTCGTTTAGTTATCGAAGCTTCGCGTGCGCGGCCGACTTTGAGCGCGATCTGTGCAAGCTAAACCCGCACAAGCTCGACCTGGGCGCAATGTACAATTTCCCGGTACGTTGGAAGCAATTTTGGCGTGAAAATTCGACATTTCCAGCCCCGCGACCACAAGATGCACGCCGAGTTCCGGCCCGTCGAGCGCGAGTTCGTGCTCGACATCGATTTGACGGACTATGAGCGCGTGCGCACGTGTTGCACGTGGGTTTTCTCGCCTAGACTTTACGAGCACATTTGCTTTTAGAGAAGCCACCGTCTGCGACAAGTGCTGGAAGTTCATCGCGCTGGCCGTGAAAATTCTGGACAAGCTGCTCGCCGGTTTGTGTTGCGTTTTTTTTTTGTAAAATCAGGGTTTTTAGATGATTTCGGCTTCATGGCTCGGTTGTGGGTGTTCTCCGGGCGGCGTGGTGTCCATTGCTGGGTGGCCGATCCGGAGGTAACCTTTTGAAAAGCATGGTTGGTTTCTGGTATTGGACTGTTAACGGCTGGAAGTAATTTGGCCTTGTAGTTTAGAGTTGATTCACAGTTGCTTAGATATAAAAACTAACAAAAATTTATAGAAATTTTCGAAAAATGTGGAGTTTTTATGAAAATCCTTTTTTATGCTTTCTAGCCATAAAAACTGCTAAGGGCAGTATAAAAAGGCACTATTTATTATTAGCGGGTGGAAAAATTGTTTTCCCTTGATAAAAATCCCCCCGCTAACAGTCCATCCCGATTTTTACCTATAGACAACTTTCCAGGCCCGGGCGATGAACAACAATCAACGCCAAGGCGTCGCCGAATACCTGTCGATGTTTGAGGTTGCCAATTTGTCTAGATTTTTTAATTTCTAAATTTAGGGCACAAAAATGAACGTGAATTTCGGCTCGCGCAAGGTGGTGCCGAGCCCGCTGCACCCGATGGTCGAGTCGGCCTACCGGACGGCGCTGGATAGCGGCATCTTCGAGCAAATGGTTTGAGATTGATTTTCGTATAAAAGCACTTTTTTTAGGTACACGAACAGGGGTGGCTGAAAGACGCCCGGCTCAACTTTATCGTGCACCAGTTTGAGGACGAGAAGATGCGGGAGCAGATCAAGACGAGCCTGCTGAAAGCGTGGGTTTTCGGGCACGTCCGGCAAAACATGCATTTTTTAGGAATGAAAAAGCCCGCTGGGAGTACCTGCTCACCAAGTTCGACGAGGAGGCCCGGCGAAAGTACAACGAGGCCAACCCGGAATCGACGGTTGAGGTATCGTTTGCCTTTTTTTTTGAAATGACGATATTTTCCAATCGTTAGTGCGTGTAATACTTAAACATAGAAACAACCCAGTAAATTCGTATTATAACCCCTTTTAGGCCCCGAAAGCCGCGAAAAACTTCCTGCGCTGGTTCGTCCTCTACCACATCTACCCGCGCCTCGACGTGAACGTGTCGACAGGTATTTTTGTATCTGATGGCTTCAAAATGTTTCTCAGGGATGAACCACTTGCTGAAGTCGCCGTTCTGCATCCACCCCAAGACCGGCAACGTGGCCGTCCCGCTGAACCCGGACGTTATCACCGAGTTTGACGTCGGCAAGGCCCCGCGGATTGAGTGAGTGATTTTTTGATGGCTTTTCAAAAGTATCTTTTTGCAGCCAAATTTGCACCCAACTCCGTGAAGCCGTCAAGTCGAACGAGACGCCGGAAGACCGGAAAGTTCTAGGTGCGTTTTCTGGCACCTCTTCCTCATTTTGGGTTCAGGATACAAGCACACCTCGCTGCGGCCGTACGTCGAGAACTTTGAGCGCTTCATCGAGCGCGCGATGGCCAGCGAGAAGCGCGCCCGCCAGGAGCAGAAGCTGAAGGAGGAGGAGCTAAAGGCCGCGGCTACGGCTACCGACGTGAAGGCGCCGTTGCGGACGCAGAATTGAATACAGTATTAATATTTCCATTTATGCCATTTTACGTTGTAAAGTCTTGTCTCCCATTCTCCGCTTGCTACATTCCATTCTTGACTTTATTGGTTTCTTTCCTCCCCCAGCTCACACCGGTACTCATTGCTACGACAATAAATGATCCAATGCATTTTGATAAAAAAAACATGAATTTATCTTTTTATTCGTTATCTACAACTCTCCATAAAATATATACTGCTAAGGCGGCATTTTGACCCAGACTTATGACGAGGATTTGGGGGACAATACTGATCACACAAACGTTAGGAATAGAAAGTTCGGGGAAATAGACGGCGTGGGCTAGCGGGCTGGGTGGTAAAGCTGCAAAAAAAACAACAACGACGGTGGGACTTAGAAATGCAAATAGGAAAGTAGATGCTGACTGAGACAGTTGGCCTAATTTTGTGGGGTTGTTGGGGGCTAAAAATACGACAAGTCACTTCATCAATGGGTAAACAAGAAAAAGTGATAAAATGGGAGCGACCGGTAGTGTGGGGGTGGGAAGTTGAGCCCGAAAATCAGGAATCCTTAGAAATTAATCGTAAAAAGACAATAGATCGGGGACGAGCAAAAAAGTCACGATTAAAAGATTTAAAAAAAGGGTTTAACAAAGTATAAGGCTCGATTGTAGATCACAGGCAGATCGGGGCGGGGAGTGGTTGGTGACTGCTGATAAATAAGGCGTTGCTGATATGCGGTGAATGTCGGAGGTGGAGGTGGAGAAGCAGCAGGGTGAAGCCCTCCCTCTATTCGTGGTGCATGCCCGTCTCGAAGACGACCTTCGGCTTGGGGTGGCGGGGGCCGAGGTCGTTGAGCGTCGGCTCGGGCGTGGGGACGTCTTGGGCAGGATCCAAGATGCACGTATCCTAAAAAAAACGGGCGTTCAGCCAGTAAAAGGCGGGTTTTTCGTTAGATTTTTTATTAGGTAGAATTCCGGGTTTGTAAAATGTTTTTGCCGATTCCGGATCACAAAAACGTTACAAATTTTGCATAAATTTGTGGCTTTAGGTCGAAAAACCTTTTTTTAACGAATTTTTATGTTCTTCAATCTTGATTTCTACCTTTTCGAAAGCTTTTCTCCTTACAAAACCCATACCGAGAACGATGGCTGTATCGTCAGCGAGTGGACGTTGTTCCGATGGAAGAGCCGGCGGATCTTGGCGGCCGCCTGGTCGAACGCCAGCACCGTGCAGAACTCGATTTCGGCGGTGGCGATGTGCCGATTGCCCACCAGCGTCCACACTTCGAGCGAGTGGCACCTGACGACGCCGCTCAGCTGAAAAATGGAGATTGGTTTTCTTTTTTATTAACTTTACCTTTTTTTATTAACTTTTATCTATGGAATAGTTGGTTGTATACTAGTATTTCACATCAAAAATGCTTAGTAAACGCGTAGATTTAATTTAAAACCAGATTTCGTTGTAAAAAAAAGTTAATTTTAGAAGCGCACCTCTGCAATATCCTTCTTCAGCTCCTCCATGTCGAGGGTGACGGGCGGGCGTCGCATGATGATGCCGGCCGTCTGGGCGACGAGGTTGTACGCCGAGAAGCTGATCAACCCGACGAGGGTCAGACTGGAAAAGAGGATACGTATGTAGGCCACAAAAAATGAACATCTTCAAAAACGGGAATCCAAAAAAAAACTACCTTAGCAGCGGGTCGAGGTACTTGTTGAAGGTGGGCAGCTGCTCGTCGAGGAAGAAGGAGCAGCACGCCGTCGCGATCACGAACACCGACCCGACGGCGTCGGCGATGATGTGCAGCAGCACGCCGCGCATGTTCAGGTTTTCGGCAACTGAAAAATACTGAGTTTGGGGGAAGCCGGGACTTGCTCCTCACCCTTGACCTCCTTGCGCTCCTTTTTGCTGACGCCGGGCGGGGAGCTTTCCTCCTCCTCCTCGTCCGACTCCTCCGGCATGCCGACGAGACGAAGGGCCAAGTGCTAAAAGTTAGAAATTATTATTTAAAGGTATAAACAAGGCTGATTTAGGCAAACCAAAAAAAATTAAAGCCAAACGATAAGGACTAGTTTTATCGCTAATTTTTTCGCTTTTCCGCACTAACATTCAGCTCACATTCCGGCCTGTATAATGCAAGTTGCCTCAAAAATCTCTGTAAGTGAAATTTCCTGAACGGGGGTTTAAAAACTCGATTTAGCCACGTTTCTTCGTAAAATCATAAAACACCACGAGAGAAACCCACCTTTCCTAAAGAATCTTTGCTAGGTTCCCTTGCACTATCGGGGAGGGGGCTTTTTTGAGGAATCAATTTTGATAAGGATAGAGGAAATGTTTCTAAAATGTAATTCACTAGTCCTAAACGTAAAAACTTTCCGGGTTTTGATAACAAGAAAGAGAAAAAAAATATTGATTTTTCGAGAAAAATGGCCGATTTTTGACTAAAAATTGGTTTAAAAAATTCCAGTTTTTTAAAATTGTTTTTCTCGTTTTCTCGTTAGAATATACTTAAATTTTACTAAAAATACTATAAAACACTTACAATTACGTTATTAAACACTTTTGGGCTGTAGGAAAATGTCCCTCCCCCCGATAATGCGAAAGAACCTTCTTATTAAAGCCATGATGAATCCGCAAAGAACCTTTGCTAGCCTACCTCCTCAAAAGGAGAGTTCTAAAATGCAACCCAAATACCGTACATTGTGCGAGACGCCGGTGCTGAGCTGCGAGATCTGGGAGATGGCGCGCTCGCTGCGGACGCGTGGCGGGGGCAGATCGGCGTCTTCGAGCGACTGGCCCTGCCTAAAATAGGATTAAATTGATTTTTAGAGAATTAATGCGGAATCTTTAATAGCAACATAGGGCAGCTTTTGGGGGGTTAATGAGGCGTATCGGCTGAACGAAAAGTGGCCGATCTACCAGGTCTTGTTGTTCGGCAACCGCGCCCGGTGGATCTCGTGCAAATGGGGATCGCTTCTGAGTTTTGGGAAATTACGAAATTCACGATTTCAAAGTTTAAATTCTATATCCTAGAAACTCACGATTTTCGGGGCGAATCGCTCTTGTCGCTTTTGTGGGAGTGGCCGTTGCTGGAGGGGGCGCCATCGTGAGAATGACCATGGCCGCCACCACCGCCGCCATGTGAATGCCCGTGGCCGCCGCCGCCGTGCGAGTGGCCGTGACCGCCTGAAAATGTGGATTTAAATTTTAAAACGCGAAAACTAGAAACTATAAATTCGGAAATTCTGCAAATTTTCAGACTGAAGCTATAATTTCGTGCAATTTTTATACTAGTTAAGTAAAAGTAAGTAAAACCTTTCAAAATTAATATCTCATTCAATCTAAAGGAATATGTAGTTTTTTTTCAGGAACGACCAAAAAAACGATAACAACTACGAAATTCGATTATTCAGCTACGAAATCCAATGCTCTCACCGATGCCGTGGAACATGGTGATGCCAATGATGTTGATGATCAGCCCGATCGTGCCCACGATCAACACCTAGAAAATTGTAGGGCTTTGTCGTAAAAAGGAAATGATACCTGGATCGGATTTTGCATGGCCTGCGGGTGTAGTAGCCGCCCGAACGCCTCGAGCGATATCGTGCCGCACATCGACAGCAGGAACACGCCGTTCACCAGCGCGCCCAACACCTCGGCCCGCACCCATCCGAAGCCATTTTTGCGGCTTTTCCTTCGTGAGAGCTGAAAAATTGGGGATCAGTCAGGCCGGAGAAAAGTCCAATTTTTAAAAATCTACTGAAAAAATATATAAAAATAACGTTTTCATCGAAATTTAACCAAATTTCGACTTTTTGAAAAATTTTAGCTGGTTTTCTTAGTTTAAGTAAAGCTATACGCACCAAAAACATGAAAATGCTTCCTATTAAGTGACTAGGCATCCTTAGATTAATACAATAAAAATCCCCCCCCCAGATAATGCGAAAGAACCGCTATTATTACGTACGTACGTATCAACGTAATTATGTCTTTTTTGGCACAATAACGTAGTTCAAGTTTTCAAAGTTTTTACTTTCAAGCAAACGAGGGCCACAACCAGGGCCATCACGTCGGAGAGCATGTGGTAGGAGTCGGCGAGGAGGGCGATACTTCGATTCATGATCCCCACCACCAGCTCGACGATGAAGAACAGGAACGTGATCGTGATCATCGCCGTCACTTTCCACGAGTTTTTCCTGAAAAAAGAAAGCAATACGTTTGGGATATGGAAAACTGTACCTATGCTGATCGTCTACCGCGCATGGCGGCTCGCTGTGGGTGTCGAGCATCTCCTCGGGCTCTTGGCTCTGAAAAGATCACTATAAAACAAAACTACAGCTTTCCTGGATTTTTTGAGCTTCTAGAATTTGGCTCTTTCCCATTATCGGGGGGGGGGGGGTACAATTCCTCATAGAAATAAGAGAAGTGTTGCTAAAGTATTTTTTTACTCTTTGAACGTCAAAACCTTGGAAATTTTGATTAAAAACACAAAACTATCGCTTTTTCGACCAATAATGATCGTTTCTTGACGAAAATTTCGGCCAACATTTTCAAGAAAGTTTTTTTAATGTTTTCGCCAGTTTGAACTATGGTTAAAATTGCCAAAAACATCAGTAAATTACTTACTATAACATTACTAGCGGGTTTCTGGGCTAATAGGCATAAAATTCTGCCCCGCCCCCCGATAATGCAAAAGAAGAATTCGGAAAAGGAGAAAATGATCCCGGTTTCAAGCCGCAAATTTTTTATTGTTTTTAGAAAATTTTTCAGTGATATTAGAAGAGAGAGAAAGCCCTGCCACGCGCCCTTCTATAGCCAAAAACACACAAGCTCAAACGCTAAAGTGATGATCACATGCTGCCCGTGCGTACCAAAAGCGAAAGGGCGGCCCCGTGTGTGCCCCCGCTTTTTGAGGTAGGGGATGAAAATCGCGCTCCCGTATTCCCCGGCGAGTTATGAAGAGATGGATTTGCATAAGGCGATCGATCAGGTCACCGAACCCGCGGGCGCCGCTGACGAAAATAGGTGGGTGCAACAAAGGGCGGGGGCGTACCAGGATTTTAAAGGGTAGAAAAAGGGTCGAACGGTTAGCGGGGATTCTCGAGAATTGAGCATCTCCAACCTGCTGCTCCTGGCGCGTGTGCTTGGCGCAGTTGACGACCACCGGCACGGCAGACATTGACGGCAGCGGCGAGTCGTCGGCGATATCTTCGTTGCCCTCCGGCGTCGCGACGAGGAGTGGACTTTCCTGGAAAGCGCAACTTTTAGAATGCCCATCAAAAAGAAATGTATGCAATTTTTCTATTCAAAGAATTTGCGAGAATTTTCGCTTTTTCGCCGGGTTTTTGCCGCCATAAAAACACTCATAATTAAGAAAATAGCTTTAAAAATACTCCTAAAAACCTCATCTACCTTTGAACGTGTCCGCCGCCCATTCTCCAGGCGAACCCGCGTCGCCTCCGGCTCCTTGCCGTTGCCGAGGAGGACGACCCGCTCTTCCTCGTCGGTCATCCCCTGGAAATCGGTTAGTATTGACCATCGTATTAGAATTGATAAAAAATCAGAAAGCATAAAAAAAGCTCAAAACCCGCTGCGTACAATCGGACATGGGGGATTAGACTGCCGCGAAAGTTCAACAGCCCCCCGGCTTATCAATCTTGAGGGCAACGGCCCTAAAACTAATGAAAAAATGGTGGATCCAGGTATAATTTAAAGCGTTGAAAAATTGAGGGTAATGATGAAAGGGGAAAGTTAGGCGGAGATTAAGCCTCGCAGGTCGAGATGAGATTTTGTAGGGTTTAGATACCAAATTTCGGGCTCAATTCTCGTCGATAAGTCTGAAAATGTGCGGTCTGCGGGCGCTGGGTGTAAAACGAGGCGAAGGACTGATAAAAAGAGGAAGGCGGAAGCTTTGTGAGGGTGTCTGGCCTAAAATGCGTCGAGATTTTGCAAAAAGAAATCAAGGAAGAAGAAGCTTGCCAATTTTGAGAGAGCAAAAAACCGTTTTGAGAACCTAAAAACTATACTTTGAAGTTTTCCTGCTTTTCCGATCGAAATGTGGGGTGACTCGTCTAAAATTCGCCGAATCTAAAGCTTTTCCAAGAGCCTAACCCGCCCAAAACTCGGTTCTAAAGCTCAAAAATGGTATTTTCAAGTCCTCAAAGTTTTCCTGTCGCTCCAAAAAGCTCCTACCCCTTTATTGACCCAAAAGACTCAACGGCGCTATCAAAACTTCGAAATTCACGTCGAAAAAGGGTTTTGGGTCGTCGGCCGGCAATACAAACATGTGTGATTCACGATCCGCCGCGCTGGCCATCCACATCAAAGCCTTTCGATTGATAAAAGAACACTAGACGAGCTGGAAAATCAGAGGAAAACTTTTCGAAGTTTCAGAATGTGGAATTCGATAGCTTTTGGGTGGTTTTTGGGCCCCGGGGGCTGCAAATAAAGCCCGGAGCTGCTCGGCTTTCCCCGATTTGACAGCTGAAAGCTCAGGAATTTGCACAGCAAGAAATGCTGGAAAAAGATTTATATAACGTAGAAGACGAATTCAGGTTTGAGTGCTTGAAAAGTTGGTCGTAAAAGCTTTTAAAAGCTATTTTCCACTTGATAAGGCAAAAGATAGCGACTTACCACTCGTTTTCAAGCTTTATAAACAATAAAAACTATTATTAAGCGAATTCGCAGCAATAAAATTCCTGGAAAGCCCTATATAATTTAAGGAAAGACATTGATGATTTCTTAATAGAAAATTGGGCTTTAAAACTCTTTTTACAATGGATAATTAAAACGTTTAGATTTAGAACAAGTTCTTCATGATTTATAAGATTAAAATCAACTTTAGAAGTAGCCTTAAAACGTAATAAAAAGATTTGTACGTAATTTCCACGCTAAATAACCATAACTTTGGTACGTGAAGGTAAAAGAACAGCTTTAATGCAAGTCTTTGATGATTTCCAAGATCAAAATAAGCTTAGGAAGTGGCTTTGGACGGTCCAGAAGATGGAAAAACTTATTATTAAAATTTCTACAAGATTTCCACACCAAATAACCCGTATCTTTGGCGTTTGGACAGGGGCAGAATCGATAACAGGGCCATTCCCAGCCATTTGCGGCGAGGCACAGAGAAAAAGGGCCTAGAGAGCGCGGGAATTGAGAGGGAGCAGGCAAATGGTACCCCCATATCACTTCCGACGTTTATGACCTCAAAACAATCGAGGGGTTCTCGGCTTGGGAGGGGCTTTTCCTCGACTTCCGGCCCAACATCTGAAAGCTCTCGACGAGCTTGGTCGAATGGTACCCATATTACAGAGTTTTAAAGAGTTTGAAAGCTTCATATCATGGCCAGAAGCCAAACATTTTTTGAGGCTTATAGCTTTTCACTGGAATGAGAGATCAGAATTCTGAGACCTGTTCTGAGCTTCTGAAGACCAGCTGAATCGACCCTGTGAATTTCAGCCGATTCGAGTTTAACCTAAAGTTTTCGAAAATTTTGCGTGCCGTCCCGGACCACGACGTCGGCCCCCTGAAAAGTGAAGATCGCGGACATCGGATTTTCCTCGACTCCCGGCCCATCATCTGAAAGCCCTGGACGAGCTCTATCGATTGGTACCCATATATATTACAGGCAGGCCCGTAGCGGAACCGAAATTTCGGGGGCCCAAAAATTTTGGCGACCTCCCCCCCCCCCGGTCGGCACTTTTAAAACATCCGAAAAGTCAATAATAGCGCCGCAGGCAAAAAAAAGAGCGTTCGCTACTCAAATTCGTGTGAAAACACGGCAGAAAACGCGCCGCAGGCGAAAATTTTTTATGAACAATTGATTCACCAATGAAAAATCAGCGCCGCAGGCAAAAAATTTTGAAAAAATAGGCTTCACCTAAGTAAAAACTGTTTGAAAAACAGTAATAAACAGCGCCGCAGGCAGAAAAATTTTTGTAACTAAAAATCATAAGGGTCCCCCCTTATGAATTTTTCGGACCTCGACCGATTTCGGGGGGGCCCAGGCCCCTGGGCCCCCTCCTACGGGCCTGATTACAGGGGTTTAAAAGGTTTAAAGCAGCCAGACCACTTTTTTTGAAAATTACAGACTTCGGCTTACAAGGGAAGGGCACGTGGACGAAGTGGAATTTCGCAAAAATTTTGTGAAAGTATTTTAGAATTGGTTACTCTGCCATAAAGTACGCATTAATTAAAAATTTAGAGCTATCGCGGCAAAAATAGAAATGAAACCTTGTTCGAAAACCACTGGTCAAAAAGCAAAACGAAAAAATCGTGAGAGGATCCGTACCCTCGTCAGTATCCTATCAAGCGAGTTGCTTACCAATCGACCATTCGACCGGTGATTCAATTCTGATGAGCGAGCGTAATAAGGCTTCCCCGGATTCTAATTTTTCGCATGCAAATCGTCATTTTCCGGAAGTGCTGTATCTCTGTCCACAGGCCTCCGCAGGAAAATCGGACAACGGCATCGTGTTCTCCATAGTCGATTACCCGGGGGTAGCCGCGAGGGTTTTGCGAAATTCCACTTCGTCCACGTGCCCTTCCCTTGTTAGACTTTGGCTTGGGCTTGGGGTTAGGCTTAGGCTTATGCTCAGGCTTAGGTTAGGCTTATGCATTGCTTAGGCTTAAGCTTAGCTTAGGTTGGGCTTATGTTTAGGTTCAGCTTAGGCTTAGGCTTAGGCGCCTAGCCACTTCCCTTGTTAGTATTAGTATCATCCGGCCGGGCAGCTCTATGATACCCCAGAGAGCACACAATATTCGTGTCCCCGACCCAGCAGTATACATCCATATTGGCGAATCCGATTATGGGTTGGGCTTAGGGCCCCGTTAGGGCCCTCGTTTTGCTAGTGGGCCCAGTGGGCCTAGCTGGGCCTCAAACTACTTCAATGGCGTCGCTCGCACTCGATGAATGGGCCGGGGTTTGGGGCCGAAAATACGCTTGAAAACTAATGACGCTTGGATTTGCATTCCTACATGATTTCTGCTAGCCTGCCCTTTCCTGAAGAATCTCTGCTAGCCTGCCACGCGCTTGCTCAGCAGTCAAGGTCGGCAAGCGATCCCTTAGTTCCTGAATTTTCTCTCCTAGCACCCACCCCCGTTTCCCAAATGATCTCTGCTACCCTATCATGATCAAAGGATCTCCGCTAGCCTGCCCCCTCCGACAGAAATGCCTTGAGGGGGCAGATGTCTGTCATGGGCAGTCGATGCTGATTGAATTGTCCCCTACGGCCTTCGGATGTCCCCTGTGGCCACATGCACACTTCGCTTTCTCTCTCTCTCTCTCTCTCTCTCTCTCTCTCTCTCTCTCTGTCTCTTTCTCTTCCCGAAAAGGGCTAGGGTATTGGGTGTGTGGCCATCGATTGACCTTCCTCCCTCGCACCCACCCTTCCAGGATACCCTATTTGCATATCTACCCTCCAAACGACACCCAGACTATACAAACACCATTTTTAAGATGTTTTACGTGGCGTAATCATTTCTAGGGGCTCTACATCCGGGTTTTTAAGGCTTAGCTTGTTTCGTAAAATTTTTCGTACCATTTCCTGGTTCCTTAAATATTAAAATTGTACTAAAAAAGATTCTTGATGCCAAATTGACATATTTCATATTTTTAAATTAGATTTTGCGGCCTTTTCAAAATTTTCGGAAGCCGGAAGAGCTTTGAAAACTTTTTTTATCTGTTTTTAACGAGACTTTCAGCCTGAAAAAGACAACATTTTTTCGACAAAAATGGCCTTCAGTAGCGCGTAAAAAATTTATGCAAAATAAACATATTTCATAATTCTATTGCGATTTTGTGTAGTTTTAAGGGTTTCTGAAGCTTGGAACAGCGTTGGAAACTTTTTATCTGTTTTTAACGAGACTTTGACCCTTAAAAAAAAAATATTTTTTTTGGCAAAATCTATGCGCTTTTCAATTTTTCATCGTATTCAAGAGTGTTTCTCGGTTTTATTTGTCTACATCTACTCCTATTTTCCTGTCGACCTCGCCCTCCATTGCTAACCCCCGATTTCCCTACATTTTTTTTGGGGGGTTTCCAGGTGACCCCCAGGAAACACGAGGAGCAGCGTGGGGTGTGCAATTTGCATGAGGTGACGGCCCGAACGTGCGGATCTTCGCCTCGACCAATCGACCCAACAAATCCACGACTACCATGCGGGAATTACTATTTCGACTCGTGTTTCAAATATTGCTGCTAGGCGCGGCTTCTCGGATCGTTCGGCAACCAGGTAAGATTTGAGATCTAGCCATGAAATTTGCATATTTTGTATTTTGGCGAGCGAGAGCGAGGGAGAGAGATAGAGAGGAGAGAGAGAGAGAGAGAGAAAACTTCTCGACCTTCTGAGATTTCGGTGCCGTCTAGAGCCCGTCAGCTAGCTTGATCGTGGTGCTCTCTCTCTCTCTCTCTCTCTCTCTCTCTCTCTCTCTCTCTCTCTCTCTCTCTCCTCGCTATCGCTCTCTCCCTAATCTTCCTCCTCACTATCTCCTGAGCAACTGTCAAGACCTAGTCGAGGGAAGGGGTCGATTAACTGTTTTCTGGCCTCTGTAGCAAAAAGGGATAAGCTTGGAGCTAAGCCAAGCCTAAGCCTACTCCTAAGCCTACGCCTAAGCAGCCTAAGCCTAACAAGGAGACATTTTTGAGTGTCGTCGGGATTTTGGCACGGGACCAAGCCTATCTTGTGCAGAATTTTACGCTGATTCCGAATATGGTAATCGTTTTTGCGGAATAGCCATTTCTCGAAAGTTATAAACGATTTAAACCTCAAAACAGCCCAAAATCGGCTACTTCCGATATTCATAAAAGGCTTCGGAATAGGTTTTAGACAAAACCAGATAGTGTATCTTGTTCAGAAAAAAATTATCTATAAAATGTACCATCTTTTCCAAAATCATTGAAAAGTTGGAAAAATTTGATAAATTGGGAGGTCCATAATTTTACAAAAACTTTCAAAATTCTAGCATTTTGGAGTTAAGTAGCTTATGTTATAGAGAATTTTTTTCTGAACGAGATGCACTATCAAGTTTTGTCTAAAACCTATTCCGAAGCCTTTTATGACTATCGAAAGTAGCCGATTTTGGGCTGTTTTGAGGTTTAAATCGTTCATAACTTTCGAGAAATGGCTATTCCGCAAAAACGGTTAACATATTCGGAATCAGCGTAAAATTCTGCACAAGATAGGCTTGGTCCCGTGCCAAAGTTCCGACGACACTCAAAAACGTCTCCTTGTAAGCCAAACCCGTCTTCAGAATATTCCTTCACCCGTGGCCCCCTCGACTACCGATCCGTACTCCTGGACGCCGAATCGGCTTCACTCTTCGTGGGAGCTCGAGGCCGTCTCTTCCGGCTCTGGGCCTACAATGTCAATGATACTAGCGAGAAATTGGTAGGAGATCCAAAAAATCTAAGCCTGATAAACCTTTAGTTCACCGAGAAGCTGCTCAGCGTGTCGCCGAGCGAGCTCGCCGAGTGCAGGGCGGCCGGGAACTCGGAGGAGGAATGCGAGAATTCGGTGCGGAAGATGTTTTTGAGGTCAGAAGCCAAATGATCGCTACTAGCCTGCGCTTTCCTAAAAAATCTCGGCTAACCTGCCTGTTCCTAAAGAATCTCTGCTAGCTTGCCCATTCTTTCAGAGACCAACGCGAGAGTCTAATGATCTGCTCCTCATCGGCCCACAAGCCCGAGGTGCGCATCGTCGACGTCAGCCGGCTCGAAGACAAAAGCGAGCCCCAAACGATCATCGGTCTCTGCGCCCCGGATCGGGAGATGAACACGACGGCTGTACTTGTTGGTGAGTTCTCGCTCTCTCGCCCTCCCTCTTTCTCTCTCTCTCTCTCTCTCTCTCTCTCTCTCTCTTTCGCTCCCTCTCAACCCCACTTTTTAGAATATGGTAATCCGCGTGCCCTGACGGCGGTGTATTCCGGAATCCGGACCGGGCTCACCGGTGAGAACCACCTCATCTACCGGCCGGCCCTCGTCGAGAATGGGAGAGAGATACACCCATCGATGCGGACGATATACAAGGATGATTCGTGGCTGAATGGTGGGTGGAGAGAGAGAGAGAGAGAGAGAGAGAGAGAGAGAGAGAGAGAGAGAGAGAGACTAGAAGAGATTACTTGGGAATTCTGGGGGTAGGCTAGCAGAAATCATTTAGGAATTGAGGGAGCCTAGCAGAGATTATTTAGGAGCAGAAGGACTAACTAGCAGAGACAATGCAAAAAGCTCTTTTTGTCCAGAACCTCAATTCGTCGGATCGTTCGACATCGGCGATTACGTGTACTTCTTCTTCCGCGAGGTGGCCAACGAGGCCAGCCGCGACATGAAGCGCATATACTCGAGGGTCGCCAGGATCTGCAAGGTCAGCTGATCGACATCTTCGAGACGTTCATTTTAGAAAGACCTCGGTGGGAAGACGGTCATGCGTCAAGTCTGGACATCATACGTCAAAGCTCGGCTGAACTGCTCACTACCGGGGGATATACCGTTTCATTTTGATCATATTCGTGAGTTTGAGGTTTGCGTAGCGTGTGGTCTCCCGTAGCTGTTCTCATTCCTGAAATTTCAGAATCCGTAGCCAAGGCCGAGTTCGAGGGTGAGACGATGTTCTACGCCGGGATGAGCAGCTCCGACACGGCTTTTGTCTCGTCGGCAATTTGTGTTTTTCAACTGAGGGATATTGATCACGTGCGTGGCGCTCTCTCTATCTTTCTTTTTCTTTCTCTCTCTCTCTCTCTCTCTCTCTCTCTCTCTCTCTCTCTCTCTCTCTCTCTCTCTTGCTCTCTCTCTCTCTCCCCTTTAAAGGCCCGGCAAGTAAAATATTCTAGAACTTCGACCACGGGCTATTCGCTGATGACCAAGGTGGCGTTGGCGCCGATCCGAATACGGGCCATCGCCCAGGCACGGTAAGTCAAGCGTCAATAGGCTTAGGCTTGGCTTAGTCAAAGTCTAAGCTAAGCTAGGCGAAGTCAAGTCTAAGCTTCCATCTAGTGGGTCCCCGATTCCCCATCCCTCGACCCGGAAGCTCTAAATTTCGTGCGAAGTCATCTCCTGATGAAGGACCCGATTTCGAGCCAGACACCCATTTTCACGCAACGGTGAGTGAAAGATTCTAAAAAATCCCAGCTAGCCAGCCCTTTCCTAAAGAATCTCTGCTAGCCCGCCTGTTCTCGAATTACTCCTCTTCAGGGATGCCATCTTCCACCACCTCCTCATCGACAGCCGCCAGGAGCACAACGTCGTGTTTGCCATCGACGCTCCGTAAGTAGATGAACATACCTGGGCTTTGCTTAGGCTTGGGCTTCAGCTTGTGCTTAGGCTTAGGTTTTGGCTTAAGCTTAGGCTTAGCCCTCAAATACCCCTTTTTTTTCAGCTCGTCACGCCTGTGGCGGCTGGCTCACTGGCGAGATGGCTCGGATTGGCGTCTCGAGACGATCGAGTCCGCCTCCGTACTATCGACCGTGGGAGGTGTACAGGGGAGCGCCCTGTTGCCTGGAGGTAAATTTTTGTAGTTTGTGCTATCGTAACGTCTGTTATTTTAGAATTTCTCTACATCACCTCCAGGAACGGTGTTGCTCAATTCACGCCGGGAGCCTGTGGCCAGTGGAAGGCTTGTCAGGTGAGAGGCTTTCTCAAATGGTCTTGGCTAGCCTGCCCTTTCCTCAAGAATCTTTGCTAGCCTGCCTGATATGTAAATTTTTGGCACAAGCCATCGTCCCGAATAATTTATTTGATTCTCAACAACAATTATGCAAAAGTATTTTCGGGTCGGGGCATTGTATAAGTAGCATGCAGGCCTGCGCATAGAGCCTCACTTCTTGGCGTAGGCCTGGTGGCCGGCGGTGGAGCCGCCAAGGGCGCGGTAGCCAGCGCCCTAAAAAGTTATAGATCTTTCTATCTATCTCTCTCTCTCTCTCTCTCGCTCTCTCTCTCTCACTCCCTCTCTCTCTCGCTCTCAAAAAAATACCTGAAGCGTAGCTCCGACTTGGCTCGGCGTCTGCGAGGTGCACACCGTCTTTCCGCTAAAAAAGATGTAAGATTACGCTTGGTATTGCTTAGGCTTAGGTTTAAGGGTTAGGCTTAGGCTTAGGCTGAGGCTTAGGCTTAGGCTTAGGCTTAGGCTTAGGCTTAGGCCTTGCTTAAATTAGGCTTCGGATTAGGCTTACAATTGGGCATACGCACAGGGTTAGGCTTAGGCCTTGCTTAGGCTTAGGCTTAGGCTTAGGCATAGGCTTAGGCATAGGCTTTGGCTTAGGTTTGGGCTGCGGCTTAGACTTAAACGTACTTTCCGGATCCACCAAGCGATGAGCGCAGATTCCCATCAAAGCGTTGAGCATTAGAGACATGAGTCCCCTGGCCTCCCTTCGAGGAGACGTTGACGACGTGGCCCTTGTTCGGCATTTCGGGCAGTTTTTAGCGTGGAGAGCTTGAGAATACAGGAGTTGTTAGTACAGAAGCGTACTGTGGATTCCGCTTCCAGCCTCCAACCTTTTATACCCGAGTAATTGTGATTATTCGATGTTTTTCGGGACCAGAAGCCGCTTCTAGAAGCGGACGGAGGGCCCGCCCACCTTGGTTTTTGCGCTCAAAAAACGGTAGTGTCAGCGAATTTGTGGCGAAATCTGGGTTACGGTGGTGATCTACGGTGTTTTACACGAAATAAAAACTAAAAATCTGATTTTTTTGAAATTGCCACTTTTTGAAACCCAAATCTATGGCATTTTTCGATTACGGTAGGTAGTACATTTTTTAGCTTCTATAGCCTGATTTTTAACTTAAAAATCCGTAAATTTAGGTAAAGAGTAAGTAAAACAGGATTTTTGCGATCAAAAGCAATAAATTAGAAAATTTAATTTTTTATACTTACATATTGTATTGGATTTTGGTAAATTACTGTATTTTACACAATTTTTCTCATATTAGACCTCAAAAGCTTTGTTGTGTTTTTATATTACCGTAGTTTTCCACAATTTGGCTTGTTTGCTGACTTTATCAAAACAATGGCCCGTTCCGGACACGTACGATTACGCGATGTTTTTCAAAGCTAGTTGCCGGCCCAATTTTGATAACGTAATCGAATCCGCAAAAACACAGGTTTGATTACGAGATGTTATTCAGAGCATGAATTCCCACCTCCGAGTTTTCTTACGTAACCCACTCGTTTTGCTCTCATGATCCGAAAAACCGTTGTGAAATCGGGCTGAACAGCTTGAAAACGTTGGGAATTTGCACGGACAGGAAACCACTAAAATGCAACTTTTCAGCTGCAAAAAATGCTCAAAAAAGTCCTATAAAAACTCTGAAAAAGCATCAATGACAATTAACCCCCTTGGTTCGATTACGACATGAAAATAAGCAGGAAAAATTCATAAAAATAAGTAAATTCAATTTCTAGCTTAAAAATCGAGAAAATGTTCCGAAAAATCCTTAAGAAGCGTAAAAAATCTATTTAAACCCGAGAATGAATTCAGATATAAAAATAAATAATGAAAAGTTCATCAAAAATTGCTATAACAATTTTCCAGCCCTGTGCCATCGACCCGTACTGCTCGTGGAACGTCGCCCGGGCGCAATGCCACCCACGCGAAAAGCTGCACCATCAGAGCCCTGGGTATGGATTTTTGGGGCTATTTTGACTTCAATGCCCCTTTAAAATGAGATTACAGTCTCATACTCGTTTTTTAGTTGGGTCTCCTCGTGGGCGGGGCGAGGAGCGCCGGAGTGCAAAACGGTTGGACGGCCGGTGTTGACAAAGGTATCATAATTGTTTAGTTTGTAGTGTTCGGCATGTGTAGTTTGTGGCTTAAAAATTGTAGTCCAAATTTTAAGGCTTTCCCCGGCGATGCTGTGCATCTCGAAACGCAGCCCGGCTCCGTTTGGCTACGCGATGGCGTCCGGATTGAGAGGTGGGAGAGAGAGGGAGGGAGAGAGAGAGAGAGAGAGAGAGAGAGAGAGAGAGAGAAAGAGAGAGAGAAAGAGAGAGAGAGAGAGAGAAAGCGAGAGAGATAGCGAGAGATAGAGATGGAGAGACAGAGAAATAGCAAGAGATAGAGAGAGAGATGAGAGAGAGCGTGAGAGCGATAGAGAGAGAAATAGCGAGAGAGAGAGAGAGAAAGGGCGGGAGAGAGCGAGAGTGAGAGAGAGAACGAGGGAGAGAGAGGGAGAGAGAGAGAGGTATTCCTTAAGATCCCCGCCAAACTTCAGCCCGTTCCTAACTGATCTCTGCTGGCTCACCCCGTAATTTCCCAAATCACCTCTGCTAGCCCACCCTCTAGATTCCAAAATTTTCTCGGCTAGCTTGCCTGCTGTTGAATTATGTGTTTTAAAGCTCATCATCTGTCACTAAGCTATTTTATTACAAAAGGCGGAAATCGGATCCAGGTTTCAAAAAAATACAAAAAACTACAAAACGGGGATTTCCGGTCGTTATCAAGCCATTTTCCGTCTCTCGTTCAATACTTGTCCATCGGTCCATCGTTGCGCCCGTTGTTGTCGTTGTCGTTTCCTCCGGGGGTGCGCTTGGCGTAGGCGTGGTGCGTGCGAGTAGCTTCACCACGGATCTCGCGCCATCCGTGATTCTGGAAAATGTGGAATTCATTGCGAATTCGGCATTTGACTATTATCGGGTTACCGTAGAGAGAGAGAGAGAGAGAGAGAGAGAGAGAGAGAGACATTCAGGGAGAGAGACAGCCATGGGGAGAGAACGAGTGAGTGAGAGAGAGAGAGCGAGAAAGAGAGAGAGAGAGAGAGAAAGCGAGAGAGAGAGAGAGAGAGAGAGACAGAGACAGAGACAGTAATTTACCTGCAGCACATCCCCGACCTCACGTGGTGACTGCTCGGTGCAGATCAGACGGCCACTAAAAGAGAGCAAAAATTTCTAAGCTTTTGAAAACTAAAGCCTAAACCCGTCTGTTTTTCTATAAATTTTGCCTTCCCAGTCCCTTTAAAAACACCCACGTCCCTCCACCAAGCGCATCGCGCTCATCTTGCCCCAGAAAAGAGGCATTGAAGACGTGGGTGCCCTCCTGGGCCGGCTTCGACTTGACGTTGATCACGTGGCTCGGCATTGCAGTAGAATGTTTTTCGGTTGCCTTTGAAGAATTCTAAATTGAATATGAAGCCGATAATCTTGTAGATTTGCCGAGCACGAGATCATAAAGCTAATTAAAAAAAAAAATCGAAATTAACCGAAATCGAAAAATCTGGTATAAAAACTTTTTAAAGGTGTGGTGACAGTTCTATTTATGGCTAGGCGAAAACAAACTTAATAGAAGCATTGCCATATTGGCTTGGGCTTGGGCTTAGGCATAGGCTTAGGTCTACGTTTAGGCTTAGGCTTAGGAAGTAGCGTTAGGCTTCGCTTGGCTTGGCCTTGGCTTGGCCTGGCTTGGCTTGGATTAGTCTTAGGCTGGGTTTAGGCTTGGCTTAGACTTGGTTTAGGCTTGGCAAGGCTTGGCTTAGGCTTAGGCTTAGGCTTAGGCTTAGGCTTAGGCTGAGGCTTAGGCTTAGGCTGAGGCTTAGGCTTAGGCTTAGACTTAGCTTAGGATTCGAATCCAAACCCCTACACCTTTATCCTGCCAAACCGAGCCCCATTTATACAGCTTTTTTCCCCTGCCGATCGGAACGCCTCGAAAATATTGATGTTTTGACAGCCGATCCCCACCCCGAAAGGGCGCCGCGAGGGCATTTTGGATCAACAGCAGCTGGGATATGCAAATCCTGGGGATCTTTGAGAAAGCGGGCAACTGACAGAGATCATTTGGGAGCGTTTTCAACCCTTCCAAGTCCCTTTAAGTCCAATTTCAGTGGTCCCCGCACGGTGTTTACCTCCGAATCGGGCCTGGTTCTCTTCGACGTCGCCAAGAAGGACAACGGCGATTATGAGGCTATGGCTGATGGGAGGCAGATTGTCAAATATCGATTGATCGTTGATCATGGTAGGTTTAGTTAGGTTTGGCTTAGGCTTAGGTTAGGCTTAGGCCTGGCTTGGCTTGGCTTGGCTTGGCTTGCCTTGGCTTGCCTTGGCTTGCCTTGGCTTGGCTCGGCTTGGCTTGGCTTGGCTTGGCATGACTTGGCTTAGGCTTAGGCCTGGCTAGGCTTGGCTTATTAGGCATAAGCTTAGGTTTAGCTTAGGTTTAGCTTAGGCTTAGCTTAGGCTTAGCTCAGGCTTAGCTTAGGCTTAGGGTTAGCTTAGGCTTAGGCTTAGCTTAGGCTTAGCTTAGTGCCACCAAAATTCCGACTTCAAAATAGTGCAGAAGTTCTAAAACGCACCAAAAACCTCCCAAACCATCAACACAAAGTGCCGGGCAGCAAATTTTGTATTCACCACATCGTCCGGCACAGGAGAAATATTTTTCTGCTTTTTGCAAGATGTCAACATGGTGCTTGATTTTTTGCTTAGCTTGATTCCACAATTTTCAGAAGACTGTGAGCAGCCGAAGACGATCGAATCGCTAAAGGCCGCCCAGCGACAGTACTGCAAGCGGATGGACGGTCATAAGAGGGCCATGGCTGAATGGCATAGCCAGAAGGTAGGCAGGCTAGCAGGGATTCTTTAGGAAAGGGTAGGCTAGCAGAGATTCTTTAGGACAGGGCAGGCTAGCAGAGATTCTTTCGGAAAGGATAGGCTAGCAGAGTTTCTTTAGGAAAGGGAAGGCTAGCAGAGATCATTGGACAGCCGATTACGCCACATAATTCTTCCAATTTTCAGCAACAATGTCCAATCACGCAGAACGTCTCCGGCAACCCGTTACGATAGAAAAATTGAACCCAAAATGTGTTTCGGCTGTTGTTTTATCGCTCATTTTTTTACCTTGACCTCAGTTTTTTTGATAATTCACTTACCAACGAGCTCCAGACCAAAGCTAGGCTTAAGCTAAGCCCAAGCTAGCCTAAGCTTAAGCCTAAGTTTATACCCAAACCAAAGCCTCCCGCCCTTCCAGTGCCCACATTCCAAATTGACCACTCCACTCCTCTCTGCCTCGCCATCGGGTCTCAAATTTTTCAGTGCATTTTTTACCAAATATTTTTTCGTGATTTTGTGATGTATTTAAGTGTGTTTTTCTACGCAATAAACCTTTTATGACATTGATTATTACAAAAAAAAATGCGCCGAACTCAGCACTCAAAAAATCCACATTTTCACAGACAAACTTAAAACTTTTTTTTGGAATTTATGCACAGTAAGTGAAGAATAAAAATAAACGAGGCAAGCTTAGGCTTAGGCTTAGGCTTAGGCTTGGGCTTAGGCTTAGGCTTAGGCTTAGGCTTAGGCTTAGGCTTAGCCTTAGGCTTAGGCTTAGGCTTAGGTTTAGGCTTAGGCTCAGGCTTAGACCATAGCAGGCTTAGGTTTCAACTTAGGCGTATGCTTAGCTGCGGTTTCGGTTTCAGCTTAGAATTCAGCTTAGGATTGAGCTTAGGCTTGAGTTGAGGCTTGGGCTTGGGTTTAGGCTTCAGCTTCAGCTTAGGCTTCGGCTTGACTTAGCACGGCTTAGGCTAGGCTTCGGCTTAGACTTTGTTTCAGGCTTGGGCTTGGGCTTGGGCTTCAGCTTAGGCTTAGGCTTACAAAGCTATGAAAATTTCATGAAATTTCCCATAAACCATTAATGCATCCAGGCATCCAGGTGTGAAGGCACGCGACAAAATGCAAAAATCCGCCGGTTGCTCCCCAAAATCAAGGGACACCGTCCCTCATTAGTGCGTCGAGATCGCTATCAGGTCTTTCGCATGCAAATTTGCGTCAATTAGTGCGAGAAAAAGTGGTATCAATACCCCGGGGCCACAGCATCGCTGCCAGATTGCCACCTGCCCGGGGAAAAGGTATAAATATTGGAATTTTTACCGAAAAATCACTTGAAAGCGCTCATACGCTAATTACAACTACAAACCTCTGTTATCGAACCACTACCGTAGTTCCAAATCCTAAGCCATAAAAAGCTACCGTACTCTCGCCGAATTTACCCTAAAAATGAACCGTTTTTGCCGTGACTTTTCCGCCCTCAAGACCGATGTCAAGCCAAAGGTAAGCCGATTCTATTGTTTTTTTCACATTCCTGTCAATTGAATTAAATTAGTAATATGGTAGGCTTGAATTACGGCATTTTTGGAATTTTGTAATTTTTTAGACTTGTTTTTAAACCATTTAAATTCAATTTCGAGTTGAATCTAATTTGCGATTATACCCACATCTTTTCAAGCCATTTTTCGTCTGTCGTTCAATACTTGTCCATCGGTCCATCGTTGCGCCCGTTGTTGTCGTTGTCATTTCCTCCGGGGGTGCGCTTGGCGTAGGCGTGGTGCGTACGAGTAGCTTCACCACGGATCTCGCGCCATCCGTGATTCTGGAAAATGTGGAATTCATTGCGAATTCGGCATTTGACTATTATCGGGTTACCGTAGAGAGAGAGAGAGAGAGAGAGAGAGACATTCAGGGAGAGAGACAGCCATGGGGAGAGAACGAGTGAGTGAGAGAGAGAGAGCGAGAAAGAGAGAGAGAGAGAGAGAAAGCGAGAGAGAGAGAGAGAGAGAGAGACAGAGACAGAGACAGTAATTTACCTGCAGCACATCCCCGACCTCACGTGGTGACTGCTCGGTGCAGATCAGACGGCCACTAAAAGAGAGCAAAAATTTCTAAGCTTTTGAAAACTAAAGCCTAAACCCGTCTGTTTTTCTATAAATTTTGCCTTCCCAGTCCCTTTAAAAACACCCACGTCCCTCCACCAAGCGCATCGCGCTCATCTTGCCCCAGAAAAGAGGCATTGAAGACGTGGGTGCCCTCCTGGGCCGGCTTCGACTTGACGTTGATCACGTGGCTCGGCATTGCAGTAGAATGTTTTTCGGTTGCCTTTGAAGAATTCTAAATTGAATATGAAGCCGATAATCTTGTAGATTTGCCGAGCACGAGATCATAAAGCTAATTAAAAAAAAAATCGAAATTAACCGAAATCGAAAAATCTGGTATAAAAACTTTTTAAAGGTGTGGTGACAGTTCTATTTATGGCTAGGCGAAAACAAACTTAATAGAAGCATTGCCATATTGGCTTGGGCTTGGGCTTAGGCATAGGCTTAGGTCTACGTTTAGGCTTAGGCTTAGGAAGTAGCGTTAGGCTTCGCTTGGCTTGGCCTTGGCTTGGCCTGGCTTGGCTTGGATTAGTCTTAGGCTGGGTTTAGGCTTGGCTTAGACTTGGTTTAGGCTTGGCAAGGCTTGGCTTAGGCTTAGGCTTAGGCTTAGGCTTAGGCTTAGGCTTAGGCTTAGGCTTAGGCTGAGGCTTAGGCTTAGGCTGAGGCTTAGGCTTAGGCTTAGACTTAGCTTAGGATTCGAATCCAAACCCCGACACCTTTATCCTGCCAAACCGAGCCCCATTTATACAGCTTTTTCCCCTGCCGATCGGAACGCCTCGAAAATATTGATGTTTTGACAGCCGATCCCCACCCCGAAAGGGCGCCGCGAGGGCATTTTGGATCAACAGCAGCTGGGATATGCAAATCCTGGGGATCTTTGAGAAAGCGGGCAACTGACAGAGATCATTTGGGAGCGTTTTCAACCCTTCCAAGTCCCTTTAAGTCCAATTTCAGTGGTCCCCGCACGGTGTTTACCTCCGAATCGGGCCTGGTTCTCTTCGACGTCGCCAAGAAGGACAACGGCGATTATGAGGCTATGGCTGATGGGAGGCAGATTGTCAAATATCGGTTGATCGTTGACCATGGTAGGTTTTGCTTAGGTTTGGCTCAGGGCTAAGGCTTCGGCCTCGCTTGGTTTGGCTTGGCTTGGCTTCGCTTGGCTTGGCTTGGCTTGGCTTGGCTTGGCGTGGCTTGGCTTGGCTTGACTTGACTTGGCTTGGCTTGGCTTGCCTTGGCTTATTGGGCATAGGCTTAGGTTTAGCTTAAGTTTAGCTTAGGCTTAGCTTAGGCTTAGGCTTAGGCTAGCTTAAGCTTAGCTTAGGCTTGCCTTGGCTTGGCTTGGCTTGGCTTATTAGGCATAGGCTTAGGTTTAGCTTCGGCTTAGCTTAGGCTTAGCTTAGGTTTTGCTTAGGCTTCAGTGCTACCGAAATTCCGACTTCAAAAATAGTGCAGAAGTTCTAAAACGCACCAAAAACCTCCCAAACCATCAACACAAAGTGCCGGGCAGCAAATTTTGTATTCACCACATCGTCCGGCACAGGAGAAATATTTTTCCCCTTTTTGCAAGATGTCAACATCACGCCTAAGCTTAAGCATACGACATATCAACTATAGACTACAAATTGAGGCATAATTCCGCAATTTTCAGAAGACTGTGAGCAGCCCAAGACGATCGAATCCCTAAAGGCTGCCCAGCGACAGTACTGCAAGCGGATGGACGGTCATAAGAGGGCCATGGCTGAATGGCATAGCCAGAAGGTAGGCAGGCTAGCAGAGAATCTTTAGGAAAGGGCAGGCTAGCAGAGATTCTTTAGGAAAGGGCAGGCTAGCAGAGATTCTTTAGGACAGGGCAGGCTAGCAGAGATCATTAGGCATCCGATTACGCCGCATAATTCTCCCAATTTTCAGCAACAATGTCCAATCACGCAGAACGTCTCCGGCAACCCGTTACGATAGAAAAATTGAACCCAAAATGTGTTTCGGCTGTTGTTTTATTGCTCATTTTTAACCTTAACCTCCGTTTTTTTGATAATTCACTTACCAACGAGCTCCAGACCAAAGCTAAGTTTAAGCTAGGCCCAAGCTAGCCTAAGCTTAGGCCCAAGCCTACGCTAAGCCTCAGCCTAAGCCAAAGCCTAAGCTAAGCTTAAGCTAAGTCTAAGCTAAGCTTAAGCTAAGTCTAAGCTAAGCTTAAGCTAAGCCTAAGCCAAAGCTTGAGAACGAGCTTAAGCCTAAGTTTATACCCAAACCAAAGCCTCCCGCCCTTCCAGTGCCCACATTCCAAATTGACCACTCCACTCCTCTCTGCCTCGCCATCGGGTCTCAAATTTTTCATTGCATTTTTCTACCAAATCGTTGTTGTGATTTTGTGATGTATTTAAGTGTGTTTTTCTACTGCAATAAATTTTTTATAACATTGATTATTACAAAAAAGCCGAATTCAGCACTCAAAAATCCACATTTTTGCAGAAAACTTAATTTTTTTTTTAGGAATTTATACAGAGTAATTTGAGAATAAAAATAAACGAGTCAAGCTTAGGCTTCAGTTTAGGCTTAGGCTTAGGCTTAGGCTTAGGCTTAGGCTTAAGCTTAGGTTTAGGTTTAGGCTTAGGCTTCGGGCTGGCTTAGGCTTAGGCTTAGCCTTAGGCTTAGGCTTAGGCCTGGGCTTAGGCTCAGGCTAGGCTTATACTTTGCCTTAGGCTTAGGATCAGGCTTCGCATAGGCTTAGACATAGGCTTAGGCTTAGACCATAGCAGGCTTAGGTTTCAACTTAAGCGTATGCTTAGCTTCAGTTTAGGTTCCAGCTTAGAATTCAGCTTAGGATTGAGCTTAGGCTTGAGTTGAGGCTTGGGCTTGGGCTTGGGCTTAGGCTTCAGCTTCAGCTTAGGCTTCGGCTTGACTTGGCACGGCTTAGACTAGGCTTCGGCTTAGACTTTGATTCAGGCTTGGGCTTGGGCTTGGGCTTAGCCTTAAGCTTACAAAGCTATGAAAATTTCGTGAAATATCCCATGAACTATTAATGCGTCCAAGCATCCAGGTGTACAGGCACGCGCCAAAAATGCAAAAATCCGCCGTTTTCCCCCAAAATCCATCGACTACCGCATCCTATTAGTGTGCCGAGATTTCTATCAGGCCTTTCGCACGCAAATTTGCATCAATTAGTGCGAGAAAAAGTGGTATCAATACCCCGGGGCCACAGCATCGCTGCCAGATTGCCACCTGTCCGTGGGGGAAATGTATAAATATCGAGATTTTCACCGAAAAATCACTTAAAAGCGCTCATACGCTAATTACAACTACAAACCTCTGTCATCTAACCACTACCGTAGTTCCAAATCCTAAGCCATAAAAAGCTACCGTACTCTCGCCGATTTTACCCTGAAAATGAACCGTTTTTGCCGTGACTTTGCCGCCCTCAAGACTGATGTCAGGCCGAAGGTAAGCCGATTTTTACGTTTTTAACAATATTGTAAATTCATTGATTTGAATTTAGAAATATGATATGCTGTTTAGGGTATTTTTGCAATTTTTTGCTTTTTTAAAATTAAGATGCAAAAGTCTTAATTTTCTAACCCCTTAAATTTATTGGGAGTTTAATTTAATTTGTGATATTTTTAATTTTTAAAACTTTGTTTTATTTTTAAGCATGTTTTTTTATTATTTTTCATAAACTTAATAGGTCTTTTTCTCCCGTTCCGATTTTACTAACAATACCCTAGCTAGAAATTGCCATTTTTGGCTTGAAATTCCATTTAAAAACCCCGTAACCCTATTTTTCAGTACAAAACGGTGCGCCGAGACGCGTACGCCGTCGACCGAGGGGCCGTGAAGCTGCTGAGGAAATGCCACGGCTTCACGACAACGCTACGCCCGAGCCACGAGATCGAGAGGATGTCAAGTACGTTTTTTTACTTTGTTTTTGGGCCCCGACTTTTCCTAATTTTCTCTGCTAGGCTGCCCTCCCGATTTCTAAATAATCTCTACTGGGCTGCCTTTTTCTAAAAAATCTATGCTGTTTCCTCTAGTTTCTCTGCTATATTGCTCCGTAAAGCTCAATTGAAATTCGAATAGTGTTCTCTAGTTTCTCAGACTCTCTCTCTCTCTCTCTCTCTCTCTCTCTCTCTCTCTCTCGCTCTCTCTATTTTCCCCCAAAGATCTCCGCTGGTCCGCCTAAAACGTCAATTTTGGCCTACCGTAACCCTCCTCTCTTTTCCAGAGAACAACCTCTACGAAGGTTGGGAGGCCTACGAGCGCGACCCGACCAACGAGACGGGCGCCCTCCACCGTTTACGGTATGTGAGGGAGAAGCTCGTCACCGGGTCGCAGCTCCGGGACGTCTTCGGCCCGGCCGACGTCTTCTGCGGGGCTGGCGACTACAGCAAGGTACGTTTTTTGCGTTTTGTCTAATCCTAAAGGGAGTGTGATACCTTGTAATTACCTTTCAGGTCCTGAGCCATCTCCAGCGGAAGCCGGAGAAGCCCCTCGACATCTTGGTTGTCCGACTCGGAGGTACGGTAATTTTTGGGTTTGTAATGGGGTCTGCTAGCCTGCCCTTTCCTAAAGGATCTCTGCTAGCTTGCCCTTTCACCCAGAATCCCAACTTACTAACTCCAAATTTTCAGACCGCCTGTTGCTGAACTTGGCGGAGCCGTGGCGCGGCGACCTCGAAGCCCCGCTCACCGACGAGGAAAAGTAAGTCTCTAAACTTCTAAACTTTTAGACTTTTTTCTATTAAATTTGTACCTATTCTTAATAACCTTATTTTTTCAGGAAGCAGCGCATTCTCGGGCAGAACTTGGAGAAGTTCACGACGACCGAGGAGCACTGGCGGGACGTCACACAGGTACGCATTTTTTTCTGGAGTTTTCTGCTTGGGTTTTTGCCTTCACTGGTCCTTTAGTTGGGGTAGGCTAGCAGAGATTTTTTAGGAATGGGCAGACTAGCAGAGATTTTTTTAGGAAAATGTAGGCTAACAGAAACCATTTGCGACCTTTCTAATTCCGGTTTTCCAGGGTGAGGGCGACGTGAAGAACTTCCGGTACTTCGTCGACGCCGTCTCGACCGGAAATGGGCCCACCATCCTGGTGGCCCATGAAGTGGACCACGTCCACTATGACGGCGCCCGCTCCGTCGACACCAAGACGTTCTGCGCGCCGGGCTTCAATGTGAAGCGCCCGGCCGTGGAGCAGCTGAAAGCCGGGCACATCCTCCAATGGGTAAGTGCTTTGTGTCTTGATTTTAAAATTATTTGATTTTTAGGTACTCCGCGCGGCGCCCCTGGACGTGACGCTCTGCGTCGGGTTCCACGCGGCCGGCCAGCTCAAGAAGGCCGCCTTCATCCACCCCGACACCATCATGGACAACGACGAGAAGGTGAGTTTGGTTCTCTCTCTCTCTCTCTCTCTCTCTCTCTCTCGCCTTTGAACAGCTGTTCATCTACCATTTCCAGATTCGCCGCAACTACAACGCGGCGCGCGCCAAAGCCGACGACTTCTTCCGGCAGCTGAAGGACCTCGTGCCGGGCGAGCCCTTCTTCAAGGTGACGCTCCGGAGTGGATGCCAGACCGCCACCCCACTACAGGTACGTTTTTAGCCAGTTTTGACTTATTTCAATTTTTTTAAATTTTGCTGAAGTTTTGTCAAAGATTAATTTTTTTATTTGCAACACTTTTTGGAATTTGAGGAACGTTTTCTTGGTTTTTACAAAATGTATGCAACTTTTGATTTAATTTTCCAAGCGAACTCCTTGAACTTGAGCAGCCTTTTCTTAGCTACATACATATTTTATTTAATTTGCCGAATGAACGCCTTGAACTTGAACGCCATTGCTAATCTCCGGCTTTCCAGACGCTCACCGACGTGGCGGCCGAGATAACGCCAGTAACCGGTGTCCGGGACGAGCTTGCCGAGCTGTTCAACCAGCTTCGGCAGCTCACCCGCGAGGCTGTACCTCGGTACCGGGCACCGCATCTTCGCCAGGGATCGACCTCGTCCACCTCGTCTAGCTGCTCATCTACCGCCAGCCGAAGCCCGAGCCCGACCTCCTCGACGACGCCGGCCTCCCCGCCTCCCTCTCCCACCTTCCCAACCCTTCGCAAAGCTGTGAACCCCTACCGCCCCCCTCATAAGCGAAACGATTCTGTTTGTTCGGTATCTTCAACATCTTCTTCTTGTTCATCTACCTCCTCCCCCCGCTCCCCCTCCCCGCCCACCTTCAAAACCCCCGCCCGCCCCTCCCCGTTTATGCCCAAGTGGTAGAAAGTTGTGATTTTTTCTATTTTAGTTTAATTTAATTAACTTAATTGTAAGAATTAAGATTTTTTATGTATTTCTAAGTTTAGTTTAATTTTTCTTAGGCATTTAAAATAATTTTAATTCGGCTTTCGATTAGACTAATAAGAATTTCTAAAGTTCTAAATAAGTATTATTAGTTACAAGGAGATCGGGGTTTGTTCTGAGCTTTTTTTCGAATGTTTACTTGAAATTTCGGGTATTTTAGAATTTTTCTAGGCTCTAATCTATGTAAAAAACATTGTAATTATTGGATTTTGAGATGTTTTGCTGTGCCGTGTTGAATAAACGCTTTTTTTCTCCTAAATTTACCGTATTGAGATGGTCGGAATACATACAACAATAAATCAACGTCATCTCAAGGTGTTAAATAAACATGGTCACTTTGGCCAATGGTCAGTATCTCTCTCTCTCTCTCTCTCTCTCTCTCTCTCTCTCTCTCTCTCCTTCTCTCTCTCTCTCTTTCTCGCGCTCTCTATCTCTCTCCCTCTCCGGAAAATTTCAGAATCTCTAAAATCAGACCCATACAAATTTCGATGTTGGAACACACTTAGGTTTTATGGAACAAGGAAATTTAAAGATTCTGTCACTTAGAGATTCCGAAATTTAGTGATTCTGATTTTTAGAGATTCTGATTTTTTGAGATTCTGGTTCTATTTCTCTTGATCTTTCTCTTTCACTTTCTCTTTCACTTTCTTTTTAGCTTTCTCTTTCCCTATCTCTTGCGCTTCCTCGTGCTCTCCTTCCAACGAACGGCCCCGCCCAGCCGCCCTGGCGCCGATTTCGTCATTCTCATTTTGGTCGAGCCGAGGGAGCAAGAGCAGGAGTGCAGAACAGTAAAAACTTGAACCTGCCAGGCGCTTATTTGCTACCCTTTTTAAAAGGCGGTACATCATAATATCCAAACCTGCGCGGGTGCGAAACTTAAAATTCCGCGTTGCTGCAAAAAAGCAGGGATCTCGTCGGGTTTTAGCTCTAAGTTTGTGAAAATCTTCTTTTTTTTGTAATAAACTTTTTACGGCCACTTTGTATTCCATCCTACAGTACGGACGGCTTCACGAATGTTGTCAAATTTCAAAGCTTTGGAAATTGCCTATGTTGAACGCGTTCACGGATATCGCGATCGCTGCGGGATCGGAGCAGCGGACGCTAACAAACAACAGCTGGCGCTATTGCGAAATTCCCTTTTCCGGCCATTCCTCCAGCTCCGCCTCCTCCTCGTCCGCTCTCCCTCCACCTCCTCACTGTTGCCTCCTTTCTCCCCCAGAGCCTGACAGTAGGCTCGCGCCTCGCCCGGAAAATTCGAAAAATTTTAGGCTAGGCGTATTTTTTCAAATTCGGACTCTCCAGCCCCACCGCAGAGCGTTCAGTTACTCGTTTCGATTTGCGAGCATATTTTCGAAACTCACATTTTCGAAACTCAGATTTTCGAAACTCATATTTTCGAAACTCAGATTTTCGAAACTCATAGTTTCGAAACTCATATTTTCGAAAACTGATAGTTACAGCTTTGCATAGGCTTGGGTAACTTAAGAAAACCTAAGAAAACATGAATTTCAAAAATATGAGTTTCGAAACTATGAGTTTTCGGGGTTCTTGCGTATCCGGGGGGGAGAATAGGAAAAAACAAAAAAGAACTTATTTGAATGGGAAAAACTTTTTTAAAAGTTTAGAAAAACGCTTGAAAAAGTCGAAAATTTGGTCGTTTTTGGTCGAAAAAAATTTATTTTTCGGCCTAAAATTAATTTTTTTTATCAAATTTTGTAAAGTTTTATGCTTAGGAATAGCTATAAACAGTTTAGAAACAATTCCACCATTTATATAAAAAATCTAGGCTTGGGCCGAAGAAAGTTCAGTTCCCCCCCCACGCAAGAACCGTTTTCGGAAATATGAGTTTCGAAAATATGAGTTTTCGGAAATATGAGTTTCGAAATTATGAGTGCCTACCACTCGTTTCAACTGCGTACTTGCTCCTCCGTATAATACTAATCCAGCGTTGCGCCGTTTTATCGATCCGACGACGATTTTCCGACCGTAATCGGTTGTTGCTCACCCAACGGCAAATGTGCGAATCCTGTGTATTGATTGATATTATCGATTGCGGAAGCCGACATTTGGCTTTCTTGTTTTTGTTGGCTCTTGTCGCTTTTCAATCTTCCGTTTTCAAAATCTCAGCCAATGGATCTTAAAAATGTCGATTTTGATTCGTTGTAATTTCAGCGGGATGTCTTCCGCCCAACTTGGTGAAAAGCCCAAGGACGAGCCCGTAAGCGGGTCCGAACCTAAGCTTAAGGTAATTCCATAAGGAGCCAAAAATTAAAGAAATACCCGGGTTGAAAAGCCGCTGCGCGCTTTCCCGCCCTTGCTCCGTCTGATCCATAATATTTTTCAAATTGCATAACTCGCGATTTTCGACGACAAAAAAAAATGGAAACTCTTCTAACTAAATGGGGAATATCCAATAAAAATAACATTTTTAGTGTACAATCATTCGCCGTGCTGACTACGTCGTCAAAAATGGGGAGATGTTCGTAGGGGACGGTGCTCTCGCGACCACGCTGCGCCCTCTCGAAGAGATACAAAAGTCGATTGGTGAGTTGAAGACCTTTTAATAGATCGTTAGTAACCCGATCGCATATATGAGTTTAGAGACCGGCGTGAATTTGTTCGAGAACTGGGAAGAATATACGCCGGATGAGACCAACCGAGTCGGTGCCATTCACCGGTTGAAGTTTCTGCTGACGATGCTCGCCTTTGGGACCGCCGTCGCCTTTGAGACCGCCGTCGCCTTCTGTGGGGCCGGGGACTACAGCAAGGTAGGATTTTAGCGTATCTATCAAAAAGTTCACCTTAATAATGTCGAGAATCGTAGAAACGATAATTTAGCAGGGGGCGGCTATTTTTCCACAATAAACCCTTACGGCCCAATAACAAAATAAAAAATTTTCGTTGCATTTTAATCAGCTTTTGGCTTTAAAAACATAGAAAAATGAATGTACGAAATTTTTAAAAAATAGTCTTGTAGTTGCCTAGAAATAGACGGCTAAAAACACCAAAAAAATCCGTTAGATATTATGATCAGATAGGCGGAAAAACAAAAATTAACCCGCTGACAGACCAGCAACAAAAAGACGCCGTGAAATGCATAATAATTTTCTGTTTGCTAGAGAATGTTAGCTAGCAATCAGTTGCTAAATAAACGTTTTCAGATCCTCCTGCACCTCATCAGGGAATGGAAGCAGGCGCAGAGACCAGACTACTTTCGGGAACTGGAAATCTTTGTCGTCCGCCTTGGAGGTATGCCGCTTGAAACTTTCGGATCCGATATCAAAAAAATTCATATAGCTTTTGTACATAAAAGCTAAAACTCCAGAATATTAAGCCATCCAAAACCACCTGTAGATCCAACTACAACCAATCGTTGAAAAAGGTTTAGGCATCCTTGTTTCAGACCGGCTGTTGCTCAATTTGGCTGAACCTGTTGGGCGCCAGGACGATATCTGGAAGTGAGTTTGGCAGAGTAAAAAAAGGTTTTTGCGGGTGTCAGTTCCATCTCAACCCAAACCATCAATCTTTTTGCAGGAAAAAAATGTCCTGCGGCAACAAATTCGAGCAGGTCGGATCGATTGGAGCCATAGAAGATACGGTAGGTATTTCCAGCAGGCGGAAGGGAATGCGTATTAATAAGGCAGGAAAGGGTTTCTTACAAGATGTCGAAAATTGATAATGTCGAAAATCGAGATTTCGAAATTCACAATGTCGAGATGTCATGATGTCGGGATTCCATAAAGTCGAGTTTCAGAAGGTTTTCCGGGAAAAAGCGCATGTAAATTCGATATTCTGAATCTCCTCAATAGGGATTTCGACGAAAAAGACGAAGATTTTCGACCATATGAATTTCGACATTATGATTATTCCATTATGAAATTCGGGCATTATGATAGGAAATCGGCATGATCACATTTCGAGTTTACAGGACAAGAGTTCGGTGAAAGCCTTCCAATACTTTGTGGACGAGGTGAAGACACGAGATGGTCCTGCCGTCCTGCTCGCCCACGAAGTCGACCAAATCGGCTACGACGGGCGCAGCTCCGTCAATATGAAAACCGTCAACGTGGCCTGGTTCGACGCCCGGAAGCCGCTGCAGGACCAGCTCAAGGGGATGCACGTGTTCTCATGGGTAATCTATTTTATATTGTCGATTCGGCCAAAACAAACTGTTTTGGTGCGTAGCTACCGTAGTTGGCGTTCTTTCCATAACACTCATAATTGCAGCTCCTACGCAACGCTCCATTGGGCGTCAAGTTACTCGTGGGCCAGCACTCGGCCGCGGGCGTGCTCGAAAACGTCGCACTCATCGATCCCGAGGAAATCATGGCCGCCGATGTAAGTTGGGGTTGGGAAAGTGGCAAGAAGTACTAAGTACAAGAAAACGTGTTTTAGTGACAAACGAGTTTCTTGCTGAGACCACGCCTATCTTGGGCAGAATTTTGCGCTGCTTCCGGAGGCGTTTTCAAAATCTGCAACGACGAGATTCATAAATTTGTTTCGACACAGGTCCGTGCATCCACCCAAATTCCGTGTGGATTCCACCTGGAATTCGGGTGGAACGCATGGAAATTGGGTGGAAATCGGGTGGACGCAGTGGAAATGGAGTGGAAACGCGACGCGACGCGACCACCATGCGACGCGGCTATTGGAAATCGAGTGGAAACCGAATGGATCCACTTGGTTTCCACTCGATTTCCATGCGTTCCACCCGGAATCCACTCGATTTCCATGCGGAATCCACTCGCGTCCGATCCCTCGATCCCCTCCGGGATTCCGAGTGGATTTCGGGTGGATGCACTTACCTGTGGAATTTGTTTGCAAAATGGCCCAATTTCGGAACAAACGGAAAAACGATTCTCACTAAAAAACGTCCGCTTGTTAGGCTCATAACCGGGGACCATATCCACTGTATGTTTGGTAAGAAACCTGCAAAAGCAACCTTTCAGATTCGCCGAGACTACGACAGCGCGCGAAAGCTGATGGACGAGTTTCTCCAGCAGCTGTCGGGGGACAAGGCGCCTAAATCCACATGCTTCAAAGTCACCATTCGTCAGGAGGACTGGTGCGCCGTGCCTTTGAAGGTAGGCCGTGCAATGTGTACGTTCAGCTCTATCGACGGTCTAATGCAGAAATAACTTTTGCCAAAATACCGAAATTTCATGATTTAAAGGTTTTTGATAGAGGATTAAAGCGTTTTTCGTAAAATTTCTTCGCTTAAAATGCCGGCATAGTAAATTCGTTCTTTTTATTGCTTATTAGCCGAGTTTGCCAGCCTACTAGGTCGCCTTCTAGTCCTCAAAAGTCTAGAAAAGTCTAGAATTAATTTATTAACTCTATTTAAAACTTTAAAAAGTCTTCAAGCCTTAAAAAATTCCATTTTACGAGGCACATGCTATATCACTATATCACGTCCAGCCTCAGTTTTCGAAAGGTCATTTTTCCGAAAGTCATATTAGCAAAAATCACCTTTCGAAAAGCAAAATTTTGAAAAACCGTCGTTTTTGACGGGTACTTGGTCTCAACGTGTGGATACAACGCCATCAAATAATAAAAAATAAATAAAAGTGAATTCTTTTAGGGCGTTTCGGAAGTCGCCGCTGGGATTTCAAGGGATCCGGAGGTGCAACTGCAACTTCAGGAGCTTCTTAAGGAGGTTATCAAGTCACCGAAGCAGGAAGGCGTCACGTCAACCACCGCGCCCATGCCCGCCGCGACCATTTTGCACAACTACCCCAAACCCCCGCTTAGGAAAAGTGATAATCCCTATGTCCCCCCTCATATGCGCAAGACTGGGCAGATTGCCACACCAAATAATGAGAAAACTGAAGATACTAGTCATGATCCTGCCAATAATAATGATATTACGAGTACCACAAATAGTGACACTGGTAATAATAATTTAAATAATAGTAATAATGATAATAATAGTAATAATAATAATAATAATAATAATACTAATAATAATAATAATGGTAATAATAATAATAATAGTAATAATAATCATAATAATAATAATAATAATAATAATAATAATAATAGTAATAATGATAATAATAGTAATAATAGTAATAATAATCATAATAATAGTAATAATAATAATAATAATAATAATAATAATAATAATAATAATAATAGTAATAATAATAATAATAATAATAACAATAACAATAATAATAATAATAATAATAATAATAGTAATAAAAATAATAACGGGAATTCCGCCGGATCTCGCCAAAACCAATCTCCATCGGAAAATTGTGATACTCATAAGATCCCCTGTGATTCTCCAAGTCTGGCATTTAATCTTTTATCTTCTTCATCCTGTTCGGGTGAAAATAATTCTTGCCAAAAATAAACCTTAATTGGCACTCGAACGCTTGACACTCTAAGCTTTACACGGACGGCAACACAGCAACAAGGTCTTTCTTTGCAGAACTTACACGGTCCACTATGGATATAAGGTCTTCATTCCCTTAAAAGGAAACAGAAAACACAGTTTTCTTCGGATGTACTAGAACACCGCCTCCCAAAATACCGAAGAGAAGACCAAAACACGAGATCACTCCGATAGGTGAGGTGTGGGACGAGCTTGCCGAGCTATTCAACCAGCTTCGGCAGCTCACCCTCGAGGCTGTACCTCGGTACCGGGCGCCGCATCTACGCCTGGGATCGACCTCGTCCATCTCGTCCAGCTGCTCATCTACCGCCAGCCGAAGCCCGAGCCCGTCCTCCTCGACGACGCCGGCCTCCCCGCCTCCCTCCCCCACCTTCCCAACCCTTCGAAAAGCTGTCAACCCCTACCGCCCCCCTCATAAGCGAAATGACTAATTCTGTATCTTCCACATCTTCTTCTTGTTCATCTACCTCCCCCATCCATTGGAGCGCCTTGTAGTAAAAATCCGGACTGCCCTCATCCCAGACCTTGATCCCCTCAGGCTATGCCCACCCGCATCTGCATCTGCCCCGATCCCCGCCAGGTCGCCCCGTGTAAAATTGTGAGTTCTCAATCGATTGATAATCGATACCTTTAATATGTCTTTAAACGGCCATTCTTAAACAAACAAACAAACAACATTTTCAGAACGTCCTCAAATTGCCCAGCTCTGATCACGCGTTACGCGATGGTGCCTTCGTCGGAAACCTGGCGACCGGAGGTAAATTTTGATGTTAAAACCCTCTTTATTATATTAGGGATTTTTAGTGTTTAATAAGATAGTTATAATAAGTATCGTCATCACATCGACTAGTTTATTAATATTTAAGTGTTTTTGGTAGCGTCAGTGTTTTTATTCGTTGGCAGACTTAGTATATTTTAGTTATTTAGGTTTGTATTCAATAGTTGAAAGTTATTAGCTTTTAGTTGTTTACTGATAGTGCCTACTATACCTATATTATCTAGGCTTTCAATTAGGGAAAAAATGTGGATTTTCAGGTCACGCGCCGCCACCGCTACCGCGTCCTAGAAGGAGAAGTGGAGGTGCTGAACGAGGACGAGCTATTGTCGCCTACAATCCGACCCGAGCAAGAGCTGGACAATCTGAAAGGCGAGTTTTTGAGGCTTTATGCTTATTGTTGTCACCAAGTTCTAGGGATGAACCTACTCGACGGGTTGGACACGTTCGAAGCTGATACCAGCAACCAGATCGGCTGCCTCCACCGCCTCAATTTTATCCTCGAAAAGCTCAAATCGGGCGCGCAGATCGCTGACATTTTCGGTTCGGCCCGGCTCTTCTGCGGCGCCGGCGACTTTTTCAATGTGGGTTGGGTGTAATCGACTTATAAACATCGTTGTCTCTTTCGAAAGCGTTATTTTGGTCCGGTATTTCAGATTGGCAGGGCCATCAACCCGTACCTGGACGATGTAAGCGAAATCATTGTCGTCCAAATCGCAGGTACAATATATGGCTTATTTTCAAAATGTCGAAATTCATAATGTCGAAACTCATAATGTCGAAATTTCATAATGTCGAAATTTCATAATGTCGAAATTTCATAATGTCGAAATTCAGAATGTCGAAATTCAGAATGTCGAAATTTACGTAAACTAAAATTCCAGGTAAAGTCCCCAAATTCTAGACAAAAAAAGTTGTCGTGAAATAAGATAAAAAAAATAGAATGTGGAAAATTTTTTACCGGGATTTGGCGGTTTCACCGGTAATATTAGCCTATGTAAATTTCGACATTCTAAATCATTATGAAATTTCGACTTTATGAAATTTCGACTATGAAATTTCGACATTATGAAATTTCGACATTATGATTTTCGACATTATGATTTTCGACATTATGATACCAAATCACAATATATTACCCATTTTTGAATTATTTTTTTAGGTCGCCTTTTCGTGAACACCGTCGACAGGCTGGTTTGTCACGGGATACGAAGAAGATGCATTGGCCGTAACCTGGAGGTGTACTTGTCGAGGGAAGCGAACTATACTTCGGAAAGCCAGGAAAGGAGCGCCCGGATCGGGGTAAGAAACTGTTTCAAAACTTTTATGTGTTTAGGCTCAGAGTGTCACGAAACACTTTTTGTACTATGTCGACGAGGTGAAGACGCAGCAGGGGCCGCCAATCCTGCTCGCCCACGAGATCGACCACGTCGGATATGATGGGCGGACTCCCATCGACGCCAAGAGCATCTGCCTTAGGGGGTTCAACCCTAACAAGAATCTGGTCGATCAGCTTGATGGCTGGCGGCGCCACAATTGGGTGCGTCTCCTTGTGTGAATACAATCAATCACTTTCTATGATCTCCACCATCTTCTACGGTGATTAATTTTTTTCCAGCCAATTCGTTACGGATTTTTGGGTACGATAATTTGCGCTGCTCAGTACACCACGGATGGGATCATCGAGAAGGTTGAGCGCATCGATCCCATGGAGTTGGTGAACGCGCAGCTTTCTCGGTCAGACAAGACAAGCAAAAGCAAGGTTGGTTTGGTTTTATACATTTTCTACATGCTAAAGAGAGGAATTGGTATCATAATGTCGAAATTCATAATGTCGAAATTTCATAATGTCGAAATGTCATAATGTCGAAATTTCATAATGTCGAGATGTCATAATGTCGAAATTTCATGATGTCGAAATTCCATAATGTCGAAATGTCATAATGTCGAAATGTCATAATGTGGAAATGTCATGATGTCGAAATGTCATAATGTCGAAATGTCATAATGTCGAAATTTCATAATGTCGAAATGTCATAATGTCGAAATTCAGAATGTCGAAATTTACATAGGCTAATATTACCGGTTAAACCGCCAAATCCTAGCCAAAAAAATTTTTTCCACATGCTATTTTTTTTATCTTATTTCACGACAACATTCTTTTGCCTAGAATTCGGGGACTTTACCGGGAATTTTAGCTTATGTAAATTTCGACATTCTGAATTTCGACATTCTGACATTTCGACATTATGAAATTTCGACATTATGACATTTCGACATTATGACATTTCCACATTATGAAATTTCGACATTGTGAAATTTCGTCATTATGAAATTTCGACATTATGAGTTTCGACATTATGAATTTCGACATTATGAAAATAAGCCGCTAAAGAGAGGTATATGACTTACGCCAATCGCTCTCGATGTGGGATGGGGGGGGGGGTCTCCGTGCCCTCTATCCCCGTTGGCTATGTGCTAAAAAGTTGAACCCACTCCAGAGGGGCTGGTTACACCTATGCTGTCTTTATCCCTTTAACCCCATTCAGGTGAAATGCACACAAATTGATCGAACACGTCCTTTTTAGGCCTGGCGCACATACTGGAGAGCCCGAAGGGACGGCAACGATTTTTGCGAGTGGCTGGAGAAGATTTCGGCCGAACAGCCCGCCTTCTTCCGCGTCACCATCAATGGCTATCAACCAGGGCCCGTAACACCGATTGAAGTGAGTTTTTTTATTCAGAATTTTTAGAATTTCGGAAGCGGCTTTATTAATGGATTTTTTTTGAATGTGGCCGAGGTGGCAGCAGCGATTTTGCCGGAAACCCCGTGGGCAAGGGAGAAGCTTCAAGTGTTACTCAACGAAATTCTGCAACGCACCAACCAGAAACTACCCAGCACCGAAACGTCTAAAGAGGTGAGTTTTGCACATATTTATTTACCACAATTTTTCAGGGTA